CTTGCATCTAAAATTGACGCTGGCTGACTCTTGCCTGGGCCACCGCCCATTTTGCTCTGATACGAGTCAATCAACTTCTGACGTCGACATTCGACAATTTCTCTTCTCGAATAATGCCCGTGTACGTGCGGAGCGGACCTACTTCTACGGATACACTACGCGTCAACCAAAGACGCCTCGGCCACGGCGAACCCTCCATCCCTTCTGCCTCGTCGTGCCATGTGGTTGATGGAGCACACCCATCGCCCACAGACCGGGAACCGCAACCTAGGGGAGACGAGGGGTCATCCTCGCACGACTCCTGCTGAGAATGAGGCTGCACAGCTCACACCATCACCAAAACATGTCGGCCATCCAGTTTCAACGGTCCGACATCTGCGTGCCCACCACCAACCGCCTAGTCATTGGCGACCATTTCTCAACTTGATTACCAGCAACCTGCTTCGATTCGACAAGGCAAGTCTTGTCGTACCCACCCTGACATCGCCGTATGCCGAGCATCTGCGGAAACCCGTCCATAATCGGTCACTGTCACGGGAGCCGGCTTCAAAACTTCGGATTCAACCTTCTTCTTCGCCCCACCGAGAGGAATTGATGAAATAAGAGGCCTCGTCAACTGCTTCTGGGACATCGAAGGAAGCCGAACCGCTGGAAAGACCAAAGAGGAACTCTTACACGAGAGAGCGCCTTTCTTTCACCTCAGCCGTCTTCGGACTCGAAAGGCATAAAACGGTTTGTAGACCGCTTGCCTGCATGTTCTTTTGTTAGCATGCAAACTATTGAAATGTCGTCTCTTCACCTGACTGTCGCCTGCCGCCTCACCGAGATTGGACCACTCTGAAGGTTCAAGCACTGCCCAGTCAGACAAACCTGGCGCAAAGCTTGAGAGTTCCATTATTACGCCGCCCCTAATTAGCCCAGCAGATTGTCAGAGTCGCCGACGAGGATGCTTGGCAGATCCCATCGTCCCAACTTCGACATCCAGTGCAACGTTATTGGTTTGTTCTCCAGCCCTTCTGCAGACTTCCGAGGCGACAGTTACATGTAGCAAGGCCCTTCCCAGGGACGAGAACACAACATCAAGTGACCGCTACCCTACCTTTCTCTGCGCTGTGGCACAACGCGCGTCGTTCGATCTGGCCCGTTTCGACTCCTTCACCAGAGAGCAGCAGAACATCATTAGCAACCCAGTTGCGAGCTCGCTACGCACGCGACGAACGTGATAGCCTCATAAGAAAGCCATCTTCGCCCGACACTACTTCGCGTCATGGAGTTGTCTTTCCACGCTAGGCTTTCAGGGAAATAACGCCGCTCGTCATCGTCCAAACGGTGCCTTAGTGACAACATAAGGATGAAGCGGGCCCATGACTCGGTCCGCTCCAGAGCACACGACATGCCCGACCACTGCGTTTTCCACGGCCCTTGCGAGCACTTGGCTTCGACGCTTCAGACGACCAGCAAGTGGCCCTCCTCGTAGTACCTACTTTCCAGACGGGCATGACGGTGCTGCGGCGATATGACCATCATGCTGCAACCCGCCAACTATTGCAGCTTGCAGCTTGCTTCGCGACTTTTCAATGGCCCCGTCGCAACGCAGCGCATCGCGATGCAACCCAGGCCAACAATCACCGTCGGCATGCTCACACTACTGCGTGGTAGTCCACTTGCTTTATCCTATGCTTCCGATGCCGGGATTCAGAGGAATTCGACAAGCCTACACGCCAAGCTAGCAAAGCAACGCAACGCAGCACTCTGTGGCAACAGCTGATTGATGGCTACTCAGCTTGACCCCCCAATGCCGGCCTGATTGATCGTCCTTGGTCTGTCGTTGGATCACGTTCCGGATTTGTGTGTGACGAGAATACATGCTGCGTCGGCAGGCCGTTTGAGCCCTCAGGACCAGACGACTGTGACAAGTCAGACGCACACAAGCACACCCACACACCATACATGGCTCGTACACGTCGCTGACTCTGTCGCCATGCCTCTTGTCGCACCCTGGGCCGACGAGAAAGGGCCTTTGCTGGACAACGTCCGGACCGTGCCCACCCAAGCCTTTCCCGAAGCGCGCCTGTCTTCCGTGCCCGGCCGACGTCTCGTCTCTATTTTTCTTTGTCGAATGGCTCTGCCCTCACCCACTTCACTTGCCAGAGGCCCAGTCTTCCAGCATCAACCGTTTCAAATCACATCACAGCGGGATCTGGGCCGAGCAGTGGCACCTCCTCTTTTACCCGTCTTTTCCGCGTCTTCTAGAAGGCTCAAACCCCTGACGAAGAAGCCTCTCAGACTTCTCGCGCTGTTCTCGAGCCAGCATCTCGGGGACACCGCCCCTGCAGTCACCCTGTGTGTGGATGAGCATGGGTTGAGGACTCCATCCTTTTCATATCCATCTGCACCGGCTTCATCGCCACCAATGCGCCCTCAAAGCATTTGGTCTCGACGAACCCACCTGCCTTGACCACAATTCTTCAGCAGCGACTCTCGCTTCTGGCAGCAAGTTTCACCAGGGTCTCTCTAGATGCAAGGGCTCTGATGAGACGGGATATCTCCCATTACGATGCCATCACAGGGCGGTGAGCAACGTCGCGCCCCAACCACACTGCGACAACAAAGTAATGTCGCTGTGTTGACGTCCCAAATGCAACCTGTGCTTGGTTGACATCCAGCAGGAGGAGTCAAACTGCATGAATCGAATCCCTTTTGATCACCGCCATTTGGGGCGTCCTTTTTCCCACTTACCGCCCCTCGTCGTGGAGCAGCTGGCTTTGATGTCCGCAACGTCATTGCCACCGCCTGCCACGCCTCTCAGTCTTTGAAGTCTCCATTTGATCAAATGTACCCGAACACCACGAGGCACACCACAAGCTCATTGTCTCTTTGACGCTTCGTAGCCACCCCTAGCTCTGCGCTACTCGAGTCGGGGCTCCAATCAAAGATTGTCAGCCGTCCGGTTTGGGCCAGCCGCCCCGCCGCCCTACGGACAATGAAGATCGGCAACACCATTGCCTCCCCACCAAATTCGATGCCACAGCGGCGTGGAACGGTGGAAACAAAGTCGCAAAACTCATTTCGACAGACAGAGAAAGGCACTGACGGTGCCTGATTCGGGATGTGTGGTCAAAGAGACAACGACAAGGCAAGGGTTTCGGCCACCAACTCCTGGCTTTCCGGCTCGTCCAGATGACCTGCGGGACCTGCCTTACCGTCTCGTCATCGTCAAAGAGGGACTCCTCCAAAGGATCTAGGCCCTTCCGCGTTCGCGCAGATCCCAAGGAACCACTTTCGCACTCTCACGACCCCCAGCCCGCCGTTTTGGCAATTGTCGCCCCGTCATTTGGGGGCCGCTCTAAGCTCAACACTGACCTGCTGCCTTATACCTCTTACGGTCGCTGCCAGGGCTAGAGGTCCATCCAATCTGGCAGGAGGTGATCATTGAATGCCGATCTCGAGCTTCATCGAGCACAATTTGCCCACGGCACTTGTCCTGTTGAGTGTCACCGTGGGCCTTTTTACGGTCAGGTGACTGAGAGAGAGTCGCAACGGAGCGGGTCCGGTCATCTGCGGTGCGGAATTGCGGGATCTCAACACGACTTTTCTGGTTTCGCCGCGGACTGCCTTCCGGTGCCGCCTCCGCCAACCCATTCCTTGCCGCTAATGACGAGATCCAAGGCCGGGGCTGCATGTATCCTCCATGATATCACTGCGATCACGTCGGGAAATTTGCGTGCTTGCTTACTATGTGCAGTTCTCGTGTCAGGTCGGTTTAGACATGCGTATAAGGGATGAGCGACGATCCTCAACCTTCGAGACTTGACAATCCTGTGATGGTGAACAGTTGAATCGCAAAGCTCTACCTACCGTGACTGCTGCTGTAGGTACTATCGAATTCACTTCAGCAATATTTTTTCGCCAGTGAAGACTGGCCGTCGCTCGTGTAGGTATTCGACTCAAGAGTCGCGGCGCCGCTCGTCCGCGATGTTGAGGCGATGCCCATCCGCTGTGCGTGAGTTCCGTCAGGTACATCTCAAAGGCCGTCATGACAGGAACCGTGATAGTGGGAGGCTTGACTACGTGTGATAGCAACAGTCGCTATTGGAGTCGCAATGACCTTCAAAATGGGTATGGTCCATATACCGAAAGACGGCTATGGGTATGCCGAGTAGCGTCCTCGAGACCGAATGAGCCGCGCCTCCTCGAGGCCGGGATAGCGAGGAGCTTAGACACGTACATTGCCGCATAGAGCTGAGCGGAGCTTCATGTTGCGTCGATGGACGTAGTCGCTTCCAGCCTTGGTGCTCTTCAGACCACGCCGGTTGACATCTCGTGGGCATTGTCGAAAGAAGCACGCGCAGGATCGAGACTGCTGCCAAGTTTAAATGTACGCCGTCGAGTTACAGCCCCTTCACACGTTCATGAGGATCCGTGACACTCAACGCGGACACGATGGGGAAGGCTTAAGCCTGCGACATAACGCACGTATGTACGTACATGAGAGAGGGAGGGCAAGGTTGTGTGTCACTTTGGCTGTGTTGATTTGATATTCATTCAACCTTGAAAATTAAGGTGTCATCCCCTAATCGACCCCTCTCATCTCCATTCTCTCGTGGTATCCAGAAAAAGCACCAAAGCTTTAAAGAACATAAAGGGGGGTTTGTCGCGGCGCTCGAGGTCAAGATCGAGATCGCTCGCGTCCCCAGCTATCCAATCAATCGAACGCGCAACAGGGAAAAAAAGACAGGCGGCGTCTCCTCCCATTTTTCCTTTTTCTATGATCCCGCTATGCAAAAGAAACAGCAACGCCGGCTGGGCAAAGAAGAAAACGGGCGGACGACAGGCGCAAATCGGAAGTCCTGTTTCCCCTGGCTAATAGTACACATGTAGCGATGATTGATGGTGATGTGACAGTGGTAGAGAAGTTAAAGAAGAAGAAGAAGCTGTATGTGCGATGCGACGAGTGTAAGTCGGGAACGTCGCGTGAATTATGGTTGTGATATGGCTGGTTATCTTGGGCTCAGGGGGCTTCGTCCGGGGCCCTGCGATTTCCTGAACTTCTGCAGTTCTTCTTCGAGCCTTCTTCTCTTGGCTTGTTCCTCCTGCGAATGGGGTTAGTATATCAGAGGCCGTAGACCGAACTCGATATGGGCGTACCTTGAGATCCTCCTGGAACTTCTTCCTCTCCTCCCTCATCGTGGCTCGGAACTGCTCGCTGAGCATGGTAGCTCCAGCACCACGGGCACCGGCGCCAGGTGTAACCTTGAGTCGCTCCGCATCCAGTTCCTCTTGCAACTTCGACATCTTGCTCCTCGAGTTGAGAACCTCGGCGTCGAGCTGATCCTTTAGCGACGCAACTTCGCCCTCGAGGGAAGACTTGGTGGCCAAAGCATCGTCAAGCTTGCTCTCGACATCAAACTTCTCCCTCTCAGCGTTGATAGTCTCCGCCGTGATATTCTCGAGCTCCTTGAGGGTAGAGCTGAGCTCATCCTTGAGCCTTTCGACCTCGGACTTCAGCTGTGTGAGCTCCACGTTATTCTGAACAGCAGCGGCCTGCGTAGCCCTTTCCTTACGAGAGCCATACGCGCCGTCGAGCTCGGCTTGCGCGATGGTCAGCTCGGTCTTCAGCTCAACGAGCATCATATTGAAACGGTCGATCTCTTCCTCCTTTTCCTTCACTTCCTTGCTCTTAGCCTCGGCCTCCTGTTGCTTCTCAACGGCCGCCTTCTCCGCAGCAGCCAGCTTGATCGTCAGCAACGACACCTCCTCGTTGGCCTTTGATAGCTTGCCGTCCTTGTCCTGGGCGTTGGAAGTGATGCTCGCCATCTTCGTCTCCGCCTCCTTGACAGTCGCCTCCAAGGATGCAATCTTGGCGTCGCGCTCCTTGATTTCGTTCTGAGTCTTGGTGGAGCTCGACTCATTAGCCATGCGAGTAACGTTTGCGGCCTCAGCCTCCTTCTCAGCCTTGGCAAGCTTTTCCTGGGCTTCAGCAACTTCGGCCTCTGACTGCTCCAGGAGAGATCTGAGCTGGTCGAGCTGGTCTTGCTTGATTGTCAGCTCGAGCGTCCTCTCTTCATCAGCGCGCGCTTGAGCGGCTCGAAGCTGGTCGAGTTGGTCTTGCTTGGCTTTGATCTCAGTGTCCTTCTGAGACTCAGACTTATTACCCAACTCGCGTTGTTGTTTGATTTGGCGTTTGAGGACGGACTTCTGTTCCTTCAAGCTAGTGGCCTGGCTGTACAGCCACTGAACCTTGGTTGAGAAGGCAGACAACGAGTAGGGCTCGTCTGTGTCGACAGCCTCGTTGTCCGACATGTCGTCGTCGTCAGACACGCCCTGCTCCATTCGTGTGCGACGTCGGTCTGCCTTCTGCTTCTGAATGCTGGCAAACCCGGACTGGATGATATCCCACAAGCCCATCAGTACAGCCTCAGTCTGCTCGTCATCCTGCTTCTTGACGGCGGTCTTGCTAGCAGTCTTCTTCATTTCCTCCTCGACAACAATCAACGCGTCTCGGAGGAAGTCGAACTGCGCATTTAGACCCGTGTTGGGGACCTCAGGGTAGTCTGGGTCAACAACGACTAGGACATCTCGGAGTTTCTGGTTGAGATCTTCAATACGGCCTTCTGCCTGGGTTAATGCAATAGAAGACGCCGCAGCCGCAGCCTTCACATCCTTGAGACCATCGGAAGACTGTCCCTGAAGCTGCTGTTCCTCGCGCACGACCAGCAGGCCCTGCTCCAGGTACTGGAACTGACTGCCGAGTGTTGCACCGGGCTCGGCTGGTGGTGCCGAAGGAGGCTCGCGAAAGCCGCCGTTCTTGGTAGGATTAAAGTTTACAATTACCTCTCGCAAAGAGTTGTTGAAAGTCATAAGTTTTCGCTCCGTATCCGTAACAGATTGTAAGCGCTGCGTGTTCTCGCTTTTGAGGGAGTCAATTTCGGTGCTCAAAGCATCGGTCTGCGCCCGTAGCTGGGCATTCTCGTCCTGTAGCCTATTCAACGTGTCGGCTTGCGCACGAAGTTGGGCGTTCTCCTCCTTCAATCTGTCGGCCTCTTCCCGCAGCTGCTTGTCTTCAACCCCAGGCGCTTTGGACGGAATATTCAGGGGCGTGACCTTGGGCTTCCCGCGGGAAGGAGACCCCTCGATTCCCAAGTCTTGGAACAAGCCGTTCTCGTCGAAGAAAGAGTCGTCTCCAGATCGCTCCATGCTGTTGCGGCCATTCGAGTACGTGTAGAGGCTCTCGGGGCTTCCGGGCATACCGTTCATGATTTGTGCAGGCAGCTGATTCGTCGGTTTCTTAGACGCCTTGTGCGTCAGCTGGAGGATACCAGCCGTATGCTCCAGCAAACTCCGTTGCGACTCTATTTGACGTTGCTCAAGGCTGCGCAACTCGTTTGACAAGTCGTCGCAGCGCTTCTCGCTCGCTTGTCGTTCGGCTTCAGCCTCGCGCAGGGATTCGCCCATGCTGTCGCGGTTGTTGCCCATCAGACTCCTCCTCTTGCTAGCCTCGGGCTGCGAGTATAGCCTGGCCATGGATATCGCAGCATCTCGATACTTGGTCTGGATGGCGAGGTTCGTTCGTGTTTGTTCGACGCGTAATGTCAAGGACTGGATCTGCTTTTTCAGACTGTCGACCTCCTCTTGCGACAATATCCGGAACTGTTTGCTGTCTGTCAAGGCTGTTTCGGTCAACAGATGGACTTGGATCGGGTCCTTGAGGTCGACAAGAGCAGAGCTGGGCGGGAGCTTCGTGTTCATCTACGGGTAGTTAGATGGCGGCGCAAGAGCAAGGATACAGACGAGGTGGACTGACTTGAACACGTAGTGGCGCCTCGTTATCCATCATGTCTCTCCTGTAGGCATTCCCAACACGGCCAGGCGCCCGGGGCGGAGATGGCCTCCCCGGGGAATAGCCGTTCATTATGTTGGATCGGTCGTGAGCGAGGGACGACTCGTCAAATCATTATATTACAGAGAAAAATCGTTGAATCGTATGGGTGCTTATGAGGAGATAGTCGCGACGACCGTAGGGAGCATGTTCTTCGGAGGAGGACGCGGTTGGCTAAGGTATCGGTCGGTAGCCTCACAGGGCTGGCTTAGTACGGCAATGGAAGCTCAAGCAAACAATGGTGCAGCGAATTCGTCAACGTAAAGGTAAGGAAGGTAGGTGAGGTAGGATGACAAGCCAAGGATAAAAGCCTTTGGTGGCTGGTGGCTGGCGCGTGGGATTGGGATTGCCGGAGCCCCTTGGTAGGAAGGAAGCAAGCAAGGGGGTGGTTTTGCTGTATCGAGCGAGTCGCGAGTGCTATCGCCGTGGAGACGAAACGGAGAGGCGGATGAAGATGGGTACGGGGTCGTGGGCGTCGTCGGACGACTTCAACACCAGCCGCTGCAATCGGGAGGAGGTTGCGAGGATAAAAGAAGACGCTTCTGGGCGAGAGACAAACATCTCTATTTCTTGCCCCCCTGGTTGGATTGGTGGATCAGAAAGCAGCCCGTTCCAGCGAAAAGCGACGAGTCTCTGCGTCTGAGTTTGCCGTCCCAAAAATTGAGTTGGGTGGCCTGTCGCAGCGGGTGGCAGTCAGAAGTCTGGCAGACATTTGACACTAACCCACTGAAGCCACCGCAATCCAGCTGCTTTACTGCAGAGGCCCCCGCCCCCTTGCAGCCGTTTGGCGATGCTTCGCAGCTCCCACTCAACCACCTTAGGTACCTACGGGGGCGGGCACTTGCGCTAAGCTTATTCAGGTTCGTCCCTTGCCGCGTTCCTTGCGTCTTTGTGCAGTTGCGACCACTCTATTGGCAGACGGAACCGTTGGCTTCGCGGTACGTACACAGAGCGTTAGGACCTGAGCATTAAGGTCAGCGGGCAGTATTTTGTGGATGCTATTCCGCCTCGTCCATCTGCGTAATTCCAAGAAAGAGAAAACTACTTGAATACACATGCTTTGTGATGCATCATCCTTCTTCCTGACGGATGCTGATGTGATGCTGCCTGAGGAAAGACAAGTTTTCGCAGCTGGCGATTAGGTAGGGTCGCAAATTGCATAAAGACAGCTCGCATCTGCAATCTGAGAGAAGATTCACCGTAATTTCGGGATTCTGACGGCCAGGATCTCTGGCCGGGATTAAACTGGGCTAGACCAATTCTGACAGCTGCCCGAACCTCTTTTCGGCGACGTTTTAATCATCGTCCCAAGAACGGTTGTCGGCCTCAACAGGGCCCTCCCTATTTTCGATAGATCGAGCAGATCAGCGGGCGTCTTAGATGATGAGTCGGTCCTCGAGAAGAGGAAAAAACCCGAACACTGGAGAACCAAGCCAATAGCTCGTCTTCTCCTGTTTGCTCGATTCCGCGGGAGCTTTGTCATAAAGCTGAGCACGAAAATATACGAGGAGAGGGACCGACGATGCATTATCTTTTGTCAGCAGTGCAATGTATGTAATGTGATGCCTCACTAGAATTTCGCCTTTGATGCACTCGAAGTATTTCTGAAGTCTTCGTCGACTGCCGCTCTACTGAAGATGCGCAGGTTTTAATAATAGGTCTTGCTGATTACGTTTTTGGGGTTTGCATTTTGCCCACGACGGCGCTCTCAGTCCTCGCGACTGTCTTGGCCAACTCTCCGCCGTCCAGCGTCCCCGTCAACGCCTTGAACCCCGGAAGCAGAAGCAGTTGTCCCTTCACCCTCCAGTCGTCTCCGAAGTCCCTCAAACTCGCTGCGTCTCCTCTGACTTCTTACTCCAACCATCCAACCCGGCAGGCGCCACTTGGTCATCACACCCGGTAGCAGGTCGTTCCTCCAAGAGTATCCAACAACCCAGCCAACAACAGCACCGAGTAGCGAGCCGGGCCACTGGAAAAGTGCCAGCTGTATGGCAAGCGCGTAGCGGTACGACTTGTCGGAGAAAGTAAGGCCGACGAATTCGTCATTCGTCGGCGGAGCAGCGGATGCGGCAACTCGGTATCGGTAGATGTGAGGAATTACAGCATGGTACTGCGCTAAGATGGCGAAAATGATCGGGGTTGGTCCGGCAGGCATGTAGTTGAACAAGCCCGCCGTCAGTGGCCGCAGCACGATCGACAGGAAAACCGGCGGTATCACGGCCGTGAAGAGTGCGGAAACAAGAATGAACGACTGTGATGTTGGAATTAGTTTCGCACAGCCCGTATGGGTCGTAAGTCAAGTGAGGTGACCTACAGCATACTTCCTCGAACCCCACATTTGCTCAATGACTCTCAGGTGATAGAGGGTCATTGAGGCGAAGAGCACCTCGCTCGAGTTGGTGCAGCATAGCTGATACGTCAAGAGACGCCATAGTTGATGATAGCGCCAGAGGTGGGTGTCGACGATGATGTAGAAGTAATGCTTGATGTCGAACAGGCTGGCTGCTATCGAGCTTGATACCAAACCAAGCACAATGGTGCGCGTGACGGGCGCGTTCGTGAATGACATGTTTTCTGGAGGCTATCGCATCGTAGCTCTGGATGCAGTCTGAACCACGGCCGATCGATGGAGGGGCAGGGAGAGGTAGCTTGAGGGTGATAAGCTATCCCTTGCGGCGGGAGACTTCGTTTTGCTCAATCCGTGCCCTTGGCAGCGTGGTATTGAATAGAATCCGCGGACGTGCTTCTTGCTTGGCCTATCGAACAAATTGGCGCAGTTTCAGTGGCTGGCGACGTTGAGAGTGAATCGCGGAGGCCAGAGGACCGATGATGCCAGGTGGTTTCTTGGGCCGATGTCGAACCCACCCGAAGCTCGATGCACTTGCACAGTGACCTTCAGACTCCAGGTGTCCCACACAATGCTTTACTACGGAGCTGCCGCTGACTTCCATGGAGAAGGGCGTGCCGACGCCACGGCCACGTCCATGACCAATCGGGCGGTAGCCCACCGGTTCAGACACCTGTGACCTCAGGTCCTCCCGTCCCGTGCAATGGAATGACGAGGCTGGAGGGCTGAGGGTGGGCAAAGTGTGGCTGATTCACCTGCCATGTTCGTGGGATTCTATTGGCTCATTGCTCTTCTGCCAGCTGCCAGCTCACTATCCCTGCTCCCGTCTCCACTCCTTGCGCAACCCTGTCGCGACGTATTTTAGTGAGGCGCAGAGCTCTGGGCACACGCCGCCGTCGCCGATACTTCCAGTCTCCAAGCTTCTGGTGGCCGAATGCTGAGATCAAGCGGGTACTTGTCCAAGTTGTCTACCTACAGAGCTGACGCGCCATCACAGAGTGGCTCAACCTGTTTCTTACTCTCTTTTCTACTGTCGCCTTGGCCGTTGCATCTTTTTGACGTAGGGCGCGACTTATCAAGAATATTTAATTTTTACTGCTACGCAAGTAGACAGGTTTCCCTTCTTCCACGTCACGTCGAACTCTCAAGTTGGCAAATCATGTCGGAAATATTCCTCAACCACATCAGTCGATGGCTGCTAAGCTCGCCGCCAGCCGAGTGGGCAATCAACCAACTGCGCGAACTGCTCATTGGTGCTTTGAAGCAAGGGCCCGTTCCTCAGCATGTCGCCTTCGAGATGGACGGTAACAGGCGGTATGCTCGGGGGAAGAGAATGGAGACGATCGAAGGCCACCACCACGGTTTTGAAGCGCTTGCTAGGGTAAGATTTATTCTGTTTCGCTTAGTGTTAGACTTCCGCTGATTGTGCGAATGCAGGTTCTCGAAATTTGCTACAAGTGCGGCGTCAGAGTCGTAACCGTATACGCCTTCAGTATCGAGAACTTCAACCGCCCGCAATACGAGGTTGACGGGCTTATGCAGCTTGCCAAAGTCAAGCTCGAACAGTTGACGCAACACGGAGACTTGCTGGACAGATATGGAGCGGCGGTCAGAGTGCTTGGTCAGAGAGACCTGATCCGCAAAGACGTTTTGGATGTTGTCGACAATGCGGTGGAGATGACCAAGTACAACAAGCGGTAAGCTGGCGCCGGTTGAGACTGCGAGAACTTATTGCTGACTTTGACAGCAACGTACTAAACATCTGTTTCCCGTATACTTCCCGCGAGGAGATGACGACGGCCATGCGCTCTACCGTGGAAGAGTACATGATGCCCCCTGGACCCAAATACACTCCTTTTCCGGCGGCGCGCATCTCGCAGAAGATCATGTCGAAGCAGCTCGACCGGCGCGAGCCCCTCCCAACCATCCGCGACACATCTCCTGCGCCTTCGTCCCGATCTGATGGCGACGACGGTGCGTCGTCGTCAACCACTCTACCGCCAGACTCGCCCTCACCGCCGAACCGCCCCGGATCTTCCGGTGGTCTCCGTCTCAAGAACCCAGAAACAATCACGGCCGAGACGTTGAACAACCACATGTACACAGCCGGAAATCCTCCGTTGGACATCTTCGTTCGGACTAGTGGCGTTGAGAGACTCAGCGACTTCATGCTATGGCAATGCCACCAGGACACTCACATCTTTTTCCTCAAGTGTCTGTGGCCTGACTTTGACCTGCAGCATTTCCTCCCTGTGCTCTTGGAGTGGCAATGGAGGCAGAAGCAGATTGAGAGAGACGAGCGGCCGAGACAGACCGTCAGTAAGACACGAAAGCTTGTTTGAAGAACAGGGGAAACGGCGGCGAGTTAATTTCTTCACGGTTGACTTGATGCGGGGGCGGTTTTTACTACTTTGTAATAGCCTCTGTTTTGGAGGGAATGACGGCCTGGGCCCCTTCTAGAGGCCGCATCACCAGTGCAGGACAGACGGAACTGATACCAGCATGACATTGTTTAGACACGTTATTGATATCCATTAAATGCAATCATTTTCTTAGTTGTTTCTTGTGCCGTCCGACTTGGAGACGAAAGCTTGCTCTGTTTGGGAAGGGGAAATTCCCGGGCTCTAAAAAAAGGCATTAATGAGGCATGCAGGATTGGAAGCGGAATGCGACCGCCATCAAAGTGTGGCGCTCCAATCCTGGAGAACGGGCAAAACCCGGCGGATGCCATCCCGGGCGTCAAGGAATGACGACAATTGATGTGGCTGATAGCATTCTTAGGTGCGCAAAAATCGGACGGTAGGTACTGAGTGGAGGTGGACTGGACCTCACTGGACGTGACGGGACGGGTGGCTGGAGACGGCAGAACCAGGCACAGGGGCCCTCCAGGTCCAGGTGAGCTACGGGGGCCTGAGGCCCAAATCGCTCGCTAAGTGATGAATGGGGTCACTCAGCCAATCCTCCGCCCGCGGCAGAAGCAGATCCCCAAAAAGACGTGGATGATGGAACATCCCGAGGCGTCGTTCTTGATTTTCCTCGCGCACTCCCCTCTCTCACGAATACCCGTTAGCACCTTCTGGACCTCGACAACCACCGGAATGCCCTAGATTGCTTCAGTAATACATCGTATTTACCTAAACTTCTATTTTCGCATTGCGAATCCCTTCCAGAATCCATCCGCCCGCCGCGGCACCTACCGACAGCATTCGTTGCTGCGACCACATCTCTCTCCTCCCCACGACGTAGTGTGTTCCCCGCGCGCCTCGCTGGTTGAAGTCGCCATGAAGTCGGCCAAAACATCCTCGGCGGATACCCCGTCGAGCAGGAGGTCCCAGCCTGTTCGACAGACTCGCACCAACCCTCCGCGCGTCTCTTCTGGTCTTCGTGGATCGGCGAGTGGTCGGGACCCTCTCACCGGTGGTTCTGCCTCTGACCAACCCATCGACATTTTTCCTGCGATAACATACTTTTCCGACGCCATTGCCGCCCTACCGAAGGAGCTCGTCCGACACTTTACTCTTCTTAAGGAGGTCGATGCCAAAATCTTCGCCCCCGAAGATGCCCTCTTCCAGCTCGTCGACGCTGCCATGAACGCGCCCCCTCCGCAACCCCGACTGTTGAACGACGCATCTAGCAGTGTCGCGCCGGCCTCAGCTCCGATGAGCGCCCAAAACAGCTCCAGCGGAGTGCCTGTTGGTGCCATTGCACCACCTCCTGCCCCATCCACAGACGGCTCCTACGCGACGTCCATCTACGATCCTAGCAACCTGCCGCGCCGACAGCTGTTCCGACAGACAGCCATCAAGATCCAAGAGATGCTTGGCTCTCTGGAAGAGAAGAACCATGTCATCTCAACCGCGAACGACGCCCTTCAAAAGCAACTGGCCCGCATCGACGACGTCTGGCCGCACGTCGAGACCGAGTTCAGCGACGAGGCAAAATGGGGGAGCAACACACACTGGGCATACCCTGAGAACAGAGCTGTTAGCAAGGCCGCACATGCCGAACGCTCACGGCGCGAAGGCGCCGCCGCCATCTCTGCTGCTGCACAACAGCTTGCCGAGGAGGCTGCCGCCCGGAGCGACGCACGGAAGCAGGCGGTCCAGGCGAAGAAGAATCAAAAGACGCAGCACCAAGATACTGAAAATGACGATGCCGAAAGTCGACCAAAGGTCGAATCTGGTAAAAAGGGGCATGGAGGCGGTAAGGTACGCAAGGCGGCCGAGGCTGCTGCTAACGTGGGTTTGGGTATCTCGACAAACGGAGCGACAAACGGCACCGCCCCACAACCCAAGCGACGCAAAGTCGAGAAGACTCCCAGCGGAAACAATGTCCCTGGCGCTATGAGCACTGTTTTCGGAAACAATGCATCTAAGACGAAGACTACGAGTCCCAGAGAAACCCCAGCTCCAGAGGGCCAGGGGCCGAAGAAGCGGAAAGCTCTCCCATCCGGCACCGGCCAGGCCAAGAAGACGTATGCTTCCCTGAAGAATATAACCAGCGACCGTAGTGATTTGCTTGCTGACGTAGATCGCAACAGAAAAAACGGCGTCGCCGCTATGTCACCGTCCGTCGCGTCCTCTCCGGTCCTAAGCACCTTCCCCGAACCCCCATTACCTCGAGGCTCTCCCGTTCCGACTGCGATACCTGTGCCCTCAGTGCCAAAGCCACCGACCGCTTCAAGAGCCAAGCAGAGTACTACAACGCCGGCGGCAGCGGAAGGTGCGAAGCAGTCGCGGCCGCCATCATCTGCGTCGACCAAGCCCAACGGAGCTCCACCGCCCACTCCCGAGGTGTTGCCTCTGGCAAACACGCCAAAGCCCACCACGGAGCCCAAGCCCGCTACCAAAGAGCCTTCCGCACCACCTGTGCCGGAAGTCACAAAGAAGGAGCCTGAACCGACTGAGACGGCTATCAAGCCCAGCATCCCTGCGGCGAAACAGAAGAAAGATACACCCAAGCCGGAGGAGCCGCAGACACCGGTCGAGCCCCCACCAGTACCCCAGACAATCACTGCCGCGACGGTGACAAAGAGCGGTCGGGCCAGCAAACCATCAACGCCTGCGATGGCCACGTTCCAGGAAGCTGCGCGACCGAAGTCGGCTCGTAACACGGATAGCACTACAAGCAAACGGAAGAAGAGCAATGCGGTAACATCAGCAAAGGCTCCCAAGCCGGCAGAAGACGCGGACGACAGTGAGGATGCCGAAGAAGCAGAAATCCGAGCCAAACGCAACTACGATTACACGGAAGACGAGCCGACGTATTGTTACTGTACAAGCGTAAGCTACGGCGAGATGGTAGCTTGCGACGCCAACAACTGCGAGAGGGAGTGGTTCCACCTCAACTGCGTTGGTCTCAAGGTGGCACCCAAGGGAAGCTGTAAGTTGACAACACCACGACGTCGGTCGCAGAGAGATAGAGAGGTCAAGCTAATATTTGTCGTAGCGAAATGGTACTGCGAAGAATGTGTTCAGCGGTTTGCAAAGCAAGGCAAGAAGCTGAGCCATAAGTACAACCTGCTTCCCGATGCCATGAACGTGCGGAAGCAGCGGAGTTCACAGTATTGATTGACTTCTCAACACGAATGCTTGGGGTTATGAAGAAGAGTACGAAGTGGCGTTTCAAGCGTAGAACGTCCCACGCATCTACCAGGCGTTGATTTGATTTGCCATGGAAACCGACGCGTTTGTCGACTTCTGGATGCCTGTACCTAACGAGCATCGAAACCGCGGGGTAAATCGACATGGAGCAAGGTACATACGCTAGTTGCCCTCAGGAATGGAGCACAGTACAGCACATACGGCAGGGACGGCATGTATGAGGGCGTTGGGGCGAATGGTGTGTCGAGGGCAAGAGAGGCACCATTGCAGTGGTGATCTGGCCTGTTATCTGAAGGGTCTTGTGGCGAGAAGATGGACAATGGAGAGCGTGTATCTGACCACCTTGTTTTCTTTGGTGCCGAATCGAATCGATGGGGATAGAATAAACATTTAATTGGGAGCCGGAGCTCGATGGATATGCTCAGAAAGGGAGATGTTTCCACTGAATGGGAATACCAAAGACTCGGACTTGTGCTGTTACCGCCCTTGACTTTGGACGAGTTTGCCTTTATGCCGGTCAGGTTCCCCGGGTGCTCTGGTCCAGCGGGTTTCAACATTGCAGCGGTTCGGCGGTAGCTGCTGCCGCCCCGGCCATCGTCGGACCTTTGGTTCCAGGGAGACGCGGAAGTAATGTGGGCAGCAACAAAGGTCACGATGCATGGCGGTGAGGGAAAATGAAAAGGGGCATCTGTGACTGGAACTCGGACACGGCTCTGGGTTGGAAAGTAAAACACGGAAAGGCGACTGGAGGTGTGCGGTCCAGACCTGGCCGCACGGCATGACGGGAACAAGACTACGAGGTTGAGATTCCACGACTGTCGGTAGGTATTCTTTTACGAGGTGAGGTAAGGTGAGGGGGGCTCCCCTGGACAAGGGGTCTGGCTAGGCTGGGGTGGTCGGGTAGGATTTCCTGGGGTAACGAGTGAAAAGGGGAAAGCGAGTTGCTGGGGATCCCTCCCCCTTTTTTCCCTTTTTCCCTTCTTGAGTTTAGGTCGCTGGTTGAGCCGCCGCGCTTGGGAAGAGTTGCCTGAACTTGAGAGACGAAATATGATGGGGTGGACAGGAGATGGCGATCTGGGTGAACCCCGAGGTTACGCCTCCTCTGGCCTCAGATATGCGGGAAGTGTTTGTACACAATACGCATGGAGGAGGCGAACTTTTGGAGGAAAACCTGGGGAAGCTTTTGACGACGCTGAGTGGCTACTACGTGAGATGAAATGCACTGCACCACCATTGTCTGATGGCAGTACTGTTGCTGTTGCACTTGAGGGCTAGGCAGCTGTGCTCCTCATTTTCTTCCCTACCTGTTGGGATTTCCTATTTCAATTCCTGAGATGCCGGTCTCCTGTGCGCGTGACCATCTGTTACATGAGGGTAGCAGTATTACTAACTGCAAGGTACCATGATGGGGCTTGTGGTGTGGTGGGCACCTCCATTGCCATTGCGCAATGATGTATGGAGACGCGTTTTGCAACTAGTGACTAAACGATGGGCAATATGAGCAACACGTTGGCTGTTGCGGTTGTCTGATTAGCCTCCGCGTGACATGTTTGACGGAACTCTCTGAGCGAGCGGTTGGCGGACAGGGAAGAGGAGAGAGAGAGTCAGTGGAAGCAAATGCGAACACAACAACAGTCATAGGCAAAGTTATGTCCGTTTCAGCGCCAAGGAGCCCAGCGCGTCGGTGTCGGACTCATAATCCAGGACAACAGACGGCGAGAAAAGCCCGCGTGCTTGTATGGGTGTTCTTCAGCTTCATTAGCAGCTGAGCAACGTTACTCTCAGGTAAGTTATTGGCTGAGTGAGTGAGTAGGTAGGTGAGGTACCGAGGAGATGGCCCAAGGCGGTTGGCTTCGGCCCATCAGATTTTTTTGAGCAGACTTTTTTCTCTCTCTCTTTTGGATCCCGCTGGCGTTCAAGGTGGATAATCTGGGGCAAGCACCACGCGGCTGGCATAACTTTCCCACCCACCAACCGGAGATCCGCTGGGATGCCACGGGTGCTAGGATCTTCCCGTTCATTCGCATCTTTCGTTGTGTCTAATCAGGGCCAGACGTCGATCTTCCAGGTCAGGTATCAGCACAGAGTACCTTGGATGTAGCTGAGGAGGTGACGCCGATGACTCTGACTGACGTTGGGAGTTGATGCTTGAGTCGTCCGAGTTGCGTTGCCCTCCAGCTGGGCTCGGGAACACCTTCCAGCAATTTCCAGCGTTTCGCGGGCTGTATCCGTAGGTATCCCGGGTTTTCAGCTCGTACCGTTGCCCGCCTCACCTCTGAGCTCTGCCGCACAGCCCGGAACCCGCATTGTTCGGCGATGGGGGAGCGAAAAGGTCAGATGACTGGTATGAGAGTGGCTGGATTCAGACAGACGCAGCGGTTTGGCAACGCAACGTGGTCGTCTGCGGCGAGGCCGTTATACTAGCAGTTAGACCCGACCCATTGCCCTGCCTCGACTTCCCCAGTCTTTCGATTTTGGCCATGGCATTTCGCCATCATCGCCGGAGTCTCTGGTCTTTGCCATGGCTTGCTGATGCCGGAGTCCGACTACCGGAACGGACGTCTCGGGGTGCTGGCATGGAGCGACATCGCAGCTGACCTACTAATTACCTGCTTGGTTACTCATTCTTCTGCTCTTAGCGGGCTCGGTGTTTGGGAGGATGAGTGAGTTGCAAAGGCCGGGCGCCGAGCCGAGGAGATGATTCTCTCGCGACGGAAGTGCATCCGATCCGATCGTCTGTACGGATAGGGAGATTCTGCATATGCAGCGTTTCGGTTTACTTATGCACCAACTCCGTGCAGAGACTGGTAGCCAGCAGAGACTAGGTGTAACAGTGAGATTGATACGATACGTCTCGTCACTTTATGTTTATGTAAAGTCTTGCAACGCTGCCGAATAAGCAAAGTCGTGTTTTGTATTAGGTAATTGGATTGAATGAATGTCTTGAGCAACGTGACTTGGCGGTTGAGGTCTCGGCGCCATGCTCCATGTTCCATGCTCCATGCTAAAAAGGCTTTTTCAGTTTCTATTAGTCGTACTGCGTTCCCATTACGTTTCTAAACCTCTTTTTCCTCGCCTCATCTGATCACTTCGCAAGCCAAGCTTTCCAACACAACCTGTCCAGAATCCAGCTCTGCGCACCTAATGGCCCCGACGCATTTGCACACTTTTTTGGTGTTGTTTTTTTCTCCCTCCTGCTGACCCCATATGACGGGGCGCATTTTTTCCTTCTTCGCAGGAGGTGGAATTGGATCGTCCTACCAAGAAACCAATCCTGCTCTTCGGTTCCCCTCGCCCCTGGGCCGGACACCGGCGCCCCGTTTGTCGCCCCGTCCGCTCCTGGTCTGTCGGTCTGGTCTGGTCTGATGCCACGCGAACGCTTGACGCCGGACTGACTAACCATCTTCACTTCTCTCAATGCCCTGTATGCTCCCATAACTCGGGATGATTATGATCACACACGGTCAAACAACGGCCTGTTCGGGAGACCTTGAACACACGACCTGACATCTTCGGAAGATGGACATTCCCTGACACATCTGGCGCCGCCGTTTAATGGCTGGGAACGTGAGCAATGATGTTATGCTCTCTTTTGCTCAATTGCCGACTGGTCCAACGCGACACACCCATGACATTCTCATTACCAAATACCCGTCCAATCGTTGGCGACCAGGCTGCTTCGTGTCGCCAGCCCTTTCCTCTAGAGGTTCTGTCGCCATCCAGCTCCCTCTCGTCGCCGTCAGTGGGCGTTGAGGAACGTGAGCTTGAACCTGGATCCGGACGGACCTGGACATGTTGAACCTGGACCTGGATGGACATCGTCGTCGTCTCTGACCACGAAGCATGTCACCTGGAAAGGCGCGTACCGCAGTACCGCGCCGTGTCATGTACGGACAAGGCTCCGCCTCCATCTTGATGAAGCTCTGGATGCTCATGTGACGAGGCAAGTCTCCATTCCTTTGTTTCCATTACCCAATTCTTGGCCAAGAGCAACCCTTTGCCTCTTCGTTTTGCTATATTAATCTGCGGGCCGCTCACACACGCCCGGCTACTGACGCCTGTGCGTATACTACAAGCCGCACCTCCGCATGACAGAGACCTCCATAAACTGCACTCCCAACTCGCGATCCCGTGGATGATTCCATTTCTTGCCCCTGCCTCCTCCTCATCGCCGTCGTCGTCTCTGACTCTCCTCTCCCCATATCACCTCAGCGATTGCGAAGAAGACGTCTTTTCTTGTGTCACGCACCACCCTTCTCTGCATCCATCCCCAGTCTATGCAAATCCTTTCCCCGGGACCCAGTCGCCGAGTCTCGTTTCCCCAAGCCTCTTGGTCGATTGTCCTATACCGACCTGGGATTTCACTCCTCAGAACATTGAGGTTGGACCACCCGAACGCGCCAAACCACCATCTTCCCCGCATCGCAGCAACTTCCTCTTACCTAAAAGCCCCGGTCTTTGACTAATAGAAAAGCTCTTCTGGCTTGCTATTTCGACCGTCCCGGGCCCCCGGCCTTGTGCCTTTTTTTGTTTTTCATTTTTTTTTTTTTTGGGCAGCAAGTAACTCGAGCTGTAAGGTATACTTTCCTGCAGCACCACTAGCTGGCTTTCCCACCCCGGCCTGACAAACAGCACGACATACGACAAGCGAGCGTGTGTGCGTCGTGTGGTTTGGTGTTGTGTCGTGCAACAATTGAAACGGCAAGCGCAGCGACCCGGACGGACCTTCAGTCAAAGTAAACTTCCTGCAGCCATGTCTACTCCGCGACTTGTCCATTCCCAACTCTCCTCGTCCCAGACTCCGGACCAGGACCACACCCCCCCAGGCCCTCCTCCGACAGGCCACATTCAAGGTCACGGTCACGACCACGACCACGACCTCTCCCCTTCTTCTTCTCAGACCCGGACCCAGACCCAGGCCGTCCAGACTACATACAAAATGGACAGCCCGGAGCCGCACCGACCTGATACCCCAGAAAAGAACGGCAGGTCCTCTTTCTCATCCATCCGCGAGAACGACTCCGACTTGGCGCAGACTTTCACCTCCTCAAAGGTCTCTTCCTATCTGCAGAAATCAAACGAAGCTGCCGTCTACGACTCTTCCTCCAACTCCCCTTCCCCCTTGGCCTCCCCTTCCCTAGACATGGGTGAAGTCCAGTTCCTTCCTCCCGTCACCCTCCCCAACAGCAGACTTCATGGCGGTTGGCATCCTGCCACCAGCTTCAAGGGCTGGAAGCAGATCAATGTCAAGGGCAAGACCGCCAGCCGGAGCTACAGCGACCTCCAGAGTCTGCACATGGCATGGAGCACTCCTCCCGCCGCCCCAAAGAGCAAGGACAAGTATGCTGGCGGTCGCGCGCCCATGGAAAGGCTTCCTCTCGAGCTGCTAGGTCAGTCAGATGTCCCATTCTTCCATTTCAAAACAAATCTAACCCGCAGCAGGATCCATCATTGAGCTTCTCGTCCTCGATATCCCTCCGCCGTACGGCACCGCGCGCCGCAACGTCGACCTGATGGCTCTGCTCCTTACCTCCAGAACACTCCACGCTGCCACGCTCAACACCCTCTACAAGCACATTACCATCCCGCATTCGAGAATCTTCCGCAAGTTCCTCTCCAACATCACAACACACACTGCGCTGGGCACCATCGTGCGGCGCATGGACTTTAGCCACTTCAACAACGCGACCTTGTTCGAGTCCGCCAGCGAGCGCAAGGGAACTAGAAACCTCACGGCGGAGACATTGATTCAATGCCTCAAACTGACGCCACACCTCCAGGAGTTCCTGGCCATGGAGCACATCGACGACGATCTCGGCCCCGACGTCTTGCAAAAGCTCTTCTTTGACATGCCGCGGCTTCGGGCTCTCGACTTCGCAGGATGCACTTCGCCGGCATTCAAGAACTCCTTCGCCTCACTGGTCTCGATGGAATGGCCTGACGCATTGTCCGTCACCCGATTGTCATTCCACAAGTGCCTGACGCTTCCCTCTACCCTCTTCGAGAAGATCCTCCCGCGCCTGACCAACGTCACGCACTTGGACCTCGCCCAGACTAAGATCACGGACCGAGCTCTCCAGTCTATCCCGGTTACGGCCAAGATCACCCACTTGAACATTGCCAAGTGCACTCTCCTCACGGCGCCAAACGTTATCAACTTCCTTGCTAACCACCCGGCGGTCAAGAACCTGGTGTACCTGAGTGTGGCCACCGATGCTCGGAGCCACCAGCTTCTGGATGTGGAGGATGTAACCCAACTCATTCCCGTGCTGCCCAAGACCCTCAAGTCATTGAGTCTGAAGGGTAGCCGCATGGATGATATCCACATCGATCTGCTGCGGCCACTGACCAAGTCTCTCGAGGAGCTGGCAGTCGGACGCAACATGGACGTCAACGCCGCCGCTAAGCTTCTTGAGCCGGCGGATCCCGAGAAGGAGGAAGAGCCCCACACGCTGCGCTACCTCGATCTTTCCGACCTTTGGGGCAGTGAGCTAGACATCGTTGACCTTTTCTCGTCTCGGAACTCCTTGCTTCGACCGAGCTCGGCGCCGCTCGAGGTCGTGGAGGTCTCGGAGCAATCGTTTAAGAGCCTCTCTCGCAACAAGACCCTCGAGCGGATTGGTTGGTCCCTGCAGGAGATCGGAAGCCGATGCTGGATGGTCCGACTCCAGGACCACCGTATTGACAGCGATCGCGGCTACCGATGGTGGAAGATGGGCGCCGACAACTGGGGCATGCGCAAGATCCCGGTCGCACGCGCCGAAGTCGGGGGCATGTACGGGTCCTTCATGTTTGGACGCAAGCTATGATTGCATTGCATGTGACACGACAAAAAGCGACTCATCGGCATTTTCAACTATGGCATTTCTTTTTTTTCCCGCTGTTTTGATTTCGCAGTACCATCATCATTGGGCGGAGTTGGGATACCAAAACCAAAAAGTCTCTTGTTTTCTGTTGTTGTTTTTTCCCTTGGCGCGGAAAGGCGCCGGTCATGATCAGCGGAGCTGCAGGGGGGATAAAAATGTTGTGGAAATTCGAGGTTATCAGATGAACAGAAAAGCGAGCAAGCAGCTACGACGAATGACTTGTCTTGATGTACGTTATTAGGAATCAGTGGCATAATCCCTAATCTTTATGCTGGAGAACTCAATCTGTTCAATCGCGAATGTTGCTTACGAGCGACGAGGTCAAGAAGACGTTGCGCTCAATGGATCGGTGCTCTTGGCGTAGCTGCAGGGGGTACATCATCGTGCCGTCACCTAGAACAGTCAAAGTCAGCTCATCCCTGCCCCGGATACAGCTCCTAAGTTCTGTCGCCTGGAGTCTGCTACTTAGGTAAGCCGTGCATGATTCTTGGCAACGAACTAAACTCAACTTACCCGTGTCCTTGGGAAACTGAACGGCCAGCCTTACGCCTTGATCCCCGCGCGCGCACCACGTCGTCCAAAGAAGACAGATATTTCTCTTAGCCTCGCCCAAGCGTCATCTCACATACGTCGTTCGAGGCCGATTTCTTGTCCGCTCTACCCAAGACCTTCCGACATCACATCGCCGGGCAAGAGACACGCCGCCGTGTCATAGTCGCCCATCATGGCCTTTGGCTGGGCCGAGTAAGTTCCCCAGCGTTGAATACGTCTGCCATTGTATCATCACCAAGCTAACAAAACCACCTAGGTTCCGCTCCCTCCTCCTCGTCTTCGGCCCAATCCTCCTTCCGAAAGCAATCTCTGCCTACCGCTCAATCCGAGCCGCCTCCCAGTACCGCGCCGAACCCATCCCGCCTCCGCCCAACGTAACCCGCGCCCTCGCCTTCCTGACCATCCTGGTCCTTTTCTACCTCGCAAAGACGCTTCCCCTCTTCGCCCCCGAGAACGTCTTCTCCCTCACCCAGTCCCGCCTCCAGATCCCCGTCGACGTCCTCTTCACCCGCCTCGCGTCCCTCCGGCCCGACAACGTCCTCACGGAAGCCGACGAGCGCCTGCGCGCCCGCTTCGTCAACCTCGAATCCCGCCTGCTCTACCTCCAGCTCGGCCCCGCCACGCTGGCAGACTGTCCGTTTTGCAAGTCCGACGAGCCCAAGAGCTACTTCTACTACGCCTTGCCCGCGATCGTGCTCCCTCACCTGCTGAACCTCGCCGCGGTAGCATTCGTCACGTCGGCGTCCGTCACGGGCCGCGACGGCGCGAGATGGAGGAGTTACGCGACCATGGCCGCCGCGGCGCTCTGCATCGCTGACCTGAGCCTGGTGAACCAGTACGACTACTCGGCCAACGCGTCCGCGCTGCGGCTCCCCGAGATCGACTTCTTTTACTGGAAGGCCCGCGCGCTGCGTTTCATCGCCCTCGCCCTCCTCGACGTCGGCCTGGGAGGCTTGGTGTACCTGTCTAGCACCCGTCGGGCGTTTGTGCAACCCCCCTCCGAGGCGGAGAGGATCGAGGCGGGCAACCGCGTTCTGAGCACCATCAGGAGTAAGCTCAACGCGCTGGGGATCGTCAAGAACACCACGCTGCGGGACGAGGAGCTGCGTGCGAGGAGCCAGGCGTATTGGTTGCATGAGGTGCGGCTTGTCAGGGAGGTCATGGAGGAGAGAGAGGTCATTGAGGGGGTAAACGATGCGTTGGGGAACCGCATCAATATCCAGAGCATTACGGCCGATGCGGAGGCGTACGCGCAGAGTGTCTTTTCACCGCTAGAACAAAGCATCGAGAAGCCGGAGTAGGGGGTAGGCAATTCGTTTGCCGTGGACCAGATTCATGATAGAGATAATGGGATTCAATGTCCCAGTAAAGATACGATAATGTTTCGACGAATAACAGAACACAGCTTGCGCAGCCCAGAAGAGAAAATTGTATTTAATACGCCTCTAGGGCTGTTAATACGTCAAGAGATATTCCCAATGCCTTCCTCTCCACGCTGGTTCATTCCATACCACCCGCCCCCCTATCCTCGTAACCAAAACCTGCAACGACGATGACGAAGACAACCAGACAATGCTACATGCCCGCTCGCCTGAATGCCTGCCCTGCCGTGCGAGCTACAACGCCGGTTTTCTTATATAACATGTGTATAACGTGTCGGCTGCCTCCAAAGTCCTGACAGCGCGAATGCATTTCGAAAGAAACACAATGAAGTCTTTTCGGTACCCAAGAAATAGAAGTCGCGAGCGACCCTTGATGGGTTCACTGGGCAGAGAATCTTTTGTTCCACAACGGCATCTTCTATCCGCCGCGGGTGTCGGGCCTCGTCGCCGCGCTGCTGGCACTGTCCTTGCGATCGCGGGGAACTCCTGACTGGTTGAGACCCTCCTCGGCGCTGCGCTCCAGGAAACCGGCCCACAAGTCGGCGAGCGACTCCTTGTTGGCCGACGTGGGTGTTTCGGAGAAGAATTCTGTGCTGAGCGAAGGGGTTGATGGGGTGCGATGGAAAGGGGAGGCAGGAAGTCGCAGGCTGTTTGTCGAAGTCCCCGGGCGTGCGAGACCAGCCTGTTCGCGTTGCTCATCATTCCAATTCAGGTAGCCAGCCATGACTTGCAGGATCTGGAAGCGCTTGGGGTCGGATCGATCCAAAGTGAGGAAGTGGAGGAGGTGGTTTGTGACGACTTGTCTGCAGCCGGGTTAGTCCTAAGGCATGTCTTGGTGGGCGAATGGGGGGAGCACATACCTATCTACGTTGTCTTCTGGCTTCGTCTTCTTCAGGTAGCGAAGGGCTTTGGTAAGATGGTCATTGAGCACAATAGCTTCGTGCCGCAGTTTACCGATGAGAAGATTCTTCTCCTTTACCTCCTTTTCGAAGGGCGCCGTACGCTCGAGCTCCTTGGTGAGGTTCTCCTTTGCAGCCTCGGCTTCTGTAGCCCTCGTGTCGGCCTCCTGCACGAGCTTCTTCATAGCCTGGAGCTGCTCCTCCGATGTCTCGACCATCTCCCGCAGTTCCCTCTTTCGCGCTTCCTGAATCTCGCGCAGTGCCTTCTGCAAGTTGTCGATGACCTGCGATTGCTGGTCTCGCTCGGACGAGGCGCTCTCGTAGCCCTCGCGGAGGCTATGGATTTGTTCCTCCAACTCGGAAACCTTCTCCACCAAGCTCTCCTTGACGGAGCGCTCTTCCATTGCGATAACCTCCCATTCGCCCATGGCGTTCGTCGTCGTCTCGACCTCCTCCTTGAGGTTCGCGACCAGCCTCATCAGCTCTTCTCGCTCCTTGACCCAATTTTGTTGAGACAAGTTGCTCCGGCTACGCAGGCTCGTCGCTTCGCGCGAAGTATCTTGAAGTTCCTCCTTGAGTTTGGCCACTTCATCCTCGGATGCCTTTGCGCCGTTCTGCAGTTCCTCGTTTTGGGCCTCGAGTTCCTCGATGCGCTCTTTGGCCTCTTCGAGTTCAGCGCGGTCGCGCTTCAGACGTTCGCCGAGGGTCGACTTGAGGTGATTTACACGCTCAAGAAGCGCCTGGTAATTTTCTTCCGCCTGTTCCTTGGCTGACGCGGTCTCTTCCAGCTCCGACTTGAGATTCGTGACCGTCTCATTGTGTGTCCCCTGGATGGTTTCCAGCTGCTTTCTTAATGCCTCGACTTCTGTGCGCAGTGCCTCTCGTTCCTTCGTGAGAGCGTCTAGCTTAGCCGTGGTATCGGAGCCGGCGCCCTGCTCCTCCGCTGCTTTTTCTATCGGGGGATTCGCGTGGCCGTTGCTCGTCGGCCTTTCGGTGTGGCCATTGGCCGTTGTGTCCTTGTCTGTCGCCTGTCCGGGGCTGGCTTCTTCTGCAGGCGTGGTGTCCTGCGACAACAGTAAGATACGGTGCGTAGAGGTTGCGGACTCAAGGGAGCATTACCTGCACCGGGGTTTCCGGTTCATCATCGCCATCCTCGCCAGCGTCGCGGTGCGAGGCCCCGCCGTCGGTCTCTATGGGTTCCTTGGGCTTGTTCGCATTCTTCTTCTTCTTGCCGCTCTTCTTCTTCCCTAGGGTGTGGCCGTCCAGGTTAGCGCTACTATGACACCATTTGCCTCCGGGGTATATTCAATCGGCGAACCTGAAGATGCGTTTTGGACCGGGTCAGTTGAGGGAGCGGCGGCCGACATATTGGCTTCTCAGATGCATCGGGAGGTGCAGAGCCCTTTGAGCTGTTATGCGCTGCTGGAATCGTAGGCTCTTTTGGCGGTTCGTTGGGAGGTTGCAAGATGTCTAGTTTGCACCTGGCGAATTGTATGTACTTACACCACGTAAGCTAGGTTGGCAAATTAGCGAGCGTGTTCACTTCACACGCGGAAGGTGCTGATCCCCAGTCCCCCACACTGCCCTGGCCTGTCGGAGAGCTCCACTAAAGTTGCCGATAGCGATAACTGTTAGCTAAGGGCAGCGCATCCAGCGCCAATTGAACTGTTGCCGAGCCTGAGCGCCAACGGTCTTCTGGAGATCAAAGCGAGAGATTACTAGGATTTCCTATGTGGAAATTCCAAGTCAATTGAGGAATGATTTCTCAGAAGTTGACTGCTCAACTATAAACTTCAACAGGTGTTTCCAGCAGCAAGCACCAGATCGATACATGAAACGAGGCCCTCGGTGGCTGGTCAACTGACTAACACGAACCGCCTTACCTTGGTATGTCCTGTATGATGCCGACTGCAAATGGTTCGCTTGGATTGAATGACCATTGACATACGCACTGTGTGAGTTCGAGTTGCATTGTGCCCAGTCTCCGAAAATACCTTGAGTCCCTTGTTACGAGATGCATCAGCAGATGACTGAGAGATACAACAATGCTTTACGAGGTTCATCCAACATTCTGGAGGAGTCGAACGGCGGGTCTGGGCTGACTAAGCCTTATCTTATCAGTCGCTGGCCCTTCAAGAACCGTCGCTTCGTGGGGAATTTTTTCGTTTCCCTTCTTCTCTTCTTCATACATATTCACCCTTCGCTGAAATAACTCTCTGAACAAGCCCATTTAATCAATGACTTGGTCATTTTTGACGCTGAAGTAGAGCAGATTCGCCTTTTATAATCCCGGTGCCTGCCCAATTCTGAATGGGTGCGACGGGTTCGCTATGTGCGTACATACCAATCCTAGTGAATTACCCTTTATTGTTTTGATGAGACTCCCCAAATAGTAAATGAAGTGGAAAATGCGGAACAGAAACTTTTGACACACAAGTACATCGTGACGCGGGATATCATTATGGACCTCAGTTCTTGGACTTTCTCCTGCCGCCCTTCTTCGCCTTGCTCTTGGGCGTCGCCTTGGGTGTCTCCGCGCTCTCCTCCTTCTCCTCGACCGCAGGAGCAGCCTCCTCCTCGGTAGGCTTCTCCTCGACCGGGGCAGCTTCGATGGCCTTCGGGTCCTCGGGAGCGGCGATGGCCATGGGCTCAGGCGGCGGCGCGACGGCTTCCTTCAGCTTAGGGGCGTCGAATTCGTAACCCATCTCCTTCATCTTCTGAGCACGCTCCTCGCGCTTCTTCTCTTCCTTTGTCTTCTTCAGGGACCAGTGCTCCTCCGTTCTCTTCTTCGCGACCTCGTTCGCGGCGATCTTGTGCCAGGGGATCTTCTTGAATCGCTTGTTGGCGCCCTTCCAAAGGTTCTCGTGCAGCGAGTCCTTGGGGACGGTCTTGACCTTGAGGATGTGGCCGAAGAGGAGGTAACTGTCCATAGTCTTGGCGACGATTTCCGCGGTGCTCTGCTCGGCAAACTCGATGAAGGCCCAGTGCTTGCTCGCACCGGTCTTCTTGTTGCGGGCGAGCCTCAGCCTGTTGATTTTTCCAAACTGCGAGAAGTAACCCTTCAGCTCGTGCTCGTAGAAACCGTGGGGCAGTCTCGAGATGAAAACCACGCCGGGCTCCTCGCTCGATCCCTCCGTCAGCTTCTTCTGCTTCTTGAACTTGGGGATCTTGCCAACGTCTTGGCCCTCCTTGAAGACAGTGCCGTCACTCGCCGGCGCATCCTCAGGGTCGAGGCCAGCGGCAAGCGCCTGGATGTCGGCGTCGATCTCGTCGTCGGAATCGGCGCCATCCTCCAAGGCAATGACGGAGGTCTCGGCGTCCTCAACAACCTCAGAGGTCTCGGATTCGGCCTCCTCGACGGGTTCGGACTTGGTCGCAGCCTTCTTGGATTTCGCGGCTGCCTTGGCAGGCTTCTGCTTCTTCGTCGCAACGGGAGAGGTCTCTTCGGGTGCTAGAGATGGAACTGTTAGCTAATACGCTTTCCGAATCCAATCCGGAACGTACCTTTGCGCTTGGGGGTCTTTTCGACCTTCTTCTCGACCTTCTCGACCTTCTCAGCCTTCGCAGTCTTCGCAGGCTTCTCAGTCTTCGTCTTTTCCACCTTGGTCTTCTTGGCTGCAGGCTCGGCCTTGTCAACCTTCTTCGCCGCGGGCGATTTCTCGGCCGCAGTGACCGCTGAATAAATATTAGATATTGCCAGCAGGGATCGCGTGAGGTGATTTCACTCACATCTGGTTCTCTTCCTCAATTCGGGCGCCATTTTTGCGGTTTGTGCTGGGTTGCGTTTGGGTCCAGGCAAATTCCTATCATCCGCAGTCGAGTATTCGTCGCAAGCGAAAAAATAAAAATTTCAAGGTTCTGCCGCTGCGATATGGAGGCGGTGAGGATAAGACCCCGCTAACGCGGTGCTGGCAGACGGTCTAGCCAGGGGCTTCCAGCAGTGCATCGGCGCCGGAACCGCAGCGGAGCCGACCACTGTCTGCACCGCTACGCGCTAAGGTAACCTTGAACGTCGAGGAGCATTTCAGTTCCATGCAGTCAGGCAAGGTAGAAAACCACGTCTATGAGCCGCAATCTCTCCAATCTGGATTATCAAAACGTCCCAAGCTGACACCGACTTCAGCGACATCTTTTTTCGTGGATGCAGATCAGCATATATCAGGCTCTAACGGCACCCGTCAGAAGATAGCGTCTTGAACTCACCTTTTCATACCATTTGGCCTCATTACCGCAATAACACGCCGAAAGCACGTTCGCGTCGTCTGGCCCATGAGACATCACCATCGATCGAAGAAAAGTTGCACGAGCCCTCTCAAGAAATCGGAATAACCTCTCTCCTTACAGCTGCCATCCAGCCTCGACAGGAACGATCGGCTCCACCCATCCTCACCTCTCACACTTTATTTACTCCAGACCTTTGAGCAGGCCGCTATCCTTGCCTCTGTCACGCCGCAGGAACAGACCAGAAGCTTGAGTCTGCACCGCCGTCATCGCCCCAATTTTCCCAGACACGTGGCTCTCCTCGACTGAGGAGCCTCATCCTCAGCAAAGAGTCAAAAATGGCCGGCGACAACGTGGAAATGACGCATGCTGAGATGTGGGACGACTCTGCTCTCATAGAGTCTTGGAACGAGGCTCTTGATGAGTACAAGGTGAGGGTTCTCGTCTCGGCTAGGACGACTGCCTCCATCAAAACATTTGCTGATCAACTTGGCAGAAGTATCACAGCATCCACGCAAAGGGAGGCAGGCTCGAAGACATTGATCTTCAGGAGAAATCAGAACCCCAGTACGGCCAGGCGTCTCTCCAGCCTTTATGAAAACACCAAGAGATGACCTCTGACATTCAATGATCTCCTTAGGACCCATTTAACCACCGGCTCGGAAACGAAAGCGGTCGATCAGCCAGAGACGGTGGACGGCGAAGAGGCAGCCAACGAAACGAAGGGCGCGGAACGCAGCACGGATGTAAAACAACCCATTCACCCCAGAGGAAATCCAGGCAGATCAGAAAAGCTTGGCATCCTTCTGTCCAGCATTCTCTTCGCTTCCGCTAACGTGTTCCTTGCTCCCACCAGGTTCAGCCAACAGCCGGCGTGCCTATCGCAAACACTATCTCGGGCCACAGCGGCAGCGTCCCAAGTCCTGCGACGATGGGCCCGCAGGGTCTTCTCGGTTCAGGTACGTATAATGCTCTCCGGCTCGGGTCTTGGGTCTAAAGGCTATCCGGTGCCGCGCCCGTTGAACCAGAGCAGACCATAACGGAAGCCGTGACTGACCAGTACGCCCTCGTGGTTATAATTTGCAGTGCAAGACGAAGGTCTGAAGAGATTGTTGATGTCTTGGTATTACGCCGGATACTACACCGGGCTTTACGAAGGCCAGCAGCAAAAGCAGCAGAGACAGTAGCCGCGACAATGAGGCTGAGCTGACTCCTGTAGCCTGGGATGATGAAGACGTGGGTGGTGTGGGGAATGGGGTGAGGTCGGCCGTCCTGAGAAGCGGCTACTCGAGAGTTTATCTGATCGACGTGCGGGAGGACGACTCTGTAACACGATCTGTTCCATCGTCCGATGATGCAACGGCGCCACACGGTTCCTTGTCTGAGGTTCGCCATGGCATGTGTCACACGAACGACAGGAGTGCAGGCCTTCGGTCAGCAGAATTTGATTCGCCATTCTGTCTGTCATACTGCAGGCTCCTGCGGTCTTGGGACGGAGGAATGTTAATATTTTTTTTGGTTGTCCAAGTCGGGGTCGGGCGAACTTGAGCTGGCGGGTCCCCCTCCAATACCGATGCAACCATGCATGGAGACCTCGTGGCTGCTGCGACGAAATTTAGAAATTGGCGCGCTCTTGTCTGCTCGCCCAAGAGTTCGTTTTGTTTCACTGTGGACGGGTCTGGGCTTGGTTGTTTCTCCTCTCCGCGCAGCAGAGCCTTGTCGCCCATGTCGCCGAAAGAATTTTACGCGCTTCTGCGAGCCAAGTTGGCAAGCTGCATGGGGGCCAGCGGACCAAGATCCGAAAAGAGACTCAACAAGACGGCACAGAAGAGATGACACCGCTAGCGCCAGCCTAGGCGAGATAGCCTCGTGTATGGCGGGCAATCACAGCGGGTCGGTGGTATTGTCGAGATGAGCTGGTGAATGGCTGCGATCGGAAACACGTCGAGATGCGGCCTCTGGATGGAAACGTCAACGTGGAGTCGCAGTGCTCAGCGACGTCCTCGGCCTCGCGAGCAATGTCCGTCTGGCCGCGATCCAGCATAGCAGGCGAATATGACATGTTTCCGAGGAAATCAATATACGATGGCACGACCTGAAGCAAGGGTTCGTGCGATTCATGTTTGCCTCCCACTGCCGTACATCCACAGCCAGTCGTGTGTACCTGGCGTATCGCGGGTGTCTTCTGGGCCGGTCAGCCGTTAATCTGCACATCGAGCATGGAGATCCTCCGGACCGGCGGTGCCATCCACGCGCGGATGGTATGCAGCGTCCGAGCCATCGACGCGGAGCCGGGTCGAACGGATAGGTGATTCAGTCGGGGCTTGACAGGACGGTAGGGAGGCCGATGCATGTTTTTTTTTCTTCCTTCGGTCGATTCCCGAAGCAGCGCCATCACCGTCAGGTTTAATGACGGGGAGAAGACCAAGGGTAGCAATGCGAGGAATTTCACCAGGAGTACCAAGAGGATGACAAGAGGATGGCGGTGCTGGAAGAGAAATAAGCCGATGTCTAGGGCGTAGATGGCCTCGTGTCAGGTCTCTTAGTTCAGGGCGTTTGGGCAGACGGGTAGCATAGCAGTCGGAGTAATGGTAGCAATGGTGGAAAGCCAAGGTGATTTCGAGACTGGATGGACAAGGTCCATGGATGAAGGTGAGTAGGAGTTGCTAAGAGTTGGGACGGAAGGGTGTACTTGGTGCCGCATAGAAGTTTGCGGTTGTGAGGTGTGGCTGCTGACAAGGGCGGGTAGATGAGCAAAGTTGGGTGGAGACAGGGCCTTAAGGATGACGATGGAGATTGGGCCGGTCTGGTCTTTGTTCATCTCTCCCCCATCTCACACACTCAAGCTCTTGGACTTTTCTTGGATTGTGGGCCGGGAAGAATGGCCCGCGGTCAGAGGAACGGATGAAGTGGAAAGAATCGAGAGAGAGACAGAGCTGTGAGAGGTGGAAGGAGGGAGAAGGGGTGGGCGGGGGCGGACTCGTTTCATAGTCTTCAGTGGCCGTTTGAGGCGGCTGCACGCCGAGCATGTACTCTGGAATACTGACTTGGGCACAGCTGGCAAGTCGTGCCGACTCATGCGGATTAGTAGTGGGTGTCAATTGGTGAGAAGGGGGAAGAGGGAAGAAAACCTCTCTCACACTTTGGTGAGACTTGAGAAGCCGAATACCGAGAGGGACGGAAAGGTGGTGGATGTGGTGCAGAAGCACATGCAGATACCTAGTATTGTAGAGATACAGATGCGGATGCAGGGACGGTGCAGACCAAAGACTCAAGACGCTGAGTCTGTCTGAAGGCACGTGTTGAATCCGATCTCGTCTTGACAGGACCTGAGATACACCTGAGGCTTGACGTCAGCCAGTTAAATTGGTGATTAGATCTAGGCAAGGTGAGGTGAGGTGATGTGAGAAAGTGTGGAATGCAAGACTCTGCATCCGTGAGGTACTATGTAAGGTGGTAAGGTACCTGCAGGAACGAGGTGTAAGGGGGGTGGGACGCCATCCCGATGCTCCGGCAGCTAAAATGCTAGTTCAGGGGGTCCAACCACCTTAATTGGCCGCAATAAGGTTTAGCATTCTCCAAGACAGCGGGAGGGTTAATCTACAGAGGGCGACAAGCCTTGTTCGGGGCATTTGGCAACTGGACGGGACGGGGGAGGGTCCAACGGCGACGCAGGTCATTGGGTGATTAATCTATCGTTGGTGCTTATCTGCTTACCTTAGCCAAGGTAGGTCGTTAGTTCAACCGTCCATTAGATATTGTCTCGTCAAAAACATCAACATATCAATTACCTCGATGCGACAAATTCACAAAACTCAAGAGGCCTCCTTCCCTCCAACTACACAAACCACACTCAACCATGTTCCCGCAGCGACAAAAGCGAGCGTAACATGCAAAACCCTTGGGGTATACTACGAGAGAACCCTACGAGGTACCTCGCTTGGGGTCCGAGCGACTACCGTCTTCGGAAGGGCAGTCAGGGGTCAGTTAGCGACGTGCCAAAACACGACTCGAGACGATTCTGTCACAGCTCCTCTCTCCCTTCACCACGCTAGCGCCAGTCCGCAGCCTGCCACTGGTGCTTCTCTCTCTCTCTCTCTCTTTCCCGTCTTTCTCACTTCCATTGACACCAACACCTGCTTCCGCTTGTGCTGCGGCTCCATTGGCATTGGTGTTGGCAGCATCATCGTCCCTCCTCCCCTCCTATCGCGAGAAGCCTCTTCGCATCCGTCATCCATCCGGTCTCCACCCCCTGGTTCCTCCCATCCCTCATCCCTCATCCCTCACCCCTCCCTACCTCCCTACCACCCAACCTCCACCCATCTCCATCTCGTCTTGGCTTTTTTTCTTTATTTGCACCAAGCTTGGGATGGCAATGCCGCCGTGGGCCTGTGCTTCGTGTGCTTAATCGGACGCTACGTCCCCGAGCAACGAACCGCCCCTCAGCACCATCACTAACATGCCCAATACCCAACCGAAAATCATCATCGTTAGGTTGCCTTGCCCCTCCGCCCTCTTCCAGACTCCAGTTCTCCGTGACCACCCCTGATTCCCATACCAAGGTCCCCCCCGAGGCGCTGCTTGGCTCGCCCTTGGCCTGTATCCGTACGGATACACCAAGCCAAACCTGCACCAAGCCTCCAAGGACGGGCTGGCGGATGATTTTCTCGTCCTGTTTCGTCCTCGTCCATGTTGCGCCCGGGAAGGGGCTATCCCATGTCCCGTCCATGACATTACACTAGCTATCTACACTAGAGAAAGAGAGACATGGGATAACGAACGGATAATGCCAGGGTGCCTTTACAGAGTACATGGGCCACCACCACGACACTCCCGTCTCTCTCTCGATTTAAGCTCTCCTCCTCCCCCCATATCCTCGCCACCTCAGAGTTTCTGTTTCTTCCTCCCCATCTCCTCTTCATCCGCCGAGTGTCTTCACACGTTCTTTTTGAACTTTCGTTCTCTTCCGGTTCCGTGTTCAATCCTTTTCGTCACGAGCAGGCCCTCGCCATCCAGCAGTTACTAAACCCTTTTATTCCCTTTTAAAGCTCGACAGGCTCTAGCAGTCTTCCTACCAGCAAAATCTTCCGAGAAGAGAAATATTAAAAGAAAAAAGAAGATAAAGAGGAAGGACTTTGGACCGCATCCTCGATATATATCAACAAGAAAGGTCTCCCTAATCGACGACATCAACACCACACAACCGCCAACATGAAGTTCTCCGCCGTGTTAGCCCTCTCCGCCGCCGCGATGGTCTCCGCCAGATCCGCCCGCAACACCTACCCCGTCCGTCGCGATGGTCACAAGAAGGAATCCTCTGCCGAGATCGCTAAGGCTCTTCCCGCTGGTATGGCAGGATTCGGAGTATCAAACAGCCAGGTCACTGAGGTCATCATCATTTGGGCGAACCCGGGTGCCGGCGCGCCTACGATCAACATCAACCCTCCCGCCGGTGGTGCCGCCGCTCCCCCCGCCGCTCCCCCCGTTGCCGCTCCTCCTCCGGCCGCCCCTGCCGCTCCTCCTGCCGCTGCTCAAACCCACCAGGTAAGTCGACTTGCGCGCTGTCAATCTTCAGTCATGCTGACATCTCCTCAAGGTTACCGTTGGTGGCCCCGCCGGTCTCGTCTTCGTTCCCGACCAGGTCAAGGCCAACGTTGGCGACATGGTTGTTTTCACCTTCATGAGCCAGAACCACACTGCCACCCAGTCTTCCTTCGCGAAGCCTTGCGACCCTCTGGCCGGTGGTATGAACTCTGGCTTCATGGCCAACCCCAACAACTCCGTTGCCCCGCCTCCTCAGGTCGCCATGCAAGTCATGGTCTCTGAGCCTCTGTGTAAGTTGCCTCGCACACATCTCGTCCTGTTCGCATCTAACACGTCTCAGGGTTCTACTGCGCTCAGGCCAACCACTGCGGAAAGGGCATGACTTTCTCCATCAACCCTACTGCCGACAAGACCCAGGCCATGTTCCAGTCCATGGCCATCCAGCAAAAGGGCAACGGTGCTCCCAGCGCCATCGTCGGTGGTCAGCCCCCTGCTGCCGCTCCCCCCGCCGCCTCTGCTCCCGCCGCCGCTCCTCCCGCTGCTGCCCCTGCCGCCCCTGCCGCCCCTGCCGCCCCCGCTGCCGGTGCCGGTAATGTCCAGAGCGGCACTGGCCAGATCAACGGAAACGGAGCTTGCGTCTGCTCCGTCACTTGCTCGACCGGCTCATTCCCCGCAGCTGCACAAGGCGTTGGTGCCTTCGGTGGCATGGCAGGCTCTCTCCCCATGAACATGATGGAGGCTTAAGAGGATAGACGGAAGGATAGAAACGCCCAGTCGTGCTCTTCCCCTCGCCCCTCAGTAGTCTCTTATTCATAAATCATCCGGGAAAGAATAACCTGTTTTATTACCCACTCCGCTGGGAACGATACCACATATCCGGAGTTGTCGCAGTTTTTTGGTGGCCTATGACCTTTTTCTCTTTTTTTCTTTTTTTCTTTTCTCATCACATGTAGATTTCTCTTTTGTTGGTTGTGGAAGACGACGAGGTGCACAAAAAGAGCGGGAACAACGGTCCAGAGGACTCGAACTCTTCTTTGGTGTTTATGGGAGCCCACCCCAGCATTCGTTACTGTTTTCGAAACAGGCGAAGGCAAAAAAAAGGAGGGAATCTAAGGGGTTTAGGGATAATTACAGAGTATGACTGGTTCGTATTTCCTGGATGGGATGCTTTTTTCACAACCACTTAATAGGAATCAATAAATGGATGATGAATGATCACGCTCAAAACTTGCATTATTTTCTGAACATAACTTTTTCTGCGATGAGAACAGGCCTCTCTGTGCTGGATGAGTGGGAGCCCTGTCGCAAGTGGACAAGGTGAACAGGGGAACATGGAAAGTAGGATATCCGAGATTACTCGCGTCGTGTTACAACTCGCAAGGTTTGATCGGCCGTTGAGTGTTTGTGTGTGGCCCGCCGGGCGAGAGCGCCGCCGGAGGGGAGGGGAATGGAGGATGTGGAGGCAGCCGTGTTTCCCGGCCGTGTGGGCTGAACGGTCGGCCAATGAGATATGGCATGAGAAGCCGGTAGCCGGTGCCTCGTGAGGACCGTGTCGCTGCGTCAGTCAGAAGTAGGAAGTGTTCTGCTCATGACTTATCAAGTCGTCCGTGGACGGCCTGAACAGATTCGTCGAAATAGATAGCCATCATCTCTCGCTCTGATCGACGTGCAGAACCTGACGTCTGACAACTGCATGTGTATGTATGTCATCGGTTTCGCCCGAGTAACCAAGCTCTCTGCGCAAAACACACGGACGGACTACGGAACAAGCCATGTCGTTTCTGAAAAGTGTGAAGAAACGACCGGCCGGCCGCGAGCAAGCAGGGTCCTGAGGAAGACGTCGTGGCTGTTCAGGTCTTGACTGAAATGATGCCAAAGACAGAGAGAGAAAGAAAGAGAGAGAGGAAAGCCGAACTAGGCCGGGCCCTTTTCCCGCGTCTTGGAATTTATTTGCTATATTTATGTTATCGTTGTATGTTCCGTCCAAAGCACGCCGAATGCAACCCCCCACTTCGCCCCGATTGAAAAAAGAAAAAAGGAAACCGACGCCGGTGAATCGTTTGCAAGTCGTTGCTGTGTTTTGTTTCTTGCGCAGTCTCTCCTGAGCTCCTCTCCTCCTCGCTACCATCATCTCTCTATTCACAAGGGGTCACCCTAGCACAGAGTACGCCGGCATCCGTCCTCCTCCCGGAAGAAGATCAGGCTTACTCATCTCACTCTCATCAACCTCGGAAGGGGGACTGGGGCAACTAGCCGGCCAGACGGGTAACCAACGCGGGTGATAAGAGGACGAGTCGAGAAGACTGTAGAAGAAGAGTCGAAGAGCGAGCAAGAAAGACTGCTGGTCCCCCGGTGCCTTCTATTTCTTCTTCGCATCTTTTCCGCCGGCACCCTCCGCTGCCTTCTTGGCCTCGGCTGTGAGAAACGGTCAGCATCCACGTCTCACTCACTCGGCCGCATAGACTGTTTGTCCAAAAAAGTCCCGGAAGACCCGAGTGTGATCCTCTCCGAGCCATCGCAGTCCAGATGGATTAAGAAAAACAAAAGGGGGAGGCAAAACTCACATGCGGCCTGCTTCTGTCTCATGATCTCAGCGGCAGACTCCTTGGCGCGCTGGAACTCGGTGCCGCTCATGCTGTTCTTGGTCTTCTGTACCATGGGGAAACTCAGGCATCAGCAACTTCACTCACTCTCTCTCACACGCTCTCTCACTCTCTCTCTCAAAAAGCCACGTCACTGCCCAAGGCGCTGATTGACCAACAACCACCGCGACCGCCCTCATTTCGCCCCCGTCAAACCAGCTCCCGGCACTAAACCGTCCTGCTCAAAACTCCCTCCAAAACGGCCTGGCGAGCACCGAAAGCTGGTTCCAACGGCGGTAGAAAGCAGTGTCGGTCGCGATGGGATGCGGTCAGGCGATGGAGAACCCGGGCGTAAGCACGACCAGAGGAAGAAGGGGGGTGGGGAAAACAAAAACCACTCACGGCAGAGTTGGCCTTCTTCTGAGCAGCCTCACGGGCCTTGTCGCGCTGGTTACCACGGGTCATTTTCGTCGAGGTTGGAAGTCGGTAAATCGACTCGGAGAAGGGTGTTGGCTAGCAAGTGAGGTTATGCTGTGGTAGCGATGAGAGCTGTGACACGGATCAAGAGGAAAGGGCAGGAGAAAAGAAAGGGAAAAAAAAAGGAAGGCTTCGAGAGGTCTGGCCTTTTTTCTTTTTTCTTTTTTTTTTTCCCCTGCCCCCTTCCGCCGCAGGCCCGCGCGCCCGCCCGCGTGAAGTACTACCTAACAACACAGTGAGGCTGTGCCCCCAATGTCAGCCCAGCCGCTTTTGGGAGCCCCCGTACCCGGCTGCGGGAGAGCATCGGTTTGCGATTTCATCCAACCACAGAGCTTCTCTGGGGCTCTCGTTTCGCCTCACAGGCTCCACTCCCTAGGTAGGTAGGTAGGTTCGTCTCATCGAGGCCTGAGACCATAGAAGAATAACACGACGCGCGCCAAACATAAATAGCCACTTTTCACACCACATAGGAACATAGTTTTGTTCAAGAGTTTGTTTCTTGATCTACCTAGATACATGCGTGGTCTCGGGTTGCTGGGCATCTACTGAGAGGCGTATGCAAATCGAGATGCCCCTGCACATCATCCCCATCGACCGGAAAGCAAAATAACGCCTTTTCATCCCTAGAGTCTCTTACACACAAACGAGAAAGCTCTCTCCCATCGCAAGGTCGCTCGAATCTGTCCCATAACCCCCTGATACGCGAGAGTCAATGTCCACCATTCTTGCCAAAATCTGTCCTCCCAATCAGAATAGCCATGAGAGAGTATCGGGGTAAAGGTCGAATGAGCGGTCCATGCCGGAAACAAGAAACGTATTACGCCAAGCACATGCGAGAAGAGAAAGAAGGAAAAAGAAGGGGAAAAAAAAAACCGCCGCCAATGTCATCCTGTCCCAAAGCTGGCCCCTATGCAATGCGCGTGCAGTCGAGCAATTCCAGTGAAGTCTCGTTGAGCCATCTCTGATCTCGTTGACAGGACGATCTCGAGATTCGCCACAAGACAGAAGAGCCGCTGCCGTCTGAGGAAGGAAACAAAATCTTCCCCGTAATCGTGTTGCTTCATGATCAGCGTTGTCATGGCAGGTCGTTTAGAAGAATTAAGCCGATGTCGTCGTGAGTGCGATCCAATCGTGAACCAAGGAACCGCGATGTCCCTGGGAAGCGAGCGTGGAGAATCGAAATGAAAAAAATAAGACGCAAGAAAAAACAAAAGGAGAAAGGAAGAACGTTCGTCTATGTCGATGTCTGCGTCAAGTACAAGCCTATTGAAGGCTCCGTCGGATCTGGTGACGGCTGCCAAGAAGCAGAATGCGATTCTTATGATTGCGCTGTAAATGCCTAGGGCATTCATACGCTGCCCGAATCCATAGTGTACACACAAGACAAGCCTTGCAACCAGATGCAAGACCGCCGTGCTGGACGGATGAGGAGGTTGGTGGGGGTTGCGATTCTGTATGTTGGTGGGGTTTGATTTTGGTGTTTGCACAGACAGTGAAAGGAAAAGATCGTCAAGTCGTTGCTGTGTCGTCGCGGTGCTGTGTCGAAAGAAAAACCGTCGCGGAAAGCATCATGCCGCCCATTAGATTTGTTGCCGAGTGCCCGCGTCGCATTTCTTGCCATTAGAAGTGAGATCCCACGTCGACAACGCTGTGTACAATTACAACCATTGGCTTGTCTCGCCACCGGCACCAGCCTCCGCAGCAGTACCGCCAACGCGCGGCTGCGGGGCGTATCCGTACTGCTGCATTCGCTGGGACTGGGGAGCCGGGGGAGGCACAGTGACGGTGGATGCCGTGGGATAGTTGGTTTGGTTGCCACGAGGAGCCATGCCACCGTTTAGACCGCCGTTGAGGCCGTTGCCGAAGGAGCCTCCGGGACCAGAGGCAATGACCGAAGTGTTGTTCGACATGGCACGGTTGTGACCCGGGCGCAGGGCAATCTGACCCTGGCTAGGGTCGGCGGGAGTAGTCTGGCCACTGGAGGTAGCACTGCCACGACCCTCGAAGGCCTGAATTTTGGCCTGGATGCGACGTCCGTAAGGCGTAGATCGAATTGACGGCAAGATGGGTCGGATAGCGTCAACCAGGCGGAACTTGCTGTGGGGAGTCGCGTACTCGAGCGCTGTCTGGATAACGTAGTTGGCATAAGAGTCGCGGAGGAGACGCTCTATCTCGCCAGGAGAAAGGAGCTCTTCGACAATCATGTCGCGGGAAGGCTCCTGAGAGCAGCGCAGACACTTCTCGATGACGTTGGAGCTGAACTTGTGACGAGAAAGCTGGCCAATGCGATTCTGGAACATGCGCACGATGGGCTCAGTGAAGGAGGGCTCATTGAGGTCAATGATGTACTGAACGACGTAGTTGCCGAAGGGGTCCTGGACCAAAATCGGAGCGTGGTCGGTGATCTTGGCGATCAGCCAAACCTTTTGATCACCGGATGCATGATCAATGCAGCGTTGGAGAACACAGCAGCCGTGGCGGTGAGTGCCTACGTCGACGCAGTTGGTACCGACGGCATCAAAGATGAACTGCGCATCCTGCGCACTGAGCTTGTTAAGACACTTCTGGATGACGTGGTTGCCGTTGAGATCCTGGATGAGCTCAACAACCTGGAAGCGCAGGGCATTGATGATCATCTCGATCTGGGTGGGAGTGGTGACGAATTCAATCATCTTCTGCAGGGCACGAGTGCCGTGCTGGTTAAGAGCAATGCGAACCATGTCGTTGGCAGCGTTCTGGATAAGGACGGTGCGCTCATCATCGTTGCAGTACTCCAAGAGCTTTTGGCACAAGTAGTTGCCAAATGGGTCGGTCATGAGCTCCGTGACATGCTGGTTGGTCTCGAGCCAGATCATGTGGACCTGTTCGGGGTTGCGCTCCTCGAGCTTCTTTTGCAGATAGCGACAACCGTGTTGGTCCTTGCAGAGATCATAGATTTGACCGCCCACAGTCTCAAGGGCGAGGCCGTTGTAGCGCGACATAGCTAGGCGGTGTTAGTTGGGTTCCCGTGGGTTACCAAGGAGCAAGGAGAAACAGGGATCGTACCTTCGTTGTCCATCTGGCGGCGGTGCTGAATGACACGAGCCTGGCTGTCGCGAGGCTGGGGCTGCGGGTTGTAAAGCGCCCCATAACCAGAGTAGTTCTGGGCAGGATACATGTTGTTGCCGCCCAGGTTCATGTTCTGCATGCCCATGGCCAGAAGCGGCATGCCGTAAGGTCCAGGACCGCCGTGACCGCCGTGACCACCGTGACCACCGTGACCACCGTGACCACCAGGACCACCAGGACCAGCAGGACCAGAGGTAGGAGGCCCAGTGTTGGAAGGAGAGACATAGCCATTCGGGTAGAAGTTGCCGTACGCGTTGTTGGGACCGGCGGGGCCAGCAGTAGCCACCTGGTTGGGAGTCGGGTTGCCCTGAGAGTGGTGAGGGAAGCCCTGGCCCGGAGCGCCAGGGCCGAAAGGAGCAGCGTTGGCCTGCAGAGCGGACTGGATGGAGGGGAAAGAACCAGCCTGCTCGCGGACACCAGCCATGCTGTTGTCGTTGGAGAGCTCACGGCTATGACGGCCGGGGACAGCACCAGCAGGGATACGACCAATGCTGGCATTGTGGTTGTGGAAGTGCTGCTGGGCGTGATTATTGGTCACGGCAGCGTTGTTCGCGGTCTTGACGGTAGGCACGTCGTTAGCAGAGAAGGAGCTCTGCAACTTGGGAGGAGTGGCCATGATGTGGTTGGTAGGCGAAACAACGGAGTTCTGGTTATCGGAAGGTGCGTCGGGAAAGAACTTGAGGTCGAGCGAATGGCGAACGGAGGCTCTGTTGTTGCCGATATCGCCAGATGAAGCAGCTCCGTTGAGCGCAGAAGTGTTGATAGCAGACAGACTCTGTTGAGTTCGGTGACGGTTAATATGGCCCCAACCTTTGGTAGTGGTGGTGGTGGTAGGCGCGTCGGGGGCAGGCGAAGGAGAGAGGGCAAGGTCAAGGGCAGCGGAGGATGCAGAAAGCTACACGACCCAACAATGTCAACACTATGAACAGAGGCTGACAATTTTGTATCGTTGGTTCGGATCGAGACAACAAGTGAGGGTATTCCTGCAAAACCCCGACCTTGACGGGGGGGAGGGGGGGGGAGGGAAGGAAGAATGGAGGGGAGGTAAGATGGGTGTAAACAGACAGAAGAGAAGAAGGTGCGAAATTTTGTTGCGGAGGAAGAATTTTCCCAATGGGAAAAAAATGAAAATAAAAGCGAGGACGGAGACGCGAAGGAGGAGGAAGGCCGTGGTGGGTGGGGTGAATGGGATGAGAGGTAGAGGTGATGAGGTTGGGAAGGTGCGGTTGCTGGGTTGAGAACTCGCTCCTTCCCAAGTTCAACTCAAGCTTCAAGTCCCGATATCAAAATTTTGGGCGCAGCAATCCATCAAACCGCACTGGCTCGCAACTTGCTTTGGAAGGCGAGGCGGGGTTTTTGGTAGAACGGGGGAACCAAACGTGACAGATAAATGAATAGATAAAAATTGTGACTTACCATCTGATCGTCGCGACGCACCAAAGTAGGGAAGTTGTCGTCGTTGCCCTGTCCGTACTTATGCTCGCCAGAAGCGTCTTCTTCGCCAAAGAGGAAGCGAGCGGTGCCGGTTTGGTCGAGGTCGGAACCGTACAATCCAGTTCGGGACCTGGTCACCGGCATAGAATACCGGTTGTAGCTGTTGAAGGAAGTTCCACTGTCAGTACAAGCCTTGGTGAGATGTTTCCTGTTGTAAGTGAGTTCTTGGATAAGTCGCGATTTGTTTCGTTTCAAAATGAAACCAAGTCGACAAGCAGATTTGCCCTGAAATAGCTCTAACTCTAAGCACGTCCTTGTACGGTCGTGGTCGTGTCAAGACAGCAAACCAAAGGCTGGAAGGAGCGACTGGTGAATCTTAAAACGTAGGAGTTGTAGTTGAAGTCGTGATGTTGAACGTGGCTTGGAACTGCGCGTCGTTGAAGAAGAGGCACGCCTGTTGAACTGTGAAAGCTTGCTGAGTATGTGAAAGAACTTTTCACGCAGGCTGAGTTGGTGTTTAAGTCAGAAGCCTCAAGGGCTAATGATGTGTTGTAAAGAAGACAGGTCAAGGTTAAGGCTGTGGTTGAGTTGTGGTTGTGAACCTTGAGAGTTGCAGACTCAAGGTATCACACTCGAGTTGAAAGAAAGAAACTCCAGTTTGGTAGTGGCGAGACCAGACCGGGAGAATCCAGTGTCCTGAGCAAAGCCATTGAGGGAAGGAACCAACCCAATCCGCCTTCCCTGCCCTGCCCTGGGCGGCAAGAGCTGCGACCGCAGCAAATAGAGGGTTTGGCCTCTTTAGCCAAATACCTACCCTGCATTACACTACTGACTGCTTCGGAATCGGAGCAATCAAACCAGCAGCACTTACTCACCACGACTTATCCAAGGACACACACATGGTTACGGGTAAAGGACTTACGCATTGGAGGACCGATGGCTAGTCGGGTCCTGGCGAACCGCCTCCTCCTTCTCGTCTTCATCGCTGTTTCTTCGGGAGCCGGGGACGGATCGAGATGGAAGATGTTCGTCGAAGTTGAAGCGCGATTGCATCATGGTCGACTGAGGAGACGTGAGCTGCGATCCCGAGCGGCCGGGACGGTTGAACAAGCCCGGGGGCGACGTCAGGCTCGAGGTTGAGTAACGGTTCGGCCGGGAGAACATCGTAGGGAAGCCGGAAGACTCGTGGTATTCGGGAGGCGTCGTGGGCTCCGACTGGTGACCCTGGCGCAGGTCGTCCTGCATCTTGGCGAGCTCCATCTCTTCGCGTCGCTGTACCTGCTCCAGCTTCTGCATCTCCAGTTCAAACCGGCGTCTTTGCTCGCGGATCCTCTCGTATTCGAGTTTCTTCTTTTCAAGCTGCACCGAGTGTCAGTCTTGCTGTGAGGCTAAACGAGCTACCATGATTGCGGCGCTGCAAGCCGCCACCGTCCGTCGCCAAGTTTCCGATTCCGAGCGTGGAGAGGGGCCCACGAACCAGTTGAACTTTGTGCAAAGTCTGCGAGTCTTTTCGTCAGCCCAACCGTTCGTCCATGCATGCGCACCAAAATCAATGCGCGAGAGATGGCACAATGCGACCACGATCCAAGCGTTTCGCAGTCCAGACTGAGGGCACATACGTTATAATCGTTGCCCATATCAGGGCCGCCACGCTGGCCGGTAATTGAAGACAATGTTGGTACACGCCCCGAGTCGGTGGTGAAGCGGCGAGGCAGAGCACCGCGCCCATCGTGAGCCTGAACAGGCTGGGACATGCGGTTGCCGTTCCGCGGAGGTGAAACAAGCGAATTCATCGTGGGCTCGTTACGGGATGTTTGTTGGGATCGGAAGCGCGGGTCGTCCATATGGCAGTCGGATTTTTCTCCCCCCAAGTCGTACACGGCGCGGAATGGGCCAAGTTGTGATGTGGTGGGTTCTATATTACTGCTGGGCATCAAGCACGGCTGGCGGTCAGCGACATATGATACATGTACAAGCAAGAATCAGAAAAGAGAGCGACCAAGGCGGCTGCAGTTGCGTTGAGGGCGACGTCGGCGGCGACGAGAAACACAGAACGGAGCGAGGGTTTTTGGCGGTTTGGAAACAAGGAAAATCGGAGGCGGGGTGCGGATCTGGCGAAGTAGGTCGGTCGGGTGGTGCTGGGCCAGGGGGGAAAGAGTTTCCTTTTGTCTTTTGTTGGCATTTCTCCAAATGCGGGCGACGGTCGGTGAAGCCCTGGAGAAGACAAGGAGAACAAGGTAAGGTAGTCCGTGGCATCCAGGTTCGGGGAAGCGTAGGCCAACGTAAGGTAAGGTAGGTTAACGTAAGATAGCGTATAGAGAGAGCTGGGCAGCATGAGACTCAGATGTCTCGCCTTGCAACTCCCGTCTTTTTGGCGTGTCTTGAAATCGCAAACCGGAACCGTCCTCTTGTCTTTGCTTCTTCATCGTGTGCCGCGTACTTCGTACCCCTGCCTCCCGCCTTCTTCCCTTCTCTACCTTACAGAGAGAGTATAGCAGCCCAAGCTCTGCCGGGTTGCGATACGAATGCAGGGCGCCGAAGTGCGAATAGAAGAAGTAGACTTTGGCTGCGCATTGGGAGCTTGTCGCGCGGTTGAAATGGCTGATTTGGTAGCGTAGCGTACCGGCGGTATAGGGGGGCCAAGATGTGTGTTGTGTGGTGGTGTTGTTCTCTCTCGCGCCCGTATGTGTGTTTCTTGCCGCCGTATTGCAGAGTTGCCCTTCATCGCAAAGCCCATCACGGGCAGAGAGTTTAAAGTAAAACAGTAAACTCACCTCGTTCTTCTTGTCGCCCCAATTCAGAACAGAACAGAGTATACAGCTCGAAATATATTCTCACACGTCGCGCCCTGGAGAGCCAGGAGCGGCAGGCTGGAGAGGGTTTGGAATACACGGACACACGGGATGGTGTACAGAAAAGAGACTGGACAAGAAATTCGACCAACGTGGGGAGAGGAGGAGGGAGTTTGGAGCATAAGAACCTGCCCTGAGGTAAGGTAATGTAGGTATCGGTTTTTGGGTGTGGGAAAGGAGCACGGTTGAGAGGGCGTGGCAGGCGTGGCAGGCGAGGCCAGCCGGCGGCCCTAGATACCCCTGTGCATGCACTGACGACCGGGGGTGTGAGAAAGGGACCTGGACAATGGATAGAATAAGGTAGGAGGACTTGACAGACTGGAACTCGCAGCAACATCTCACTCTCCTACTCGCCAGAGAGTACCTTGCCTTTCATACCTCCTCACCTCTTTGGAGTGCCTTATTAGACTGGGACCTACCTAGAGGTAACCTGACAACCCTCTTCTCTCGCGGTCTTCTTCGGTGGCTGGTGGAGAACCCGAACAAGTAGACAAGATTGCCGTCTCGTCTCTTTACGGATACCGCGTCAAGGCATCTTTCCCTGCCCTGTCCTGGTCAATCCAAGGCAAGAAAAGGTACCTGAGGTAAGGTAGCGTCCAGCTCATCGCGTGCCGTGCCTGGCCAGATGGGAGGAAAGTTGCGGGTACCGGAGCAGGTACAAAGTCTGGACAGCACTGTATTCTTACACCATTGTGGTAGGCAAAAGCAGCCGCGGCGCATGTGGGAACGCTGGCTGCTGTGGATGGTCCCCTGACGCAGAGCAGCGCAGCTTTGGCATTTCCCCTCAGAAACAATGGAGGACGACGTGGACTGGACAGGCAGAGGACGAGGGGTGCAAATGCCCAGGAACCTTGTCCAAACCGTCCCGCAGCAGTGCCAGCAGTAGCGCGCAGGAGGGAGAGTCCATGTACGTACGACTGGTTGTGCGGATACTTGAATCCATACCTCCCTCTCACGTACTCGAAATTTAAGAGAGATTCCCAGCTTGCCTGATACCATCTTGCCTCAAGTGCTTTGCCGTGATTTAAACTGCAGAATGAGAGCTGGCATAGTTAGTGCTCATCCCTTCTCGCCCGTTCAGCCAGCCCCGCGGCCTATTCATCCGCGTCTGACTTCCATCCTCCAGAAGACCAAGAGGGTTCCGATACGGAGAGCATGCAAGCCCAGGCGGGCAATTCACTCCCACGCCTCCATCGTCTTCGCCTTTATCCTCCTCCTCTTCTAGTGAGGGGCTGGCACACTAATAACCGCCGAGTCCAGCAGGTCGGAGGTCGGAGGACGTCCGTACTAGTCCCAGTTGATGGTCCTGTTCCGCTTTCCTGTCAGGGGCTGGTCCGCTACCTATCAACGCCAGTCGCTTCCATGTCGACCTTGAGCATGAGGGTTGACAACAGAAATGGCTTTCGTCAGTGCATCGGAAACTCTATCTCGGTCTGACAGGAGGCCCGAGATCTCCTTTGGCTCAAAAGGTTCGATTTCCGGTTGTCTACCGCAAATTCTTGACCGGGTTGTCACCGCTCTCGTTCATCTTTACTGCTTGACTTTGTCGAATTGCCAATCTGCCGAGTAGGGCTTGGTTTTGGAGGGATACCTTGCTTTTGATTTGCAGTCGACTTCTCCCCTCGGCGCAGAGCAACCGCACATCCAAAACCAAGGACTTGCATGTCTCTTCAGGCGGTGTAGCCGCTTTGTGTGATGTGTTCGTAGCTTGTTCTCGACTGTCTGTGTGTGCCACGCACAGCCTGCGTCGTATTGCTTTTCGGGACTTGGATAGCCCTGTGCGACTGACAGCACACTTCCCCAGATGGAGTAGCAATGCATCTAGAAGGGTTGGAAACTCTACCGGCCATCATGTCCGTGTTGCTCCCAGTATGACACATCTACCTCAAGAGATGTCTTGGTCGCAGCAAGACCGGTTGACGTTGGCAAGATATCACGATGAGTGAACGGAAACCAAGCCCACGTCCGTGCCACGGCCATCGAAGATCTCAACGGAGCGGGCAGACCAGGGCTGTTCGCCAAATAGCGAGATGTGCACAAGGGGGCTAAGACGACCTGGAGTTTCGTTTGAAGCTCTGAGCCCTGTCATTGGTCTGCCCAGTCAACGACTGATGACGGATAGTATCCGTAGAGCACTCGTCTGTCGGTCGTAGAAATCCTTAATCCAACTCACCCATTAGAAAACCCAAGGTCGAGGCTTACTTTCTTAAGAAATGGCATCGAATGGCTGGAACAGTGTATCGAAACTTTTGATCGATTGGCCAATCAGTCGGCCACGTAACGATGGCTGTCTCTGACGTTCGAGGAGTTGTCCCTGAGCTTTTCCAAAAGGCTAGGTTGCAACCCGCCATCGGTGAGGCACGGGATGGAGGCTTCAGAAGATTGCTCAACTTCCATAAGAAGGTTTACCCTTGATCTGTGACTGCACTGCTCCAAAAGGTCCCGCTCAGTTTTCATTGCTTTTTTGGTTTTTCTCTCCAAGCCGGTGACGGGGAAACAGGGCCCTCCCAACATGGGGTTTTGGCTGGGTTGGCCGCCGCCAGTAAGACGTAGAGCGCCCTGAGCAGAGAACTGTATAGTACTTGAGTTTGAGGAGCGACGCATGTCCAGGACTGTATATCGCTGATATTCATACACAGGCGCATCCTCGGCACAGCGTATGTGCGAGTAGCAATACGTCGTTTGCCCCGCGATTTGGGTTCACACTACTTGGTCGCAGCCGCATCTCGTACCGTGGCCGGTGGGCTCGAGAGGATCGAGAAGTGACTTGCATCTTCCCACTTCCCACACGACATGAGGCTTGTAAGATCCATGTTCGAGGGGTAAGAGGTCCAGAGGCTTCGTCATAATGCCGCCGAGGTTTTTCTCCCATGCGGCCATCGGTTTGCCTGTTCCAAAGTGAAGGCAGAAGTCGGAGGACTTGATTTGTTGGGCGGCAAGCATGGGCTCTCGTAGGCGTGTAGCGGCTCGATTCTACACCGACTTTTAAGGCCCGCATTGAGTGGACTGTCTGCGAAGTCTGCGACAAAGCAGGCTGCAGGCGTGGTGACTAGACTCCAGACTCGGACCGCAGTAACCTTTCCAGATCGACGTCGGAGCAAGACTGCATTAGTATATACTGGCTTTGTATCCGTACCTTGCCCTACTTGGGTATGAGGAGATGGAGATGACGGCAACTGTGAGCATCAGAGGGCTGTTCGGTTCGTAGACCCTCAAAGCGCTGCATCCAATCCAGCCCGCCAATCCTGTAGGCGACAAGAGTACTGCTGAGTTGCAGAGAGACCTGGCTGTCGTCCCATGTCACTTGCAGGACGCTTGGGACAGGCACGAAGCGACGATGGGCTAGAATGATGGATGGTGTTCCATCTGCCATTTCCTGCGCTAGCTCATGGAATACCGGCTCGATGATCACTTTAGTTCGGATTTTCCTTTGCCACCCCTTTTTTTTTTAATTGATTGCCATTCTGGCGCCGACCCCTAGTCGGTGATGAAAAGGTTCCATCAGGCAAAGGCGGCAAAGCCCTTGGCTCTGGCTCTCTTGTGTCGCGATACCCCAGCGGAAGGAACCCCTCTCTCCTGCGATAACAGAGTGGTTGGACCCTCGATCCGCCGCAGAGTTCGGGGCCGCAGGTCGTGACTCGCGGGGTTAGCCTCTTGCATCATAGGCGACAAGCATGGCCGGAGGTCGAGGTTGAAGGCTGGTGATTGTGTCCAGGCCAAACGCGGCGCCGTTGATGAGGACCGGTAGTACGCCACGAAGAACGGTTTGAGTGGCGCCTCGTTGCAGTCGCAAAGTTCCGGAACGTGCAGTCTGGTGCTGAATTGGCTCAGCGCCCCCCGTGATGGTTTGGTAAGGTTGGCACTGGGTGCGGTACGCAGCTGGGTGAACGGCAAAGGTGAGGCTTCGCCATCGCGGGGCAGATTCACCAACAAGTGCAAGGTAACCGATCGGGATCCGATATCTGGAGACAACGGGGGCGGTTTCAATTGGGATTGCGTTGATGGTTTGCGTCGCGACTCGAGCTGCCACAAATTTGACTTGCCAACGCAACATGCAGAAGCCGGCGCCGTCGAGGTGAGATCTCTGCATTACACCTGTTGCGGGTCATTCCAAGAAGGATAAGGTATCCTACGGGGAGTATTCCGATTCCGTGTGCGACGGCAGGAGGTGGACAAAGGAGCAATGGCATTGTTGGGTCTTTGTCTGCTTCATATTTCGAGTTGTTCGCGGCATGTTCCAAATTGCCTCTTCATCTGGGTTGTTTCTGCGCTAACGGCGGTAATTGTGAAGAACAATTGAACTCACGAGTCTTGCTTCCATGCTCGTTCCAAAGGAATGGCTCAAGTGAGGGGTGGTTTGCGTAAAGTGGTGGTAAAGGAGAGGTACGGACGGATACGGATAATCGTCCAACGAGAGGGGTAAAGTATGAGGTAGAGAGGAAACATGCCGGATGGCGGGGCTTGCAGCAGTGGACACAGCCAGGAATGGAAGAGCCCCGTCCCCCCACATTTTCCCACCTCAGCCCACTGGCACGGTGCACCTGGCCCTGCCCGCCTCGTACCTACGTGCCTAAATGCATCGTGCATCGCAGCATGAATGACTAACATGGCATCGTGCACGACACTGGACCCGTGGACACGCCTGAACTGACAGTCAAAGTGGATAATCGAGGGCGCAAGAATCTTTGTGGTTTCGATGAAGTTGCTTCTAGATCCAATCTGGGAAGCTGATTTCACATGTGGACAGTTTATAAGCCTTACCTGCAGCGCTTGAGTCTTGACAATGCTGGCCCAGACTCCCGGTGCCTCGTTCCTGGCTCCTGGCTCCTGGCTCCAAGGTTAGGCGCCTGTCAACTTAGACTGGGACTTGGGCAGAGACTGAGCCCACAGATGAAGTGATCGAAAATTGATCTGGCAGGTTCTCAATGCCCATTCCCTGATTCATCATGCCACCCTTGACCCTCTCGATAGTGAGGTGTCAGTGTACTCGGTATGTACCTCGACTTCAACATCTGGTGATTGACACTTGAAATTGAATTGACCTGGTGCTAAGTCAGCACGCGGCAGCACGCGAACGACACGGTTCCAAAAGGATGGGATGAACTGCCTGATAACCTTAGGGAACCTTAGGCAAAGGTAAAATACAATTCATGCAACCACTTTCTCTCGGGTGAAGGAACTCGTTGCTGACCTCGGTACCACTTTGCAGCTTATCGCACGTGACCCTGCTGATAAGCTGTTACTCTCAGGTGTACAATGGAAGGGTCGCTGTCCCGTCGGTCAGCAACGCACTGGACCAGACCAGACCGGACCGCGTCGCGCTCTGGTGGAGCAGCTGGCAGCACCCGGCATCGCGGGGCCAAACTTTTTTGCTGCTGGCCGCCACACTCATCTTCCTCCAATTCTCGCCATATGTGTGTGACTCGAGTCCCGACGGCTCAAAAATCTACCACGATAGTCAGTCATACTTCACGCCACCGACCTGCCGAAGCATAATGTTTGCGCATAACCGGCGGTGACACTCAAAATGCAAGACGACGGCTTCGAGGCTCTTTTGGAGCCCTTCTACAACGGAAAGAAGCTCACAGACCCCATCTCAACCAAGGAAGACAAATTCCAGCTCCTGCCCGCCTTCCTCAAGGTCAAGGGTCTCGTCAAGCAGCACATTGACTCATACAACTTCTTCGTCGAGAACGAAATCAAGGAGATTGTTCGTGCCAATCGCATCATTCGAAGCGATGTCAATAGCTCTTTCTGGCTCGAGTAAGCCACCCTCGCTGTCGAAACCCTGCACTCTGCTGATCTCCCCTTAGATTCACTGATATTAGGGTCGAACGCCCTAGTCGTGTCGACTTCAACGATATCAGGGCACAGAATGAGGTCTCCCCGATGGAATGTCGTCTGCGCGACATGACGTATGCAGCCCCCATCATGGTCGACATCGCCTACATCCGCGACAAGTCAAAGATTGTGCGCAAGAACGTTCCTCTCGGACGCCTGCCTGTCATGTTGAAAAGCTCGATTTGCCGCCTCGGTGGTGCTACCAATGCCGAAATGTCTCGCATGAATGAGTGTCCTCTCGACCCCGGTGGCTATTTTATCATCAACGGAACCGAAAAGGTCATTCTCATCCAAGAACAGCTTAGCAAAAACAGAGTCATCGTCGAGGCAGACGAGAAGAACAGCATCATCACAGCTTCCGTTACCAGTTCGACTCACGAGCGTAAATCCAAGACGTATGTTACACTCAAGAAGGACCGGATCCTCCTCACCGCCAACATTCTGGTCGAAGGAATTCCCATCGTCATTATCCTCAAGGCGTTGGGCGGACTATCAGACTACGAGATCATGCAGCTGGTTGCCGGAGATAACGGAAAATACCAGGACGAGTTCCTTGTGCAATTCGAGGAAGCTACCAAGGTCGGCGTTTACACACAGCAGCAAGCTCTCGAATACATCGGCGCGAGAGTAAAAATGGGCAAGAGCAGAGTCCCATTTTCCGCCCAAGTCAGACGCAACCATGTGGAAGAAGCCCTCGACGCCTTGGCGAACCTCATCATTGCCCACGTCCCCATCGAGGGCTTGGACTTCTATCCCAAGGCAGTCTACGTGGCATTCATGACACGTCGCGTCCTCATGGCGCAGAGCAACCCTAGCCTCGTCGACGACCGAGACTTTGTCGGAAACAAGCGCCTCGAGTTGGCAGGTCAACTTCTTTCTCTTCTTTTCGAAGATTTGTTCAAGCAGTTTTGCGGCAACGTCAAAAGCAGCATCGACAAAGTCTTGAAGAAGGACAACCGTGCTGTTCCCCTGGACGCCGTCAACATGATCAGCAATCATGCCAACATGATCGGACAGGGCATCAACCGAGCAATCCAGACGGGCAATTGGACCGTTAAGCGGTTTAATATGAATCGAGCGGGCGTGACCCATGTGCTCAGTCGTCTCAGCTACATCAGCGCTCTTGGTATGATGACCCGTATCAGCAGTCAGTTCGAAAAGACCCGCAAAGTCTCCGGTCCTCGTGCACTTCAGCCATCGCAATGGGGTATGCTTTGCACCTCCGACACGCCAGAAGGTGAAGCTTGTGGTCTGGTCAAGAACTTGGCACTCATGACCCATATCACGACCAACGTCGAGGAGGGACCTGTCAAGCGATGGGTGTTTACGCTCGATGCCGGGGTCGAACCCATCAGGAACTTTTCCGGTGGTGAGATGCACCGTGAAGGTTCATATGTCATACACATTAACGGAACGCCCTTCGCGTTGACGAGATATCCCAAGCGATTCGCCGGAAAGTTCAGGACAATGAGGAGGCGTGGCTGGATCTCTCCTTTTGTCAGCATTCACATCAACAACCACTTTAACGCAGTCCATATCGCCACCGACGAAGGCCGTATTTGCCGACCTTACATCATTGTCAAGAACGGCAAGCCCAAGCTAAAGGAAGAGCATCTTCGACTTCTCCAGCTGGGTAAGGCCACGTTCGACGACTTCTTGACTCACGGAATCGTCGAGTACCTCGACGTCAATGAGGAGAACGACACACTCGTTGCTCTGTATGAGACAGACGTCACCATGACCACCACTCACATGGAGATTGAGCCGTTCACAGTCCTTGGCGCTGTCGCCGGTCTCATTCCCTTCCCTCACCACAACCAGTCTCCCCGTAACACCTACCAATGTGCAATGGGCAAGCAAGCCATTGGTGCCATTGCTTACAACCAGTTCAACCGTATCGATACCCTTTTGTACACCTTGGTGTATCCCCAGAGACCGATGGTCATTTCGAAGACGATCCAGCTGGTCAACTACGACAAGCTTCCCGCTGGACAGAATGCGACTGTTATTGTCATGTCGTATTCTGGCTACGATATCGAGGACGCGTTGGTGTTGAACAAAGCGTCTTGCGACCGTGGTTTTGGACGCTGCCAGGTCTTCCGGAAGTACACCGCGGAACTACAGAAGTACCCCAACGGCCGCCGCGAGCGTATCGGAGACCCCGTTAATGACGAGAATGGCCGAACCACCAAGCACGCGGCGTTGGATGAAGATGGGCTGGCAGTTGTGGGCTACAAGGTCAACTCGGGCGAAGTCATGATCAAGAAGGAGACGCCGCTTGACACGGGATCGACCGGCATTGGCATGGATCGCGGGCCGAGCGAGTTCCGTGACTCGTCTATTTCGTACAGAATAGCTGACCCGGCGTACATCGACAAGGTCATGGTATCTCACACAGAGAGAGAGACGATGGTGGTCAAGGTTCAGACGCGGCAAACGAGACGACCGGAGCTTGGCGACAAATTTTCTTCTCGTCACGGACAGAAGGGTGTCGTTGGTATCATTGTCGATCAAGAGGACCTCCCATTCTCTGACACTGGTCTGGTTCCCGACATTATCATGAACCCCCACGGTTTCCCCTCTCGTATGACCGTCGGCAAGCTTCTGGAATGTTTGACCGGTAAGGCTTCTGTCTTGGATGGCCGAAAGGACTACGGCTTCGGTGACGCTTTCCGCTCCCACCCACTGGAACAAATGAGCGCCGCGTTGGTCGACCATGGATTCTCGTGGGAGGGCAAGGACTACTTCACATCGGGTATCACCGGAGAGCCCCTGGAAGCCTACATTTTCAACGGCCCCATCTACTACCAGCGTCTGAAGCACATGGTGCAAGACAAGATGCACTCGCGTTCTCGTGGTCCCAGAGCCATCCTCACCCGCCAGCCCACGGAAGGTCGTTCCCGAGACGGTGGTTTGCGTTTGGGAGAAATGGAGCGTGATTGTTTGATTGCGTACGGAGCCTCTCAGCTACTTCTGGAACGTTTGATGATCAGCTCCGACGGGACGCAACTCGACATCTGCCAGCAGTGTGGCTTATTCGGCTACAAGGGATACTGCCATACCTGTAAGAGCACCAGGGAAGTGACGCAGATGACGATGCCGTACGCTGCAAAGCTTCTGGTGCAAGAGCTCATCAGTATGAACGTCGGTGTGCGGTTGCAACTTGAAGATGAGTTCCCTCACCCAAGATGAGGAGGAAGAATGGCACGCTGTGTAAATTACGTCAAGTGTATCACATTTGCCCATGGGCATTGGAGTTTGCCTGCACGGTAGCGTTGGTCCCCCAAAAGCATAGACATATACGAGGAACGTCAGTATCACAGGGTATAGGGTTGTCAATTGAAACTCCGTTTGCAAACATAACCGTTCCCGCATGTTCAGTGTAAGTCGGATGTCGTCTCCGACCCGACGAGGAAGTGGGGTTCCAACCCGGGCGTGCGGAACCTTCTCCGCATTCCCCGGCCAGCTGCCAAAGGTACCTACCTGAAGCACGGGCGGGTTTTCCGTAACTCGAGGTAAGGTAGCTTCCGGAAGACTCCCCTGCCCTACCAAATTTATGTTCGCCGACTTTTCCACCCGCAGCCTTCACCCTGACATCATCCTTTCCGCCGCCCTTGATTGTTCGCAACGTTGCTTTCTACTGCTCCTGCTTTACACCAATGCATCACACTTTCATTTCATGATAGCAGCCTCATAGGACCCATGGCCACTTTGCGCCTCGCTTCGACGCCCACAGGCGTTCGCGCCGCCGCCGCCGTCGCCGCAGCATCATCCCCGCTGACCTGGTCTTCCTGCGCAATCCCAACGAGCGCCTCCCCGCAGACACCGAACGTCCCGATACACCCTTCCGCCGTTGTAGCTTCCGCAGCAGCTGCTGCTGCGGTAGCCACAGCTACAGTGCCGGGCCCGGTTTCGTCACCGCCTCCGTTTGTTCTCGCGCGCGAGAGACCGAAGGAGAGTGAGCTTCCAAAGCGGTACTTCAACCCCTCCAACACAGCGTTCTCCGAGTCGGGTGGGAAGCCGAGTAAGAATCCTGGCAATGAGAACAACGCCTGCCTGGGGAAAAGTACGTTTCTACTCTTCCGTGCGTTCCTCTAGGAAAGAAAGGAAGACTAACAGTGCGCCCAAACAGCACTACGCATCCTCCAAGACCACCTGCCGACAGTCCTTCAATCACCTCTCCCCCAAGAGATCCTCGCACCGAACATCTCCCTGCACCTTTTCCCGACAACGCACCCGCATCTTCCCACCGTCTCCGGCAGGGTAGCCTACACCGCCGCCCTCTGGAGCGCCCCGATCGCCTGGAACAGACTGCCGTTAGTCGGCAACGTGCGGCTATCCATCATCTCGGAGCGCGTCACGAAGCATCCCCTGCACTTCGCCCCCTTGCGCGCTGGGGCTTTGCCTGAGCAGCTTGTTGTTAGGTGGTGTGCCGGCGGGAAGAATGGCTCGAGCACGACACCGACAACCGATGGCAAGGCGGCACGGAGGGATGACGATAAGGCTTTCACGGGGCTCTTCGTATTCCAGTTCGACGCTGACGGGAGGATATTAAGTCATACCATCGAGACGGTGCAGGAGGGTGGTGATTGGGAGAAAGGTGTGGGCGCCAAGGTTGTCGGCCTGACGGATTGGTTGCTCGGCGGTATGAGGAGGGGAGGAGACAGTCCTAGTCCCGCGTTCGAGGGGCTGGGTAAGAAGGACTAAGGCACATCATGAACAGCGAAACTTTTTCTTTGGGGAATCGGCGTAACGGACACGGCGTTTCTGCTGTCGGGCATACCAATCATCATCATCATTAGGCGGGCGGCGTAGTCACCACCTCTCCTCTACTCATGTAAACTACTGTACAACAGCCTCGAGGAAAACCCAGGCGCAACTCCGAAACTCCCTCTTATGCAAAGCGATGCCGTGGTCATGCTCGAGAATTCATCTTGTCGCCCTCCTCTTCTCGTCCTCTTCTGCATGAGAAGCCATGACATCCGACAAATCCCCCTCCCTAACCAACAAGATCTGCGTGTCCGCCAATGTCGAGCTTGTAACCGTCGTGCCCAGAATCCACCCGTTCCAAATCTTCTGCATCACATTATTGGTGCTGAGCATAAGACAGCCCTGCATTCCCTCCTCGTCCTTTGGCGTTACTGCGAGCATCAACTTCGTTGCGCCGGAGAATCGGTCCACCACGTGCCACAGACACCCGAAAATCTGATCGGATTCCTGCTCCGGGTAGTGCAACTCCTCAAAAGCGCATGCCACGTACTTTACTCTTCTGGTGTCTTCTCGCCTGAGGAAGTACACCATGGGGCTGTTGAACCCGTACTGGTCGTAGGCCTCGAGCTCGCCGACGAGATACAGCGCGTCCAGCGTGAAGTTGAACCACGCCCTCGGCGGTCGCGCGATTGGGGTGTCGCTGAGGAGCGCCGAGACCTTCCATCCAAAGGCAAGCTCATAATGCTTCAGCCCCAGCGCGCGGGATTCGCGGCAGATGCGGAGGATGACGGGGCACGTCGGGTTGAACACGACGTCCTTCTGCTGCTCCTCAGGCTTGGAGGCGCCGGCGGAGCGACCTTCAAACGCCGCACGCCGGGAGGGAAGCCGCGAGTCTCGTTCGAAGCAGCATACCGTCACGACTCGGGGAACGATGAGGTGCGACCATATCTTGAGGCGGATTTCCGGGGGTAGGTCCGGGAAGCGGTGGAAGTTTGGGAGCTTGTGCGCCGCTGCATTGGTGATGGAGGCGGCGCGCGGGGCGTCGAGGCCGTCGTCGAACACGGAGAACTCGAGCCAGAATTTGGAGGCCGACGTGAGCGCTTTCAAATGCGTCTCTTCGTCCGGTAGGGGGGATGGAGGGTTCTCGACTTCCATGTTGAGGTGAGCTCGGTGGTGACTGGGGATGCGCAGTGGAACGGGACACACTGCAAGACTTGTGAGATTCTACACGTCGAGAGAAATTCGAGAAGTAAGTCTCATGTCACCGGAGTCGAGATCATGGTAAATATGCGCCGCGCGAGACTGTTCTCCTGCCGCGACGGTGACAAGGACGGGCTTGTGATGGATGAGATGAGAATGAGGTGAGGTGAGGTTCCGTGGTTGAGAGGAGGCCCGCGGCCGGAGCTTGTGTGCTGTGACGGCAGACAGCCCACTTTCCCGTTCAAGCCAGCTTGGCCACCTCGCCTCGGCGTTCTGCAGCGAATCACAACGGCAAAAGATCAGCGCCAAAACGGCGAGCTTGTTCCAAGGAAGCGACTGGGTTTGCCATCTCGTATCCTGTTTACTCTCTCGGCTCGAAAATTCCGGAGAACCAAATTCATGGTTGGAGGTTTGCAGGGATGTTCACCACTGCGATGACTTCACCAAGGACGACAAGACAACGTTGTTTAACAAGAAGTTGGCCCGGGACTCGTTTCATGCCCCAACTTCAGCTCGATTGAAGATCAAGTCTTGATTAACGTAGAAGCAAAAGTCACTATATATTCTCAACTGTCTATGTTTGTAGATTTATAACCACGGGTATTTGACTCCTCAGCCCCAACTAACCCAAACAAAAGAGATCGTTAATTATGCCATATTACTTCGGAATCTGTTCTTCGCCAGACTGGTGCTCCCGGGTCGTGATCTTATCTTTCGAAGAGCCCTTACGAAATGGCTTGAGCAAGTAAACACCTTCGTATATGGCGTTCTGCCTGCCATTTTCGCCCTCCTCGCTCCTGTTGATGTAGACATTACCAAGAAAAGAGGCAGTAATGGTGCACTAAGAGCGTCCATGTTAGCCTTATGAAATGCATCATCCCGGGCGGGTAGCAAACTTACGATGATCATGAAGGGGCAAATGGCGACAAAGGCCCAGACAACACCCATCTTGGCCTCGTTGGTAACCGCAGCCTGTTGCTCGACGGGAAGGCTCTTGAGCGTGGCAAAGTCTCGCAGGGGCGAGTCGTTGCTGATTCCGGACGCGTTATTAAACACAGTAGTCATAACGGTGAGGCCAAGGGTTCCGCCAAAGGGGTAAGCGACCGCCATGAGAGAGATCACTGCGGCGATCTTCTTGGGGAATTGCGCGATCCCGTGGAGGGGAACGGGCATCACACGTAGGCCGGTACCGACACCCGTCAGAGCCATCATTCCGTAGACGGTAGGATTGTGCTCCGTGTAGATGGCCCAGGCGATCAAGCCAATCCCAACCATTTCGAGGATGGATCCGATGAAAATGGGAGGGAACGTCTTGCGCGGCCAGGAGTTGCACATGAAGGCAGAGATATACACGCCGACACCCAGACCCGGCGTGAAGTACAATAGCTGCGTGCCGGCTTGGTCGGCGGACCAGAGCTTAACCATTGTGAAATAGATGTTGCAGAAGTACAGGACCGAGTACATGGCCATGCCGGTTGCGAATGAGGTGTAAAACAGCAAACCGATGTCCCTATTGCGAATAAGCTCCCAAGGAACCATTGCCTTTTGGGCAGGGAACCGACGGGCGAGGGCTTTGCCAGGAGACATGTGGTATTCGTAGGTGATGAACAACACGGTGATGATGAGTCCGAGGATGAGAGTGACGAGCACGGCCGGGCTGTTCCAGGCATAAGTTGCGCCGGCCCATGAGAGACCCAGGATCAGCAGGCCGAAGCCGAACAGGAAAAGGACCTGTCCGCCGACGTCGATTGTCTTGAGACGCTTGGCAAAGGTGGATCTCCGGCCGGTCTCGGTAGTCTCGTCGAGTTGAGAAAGAGGCTGGGGGCCGAGGAGTTCGGAGCGGAGAACGAAGTAGATGAGGAGCATGCTGGCGAAGGCGATGGGGAGGTTTATACCAAAGCACCAACGCCATGTAGACTGAGCCGTGATGTAGCCCCCGATTAGAGGACCTAGGCCCCATCCCAAAACACCTCCCAAGAAGGAGAAGGCTGACCAGTTCCTCGCATTCTCTCGCAGAGTGACCTTGTCGGCGATGATGATGCGAACGAGGACGTTCAAGCCAGCGCAAGCAAGACCCTGAAAGGCGCGGCCGAGCAAGAGAACCGGGTAGGCAGAGGTGGGGGCGCCAGTGCAGAGTGCGCTACCAACGAGCATCAACGCCAGGCAAGTTTGGATAGAAACATGACGTCCGAAGATGTCGGCGACCTGGCCCCAGAAAGGAATGAAGGCTGCCGAGGTGAGGTTGAAAGCTGCGATGATCCAATTGAGCTGGCCGGTTTCGTCTGTTTGCATGTTAGCAGGAGTAAAAGATTACAGGAGCCAAGGGGAGCGTACGAAAGTCGGCTGCAATCCAAGGAAGGGCGCTCGCGACGATGGTCACATCCAGAGCCTGGACGATGAATGGGAGGATGAGTCCGGCGAAGAGTCTAACCCTATATATGATTCTGTCCTTCCGAGCAGACTTGCATGTCGGGCACGACCCAGCTGCCGCGTCGAATTGGTGACCACATGTAGAGTTAGTCGTAGTTCGCTCTACCTTGTCCTGAGTACTGCTTTGGTGATCGGCGGCTCCCTCGCTGGCGAAGTCGTCTGCAATATTTCCATCGGTTACAGGTGTACTAGACTCTTTGGCGGGTGTAGTCGTGGGTGTTGATTGATTTGCAACCTTCCTGGCCTTGATTGATCGATAGATCTTCTTGCCCAGGTATATGAAAACCATATTGGGTATGGACTCTGTCTTCAGAAGAGGTGCTGGCTTGTTGAAGGGGTCGAGGATTCCGACGCCGTTGATAGGAGAGCGTCTGAGAAGAGGTCAGACTGATATATGAGCTCCCACGGATCTTGCAAGCTCGGAGCAAAGAAGGAACTGAGATGTCGTGAACATGTTCAAGCTTCGGGGACATGGGCACCTCATATATATCCGCAACAGGCATAAGGCGGGGTACAGTGAAAAGCAGTGAAATGGAAACCTGCGCTTGGAGAAGCGGAATGAGCCCCCGGACAGGTAGGAAGGACGGCTAGCTTTGTCGAATGCGAAAGAGAGGAGAAAGAGAGGAAGATGACCAAAAATGGGCCATATCGGAAAGGATTGCCGCCACGATTCTGAGGTTATGGCATATTGGGAGTAAAGGAAGGCCAGGCTCAGGCCCGTTGGACGATAGGAAACGCATGCAGGAAGATGCAGAAACACAGCCTGCAAGGCGTACATAGCACCTAGGATCGAGAGCATTTCAGCGGGTGTGGGTGGCTGATTCGCTTTCATCGTGTCCGCACCTCGTCGTTCTCTCCGATGACTAGCCGTTACCGGCCGCGTCCATGTCCACCTCATGTGGATGAAGATTGAGGTGAAGGACGAACAATCCAGTCCAACATCCAGGAGCTTGGTTCAGACCCTTACCTACCTTATCTATACCTATGTACCTTAAGGCGGTACTTGGCTGCATCATTCATCAATAGGTACCTTGGGCGCGATAAGAGATGTAGTGGATCCTTCATCGACTTAAGCGAGTGCGAGGGTGCAGTGCCAGCCAGCTGGGTCATCATCAGTCTCAATCAAGCTTTGTCCGACATCATACCATCTTCATCACCTAACCTACATGACCAATCATCTGAAATCCACTCATGCAAGTCAACGCGGCTTACATGCCTTCTTAGTTTTGGGTCGTGGCCAGCGATTTGATGGCCTTTCTCTGATCGCGAGTGTTATTGGGCGGTTTCGCAGTCTCACAAGCCTTCTCATAGCGGGGATAGGTGCCTCGAATGGTATTCCCAAGAGGGAATCGCCATATGCAACTAAGCCCCCCACCCCCCGGTTACCGAAGTTCTTCTGCACTTCGAATCAACCATCGGAACTCGGCACACAGACGAAGTCGTGTTAAACGGCCTCAGTGCAATGATATGAGGCTTCGGCGGCCTCCACATGATGCATGGTACCGGCAGCCTTTACCGGCCAGAGCTGCCATCTCATGCCTTCAGCCAAATGTTCGTCTCAAATACGACTGCAGTTTCATTTTAACTTCTTCCATGCTTCTAGGCACCAAAGCTTTCCAGCCGTAACCCCCCGTTCCAGTTCACAGTCGGTAAAGCTTCAAGCTTTACCAACATATCACCATGCTTTCAACCGGACGCAGCCGCACGGCAGATCGGCACTGGCCTGCAGGAACTGCATGAAATGCATGTTCGGCTGAGCTCGCTCTGATCTAGCTCTTACCGGCCGTCGCAAACCACCCTGGTCTGACTTACCAGGCACATCGGAACGCCTTTCTTTGGTAGGGACCCTTACACGATGCGTCCACGAAGTCGCGGGCTCTGGCTCCCAGGCGATTGGACAGGGCTACGAGCTTACCACGCGCTTGTCATTTCTCTTGTTTTGTTTGATAGTGACGTCCGGATCATTGAGTCATATCGCTGGTCAGCTCGCTGATAACAGAACGTCAAGACGATTGCTTGTCCTTATATGGTCATTCCTCATCTCCGACGTTGCCAGACGCAAGTCCTGCGGGTCCATTGTTGCGCCTGGTCGCCAGTCCAAGAGAGATTCGATTGATGTCCTGCCAATGTTCGCTTTCTAGGCCATCGCATTGGATGGCATCAGTGTGGCCGATAGACTCTATGGCTGGGCAATACGAAAGGTGGGGTGTCCACTCTAGAATTGAACACCTAGGAATACAAGAGATGTAAACAAGCTCATTGAACGAGAAGTAGAATCAAACCAAGCCCAACGAAAATGCCCGAGTCGAGCTCGGCTTGTCACCCCGAGCCCAAGGAACAGCATTTTGGCCATGTCGTAGAATTGGGTCAAAAAGCCCATAAGCTTCCATAAACACCGCAGGTAACAAACACATGAGCAGCGAACTTTGGTACGATGCGACGACTTGATTTTTGTTAGGTTTCGGAGTAAGCCTCGAAAACCCAGGACCAAGACAACGGATGGCGACGGGATACAGCATGATCCGGACGACCGGGCAGCCGGCCGAGTCACAGTTCATTTATAGTGGGGCCGACCGACCATGACCGGAGACCGGGCGGAGGCGGGGGCGAGAGCTTCAATAGCCGGAGGACGCACCGTTGAAGATACCTTACGAAATTGTCGCCAGCACCGCACCGTGGCCCCACGCAGATTCCGAACCACCGGAATTCTGTCGGCAACAGGAGACACAGACAGGTCGGAACGAACCAACCAGACGGGTTGCAAATAATCTCATCTCAGCGTCAGCTGGCAGCGGCGTGGTCACTGGTCGGCCACTAGGCACCTAGAGGCGCGTTAGGCGCATGCATGTGACTATCATGTACTATGTAGGTGTACCTTTACCTGATCCACACCTCAGTCAGCCCAGCCGCGTCGATTTTATTGTCCTTTGATCCGAACCCCTTCAGCGATAAAACCGGCGACCATTCTCTACCCGTAATCAAAACCCAACCGCTCCTCCACTAGACCATATCTCCTTGGGCTGTGTGTCGGGCGTCGGGTGGGAGGTAGCCGCGGTCTTGTCATTCCAGGCACCCCAGAAGCAGACTATCGTGAGGGGCACTTCTTGAACGCTTCTTTGGCATGACAAATGAACAGCCGTCCGAGATTACCTCAGATCCTTCGCGAAAACCATCGAACTAGGTAGACAGGCGTCGTCTCTATCGCCGACGGCAAAAGTCCCATGGATCAAGAGAAGAAGAGTCTCTCTCACATCCACAAATCATTTGCAGCATTTGCATTCGCTTCGCGGAAAAGAAACACGCGAAAAGCCCCGCATTCTCTTCCCATAATCAGACCCCAAAACCCAAAACCCGGTGCCCATCCCATGCCCATCACATCAAGCAAGCCCCAAGACTGAATAGACTTCCCGTTGGTCCTGATAGCGTGGATTTCTTGGCTAGAAACTGGGCACATGTCAGCGACCGCATCGACAACAGTCCAGTCTTGATTACCGACCTGTCAATCAGTCCTGGACGCTGTCATCATCCATCAGTGACAATTAAGTCCCGCTTCTCGCACGAGGGGAGACTATTCCTGTTCCAACTTCCTCCACATTTCCACCCGTTGAACCCTGTTCGTCTTGCAACCCTTGCCATGCATTTCTCCAATAAAGCCATCCCGCGGGGGAATGAATCATTGCCCACGTTCGTCGCCTTCCCCTCTTTTCTCTCTCCGTCGTCGTTCTTCCTCCACAACCGTTCGCATGGATGAAATCGTCCTGGCCGAAACTGTCTTCGCTCAGTTGACAACCTCATCTTGAAAGGACATCAGCGACCCGGGACAACTCGGAATCGCTTGCGAGATTCATCCTCCTGAGCTGGTCTAAGAAGTAGTTCACAAAGGGAGGGGGCTTTCAGAAGCCAAAGAAAGACTGGCCGGCTCAACTCTCTCATTCTCATTCTCTCTCGGAATCAGTCAGCCGCCAAGAGCATATTGAGTATTGCAACCCACACGCCCCCTGGCCCGCCTCTTCTTCAAGTCGCATCAAGCGCAAACACTGAAGCGGCCCTCGATCGATCCGTCCAACCACAGCCGGCCATTGCCACGTTCTCGATATCCCCTTCGCCCGAAAGGCTGTCACAACCCTCGGGCTTGTCCTACTAACCTTGTCATTCTGCACCTGTTCGAAAGTACGGCTACGTCCAGTCAGTAGGTGCGAGTACTCGTCCGTACCACGGTATTCTTGGCTTGCCTGCGACCCCGTGGGGTCTGAATCATCTGCACCTGCACCGCAGCGAAGGGTGGAGCCTGACGTCGAATTCCAGAAAGCACCTTCATCGCGTTGATTGCATCACAGCTTGAGGTGTGAGGCCGTACGTCCTATCCGTATCACCGTCGACGTCGCCATTGCAGAAACCGACAGTCCATCTGTCCAGTTCGCCTCAACCCGACCCGAGTCGTAAACTGGTCTAGACCAGGTATTCTTTTTCCAGCATCCCCGTCGCTCCATTTCCATTCTTCAGTTTTTGCCGTGGTCAAACACACTCTCAGTACCTTGCGGTAGCTGGCCTCCAACTTTGTCAACACTCGACCTGGCCGTGCGGCAGTACTTTCAAGTCTCGTCTCGTCTACCCTACCTTCAAGGCAAATTTGGCAGGTGAGTTGAGCTTTTCGGTGTTTGGCCGTCCACCCGGTGGCCCTACGCTCGTCATCTTCGTGCGTATCACGTTCACATCGTGGTCCTCATCGGGACGTGAGTAGGCAGAATACATAGGCTAGAGGCTGACTGTTTCCAGCCACTTGGATCCTCCACGTTTATCTACACGAGGCTTTATCCACCGTGATAATCATTTCCGCAATCCCATCGCTGTCGCTGTCGCCGTCGCCGTTGCCCACGTCCACGCCCGCGTGGTACTGCCAGCGGCCGCACGCCATCGCTCGTCTGCCCGGTAGGTGGCATTTCTCCTTCTCTCCCCTGTCCTGATACCTTTATCCAGAAGAAAGTCTCGGCAGATTACGAAACTGCCCTGCGCGCCCAATTTACCATCTCGCGTCGGTCCTGCGGAGCGAGTTTCACAAGCCCCCGAGGCCAGACCCAGCCAGCAAAGCCCAGTTTCCCACATCCCCATCTCCATCCCATCCGTTCCCCTCTCCGTTTCCTCTCTTCCGTCAGCCCAATCAGGCGCGTGCTCCCGGCCTCGAGGCACAACCTCCAGCCCCAAGACTATTGCACATGTGAAAGACGTCCCTCGAGACAAGACCCCGGGACCCCGGAAGAATTGTCAACCAGCCCATCCCCGTCTGGGTTTGTGGGGGTTCCACTTGATCCCATCTCGTTACCGTCTTTCCCATCTCATCTCCATCTTGCTTTGGTTGCGCCTTTCTTGGCAAGCTAGTGGCCGCCTGCCTACCTAACCACACCTCGTCGGTCTCTCTTCCGGCTTCCTTAGGCCCGTTGATATATTCCCAGTCCTGTCCCATACCAGTAGCCGAACCGTCTCCTCTATTCCCTCCCCGTTCCTGAGCCTACCCACAGTTGCCCAGATGTTGTAGCATTGTCTAGTGTAATGCCATCGTACTTTCTGCAAGACTGTCACTATTTCTACCGCACGGCGCTGCGCGGCTTGAACATCAGCACCAACGTCTCGCCTCTATACGCTTAAAAGAGGTTACGATTCCTCCGCTGACAAATATGCCAACTCAAGTTCGAATCTTTTCGCGACCTAGGCCTCTCGGCGAGACCCTTGACAAGTCTATCAACAACGCCTCCGTACCTCGGTCTATCCCCGATAGCGCACATCTTTGGAAACAAGTCGAACCGCCCAAGACGAGAGCGAGTACCCACGACGGCAACTCCATGGCAGTATACAAGGACAACTCCGTCGAAGGCGGTGTCACCTTTGCTGGCCAAGACACCCTCAAGCATCTTCCCATTCCAGAACTGGAGACCACCTGCGAGAAGTACCTCACCGCCTTGAAACCCTTGCAGTCGGCGCGAGAACATTCAGACACCAAGCAAGCCGTTCAGGAGTTCCTGAAGAGCGATGGCCCGCAACTTCAGGAAAAGCTGAAGGCTTATGCTCTCGACAAATCTAGCTACATCGAGCAATTCTGTAAGTTCACTGGATCTTGTTTGCTTCTTTCGGGCTAACCCTCCAAGGGTATGATTCGTACCTAAACTTCGACAACCCCGTCGTTCTCAACCTCAACCCCTTTTTCTTGCTGGAAGATGACCCAACCCCAGCGAGGAACAACCAGGTGACCCGAGCGGCATCGCTCGTGGTGTCAGCCTTGGAGTTTGTCCGGGCGGTCCGCAAAGAGGAGCTGCCTCCTGACAACATCAAGGGTCAGCCTCTTTGCATGTACCAGTACTCTAGACTATTTGGTACCGCCCGTGTGCCAACCGAGAATGGCTGCCAAATCGAGCAGGACCCCGAGTCCAGGCACATTGTAATCATGTGCCACGGCCAGTTTTACTGGTTCGATGTTTTGGACAGCAACAATGACTTGATCATGACAGAGAAAGACGTCTCGATCAATCTGCAGACCATCATCGATGATGCTGCGCAGGTCCCGATCCAGGACGCGGCCAAGGGGGCCCTCGGTGTTTTGAGCACGGAAAACCGAAAGATCTGGTCGGGACTGAGAGATGTTCTGACCCGGGAAGAGGGCTCCAACAACGCTGACTGCCTGGGTATTGTCGACTCGGCCCTCTTCGTCTTGTGCCTGGACTACACCGAGCCTGCTGATGCGGATGCCCTCTGCGGCAACATGCTTTGCGGTACCAGTCTTGTCGAGAAGGGCGTACAGGTGGGAACCTGCACCAACAGATGGTATGACAAGCTGCAGATCATAGTCTGCAAAAACGGCAGTGCCGGCATCAATTTTGAACACACCGGCGTGGATGGCCACACCGTCCTTAGGTTTGCCAGTGACGTGTACACGGACACGATACTGAGGTTCGCGAGAACGATCAACGGCCAGGCCCCGACTCTTTGGGCTACCACCAGCCCCGACCCAGCAAAACGCGATCCCGACAGCTTCGGCGAGGTCAGCACCACCCCGCACAAACTGGAATGGGACATGAGTCCGGAGCTCAGCATAGCCGTACGATTCGCCGAGTCCAGACTTGCCGACCTCATCGAGCAGAACGAGTTCAAAACCTTGGACTTTAAGCACTACGGCAAAAACTTCATGACATCGATGGGCTTCTCTCCCGACGCCTTTGTGCAGATGGCTTTCCAGGCAGCCTACTATGGTCTGTACGGTCGCGTCGAGTGCACATACGAACCCGCCATGACCAAGATATTCCTGCATGGTCGTACCGAGGCCATCCGCAGTGTCTCGGACGAGTCAGTAGACTTCGTGCAAACATTCTGGGCTGATAACCCGGCCGAACACAAGGTAGAGGCTCTCCGCAAAGCGTGTCAACGACACACCAACACGACGAGAGAATGCGCAAAGGCGCAAGGTTGTGATCGCCACCTCTACGCTCTTTTCTGCACCTGGCAGCGCTCCGTTGACGACGAGCTTCTCAGCGGCGTCAGCTCCAACGGCTATTCCAGTCCCGTGGATGGCTACTCGGAACGCGACGCGAGTTCTGCCGTCGGCAGCCCGGGCCGAGACTCGGTGCTCTCGAACGGCGTAGAGGTCCAATCGTCTACGGGCCGCGCACGTGGTGACAGCACCAACTCACGTAACGGAAACGGCCAGCCTGCGATGCCGCAGATCTTCGCCGACAGCGGCTGGGATAAGCTTAACAACACCGTTCTTTCCACGTCCAACTGCGGCAACCCGTCTTTGAGGCAGTTTGGTTTTGGCCCGACTTCGGGCGATGGGTTTGGTATTGGGTACATTATCAAGGACGAGGGCATCTCCATCTGCGCGTCCAGCAAGCACCGCCAGACCAAGCGGTTCATGGACACCCTTGAGAGCTACCTCCTAGAAGTCAGGAGAATCCTCCGTATAACATCACGCCGCGGTACGGGCGTCAGGCAGACCCGTGCTCGGGAGCTCGACCAGCCGCGTCCGAAGCCGATCAAAGGAATCAAGTCTCGCGGTCGTCTCATCACCGCCCACGACGCCATCAAGCCTTCAATCGCGAGATCTTCGACGGGAACTCAGTCGCCGACCGAAGAGAGCGTCACCCTGAGCGAGGACGACGAACTTGGCGGATGTAAGTTCCTTCCAAGCGTATCACGCAGTAATTCTGGCGGTTTGCTGACATTGTCTCAATAGACGGCTTCTTCGACGCGGGAATGCTCCTTCAAGCCCTCAAGGCTCGCGGAGAAAACCTCGATACCGGGGAGACAAAGCCCTCGGAGCGCGCTGCCGTGCAGGCTCGCCGGCGAGAGATTGGAAAGAAGCTCCGCTTGATTGACTACTAGCCAGCACATCTACCGCCTCCCTCACATGCGGTGTTTGCATCAGATAGATGATGTGGATGTTGTTGTACGCCGACACGTGGGGATGGGTGGTTACAAAACAAGATGCGGCACCCATGCCAGTTTTGCACGACGAAATACATAGACCAGCAAGCCTCATGTTTTCTTGAAAATATACCCTCCCTTTCTGGTTAAAGTTGCTCTGTGCTGCGATGCCGTGGGCACAAACCATGTCTTACATTGAATCCTGTCGACATTCTCGTTCCGGGTCTCGTCGTTCAATCATCTGTTGCGCCAAGTCCGCCCTATCATAGTCGTCGTGAAGATCGAGGCGTACCACGCGACTTCTATTGGGAAGTCCTCTTCACGTTTTCTATTGCGAGCTGAATAGCCCAGCACAACATCTTGGTGTCCTGCTTGGTTGTCGTCTATAACACATTCTATGGCTGTCTCGGCCCTGGGTCATTCTGACACCGTGTTACCGTGTTCTCCGTGTTAAACCTCCCCCGTGCTTCACCTATCAGGGTCTTCGATCTTACGTCTTTCTCTCATCGATTTCCTTGGAGGCTTCCGCTAGGGGGCACAACTTGTTGCAATCGCAGCCTGCATGTTCAAGTCGTTGCTAGGTATCTATTTGCTCCAGATGTCGAGGTTGCAAACATACAAGACTTAGGATCCCCTTTCTTGTGACACACATTCTGATGTCTAGGACCGCAACCTGCCTCCATGGTCATGGGATGAGAATACGATTATTATAATTTGTAGTCGTGACACAAAAGCCCAGATGAAACTCTATGTTTTCCCTGCACAGCAACGTCATCCTGTAGTGTCTAAAACAAGAAACAAGAGGGAATGGCTTAGAATGTACAGGAAGAATCTAGACCTCATCACTACATGGTTTACAAATTCACGGCACAAACGAGGCAATCGCCTGCTCATGCAAGCTCATGCATCTGGCCCTTGTGCCCATCATTGGTGGCCGGGGCCTCATGAATAGTAGGTTGCGGCTGAGCAAACTGCTGCTGCTGCTGCTGCTGCTGTTGGTGAGGCTGTTGTGGCTGATATCCCGGAGCAATGGTTTGCGTGCTGTAGCGATGATCAGTGAACTGAGACACGGCGCCAGGACTTGTTGTGTCCGCGCGGTCCGGAACCATGTTACCGGCAACGAAGTAGCCTGGCTGCTGGTAACCGCCTTGAGGAGGAGGAGTGCCGCCAAAATTCTGGGGGTATCCGCCCTGGGCGCCAAATTTGGGGTCGTAGAGGGACTGGGTATGAGAGCCGGCGGCGTACTGGTTCGGGGACGCATGAGAAGGGTAGTCCCCTTGGGCCATCGGTGGTTGCTGGTTGACGGTTGGTTGCTGGAATTGCTGGGGCTGAGCAGGCTGCTTCTTCTTGCGGAGGATGAGGAAGATTCCGAGACCGACGAGGGCGATCACTGCAAGACCGCCGACGACACCTCCGACAATTGCTCCGACCGGTGTGGAGGACTTATTATTGTTATTGTTGTTGCTGTCGTTATCGTTGTCATTGTTGGTAGGGTCTGAAGCCACTGGGTCTACTAGAGACCCGGATCCGGTGGCTGTGAACCTGCCGGACGCGCTTGGAGCGCGGAGACTTGAAGAAGCGTCGGTCGTTAGTGGTAGAGGAACCCACGTACGTCCTGTCTGGCCTTCAAAGGTTGTAACGGCGGCTTGGACTGTTGAAATGTCTACGGTGTTACACCAATAATCGAAGATGCTGCCGGGGAAAGATATCGTGTTGCAGAACGGCCTTGCCGTGTTTGTACTGTATCCGATGTTAGATTGGTATATCTTCCGGGATGCAAGTGTTAGGCATACCACTTCAGAGTGAACTTGTCAACCATGCAGCCGCCATCGCAAAGACTTGAAGTAGAGACCTGCCTGGCGTCGTAACAGGTACGACGCGCTCCACAGTCGTCTGCGTCGCAGCACGCGACGAAGCCAGGTCGAGTTGCGGAGGTGAAGAAGATGCAGCTGGCGGCGGTGCCGCAAGTGTAAGCGGCGCCGGCGCGGCCCGAAATGTATCCACAAGTGTTATCGGGAGCAACGAGTACGGTCGTTCCAGCTGATGTCTGCCGCCTCCTCAGCTCGGCATTGGCCGGGGCCTTGGTGGGCTGAGGGCTGAACTGGTCGAGGGGCAAGTTGAAGGATGCTGTGGCCTCGGGTGCGGCGTAGATCTTGGCATTGGCAAGACCTGAGAGGACCGCCAGGCCGACGATAGATCGGGTCGAGATCACCATGATAGTCGAATCGTGTTTGAAGTAACTCGATAGGGCGAGCTGTGATCAATTGTGAGGAACTCCAAGGTGACCCAAGGCAGACCAGGCAAGACCAGAGAGGGGGGCAGGGTTCGCAGAGAGTGGGAGACGGGTCGCCGTTATAAATCGGCGAATCTTGTGTTCCCCCATTCTCTTCCCATTGTTGTTGTCGAGCTCAAAAGGCTCGGGGCGCTCGTACCGATTACGAGCTATGCTGATAGAAGCAATTAGGGGTGAGCACCGACTGCGGCCGGTGATGCTGAGTAGGCTTCGACAGCAAATCCCGAGTTGCTCAGCCCTAGCCTAGTCTTAATCGACCTCTAGTCGTAGACCTTGGCTTAGGGGAAATGACTAGCTAGGCATCCAGGGTTCGGCCCAACCAATTGTAATACCGTCGGTTTCTTGTGGCTTGCAGGAGCTGAACGGAGAGAGTGGTGTTGGTGCAAGCCAAGAGAGTAAGGGTCAACAGCCACTGGGCAAATGCTCAAGGAATGTACGTGCCCTAGAAGGCGGGGTTAACGCGGAGACAAAGGCGAACGATAAAGACAGAGGGTTGAGCAATGTTTCCCGAGTGGAATAGAGGGAATAGTGCGAGCGAGTGACAAGCAAGAAAGGCTAACTGTCCCAGCCGAGACATTTGCAAACAACAATTTGAGACATGGACCGGAAGCTTGACACGGGCGACTTGGCGCTGGGAGGAGGATTGAGAAGAGTAAAGTTGTACTGTTGCAACATTTTGAAGCCCGAATTCTTCATAAGTTATGTCAGAAGCAGAGCTGGTACTTTTTGAGTCGATCGTAGACAGCCGTGACGATGATGGTGGTGATGATGGTTGTTGCTGAGAGTCCGTCTTCTTCAGTAGCTATCTACGAGCAGCGAGCATGACGATCCGATCCTTCGCGGGACTCAGAAAACCACAAGCGACAATGAAACTGTGCCATTGGAAGTCGGATTTCTCGACAGTAGCGGCTGATCGGTGCTTGCCAGCCAGTACTAGCGGGTGTGATCAGAGGCGACACTATCCCCTCTGGTCAGTTGGTCCAAGCCAAGTTGAAATTAGACGAGAGCAAAGCGACGAGGCAGACTACAACATCAGGCTTGTGTTTTCTGCTTTGGGTCAGCTCACAATGAGAACATGGGCTGATGCTACGGGGCCGAGCCTCGCTTGTTATGAGTTATTCCTGCTACCGCCGCACTTCTTTTCGGAGACAAGCCGTTTCTAAACTGTTCGTAGATTCCACGCGTGCGTGTAGATCTTCGATGAAGAGCTCGAACCTGGCCGTTTTCGAGCTTGAGGGAAACGTCTGGGCCGTTAACGGTAGGTTGACATGCCACAAGATCCATGGCGTTTCAAGGGCTCATGGAACATGAAAATAAGTCCAACACCCAGGCTACAAATACAAAGGTCGTCGATTGAGCCAGCGAAATGAATGCGGATTATATAATCAAAAAAAGGTTCCATTTATTTCGGATTCCTTCCAATTAGCGACGGCAGACGGAATCGGTCCGCACTTTCCAGTTCCATGGACACCTGGGCACTCACTCACTCCAATTGTTTACCTTCCGTACCTTAGGTAGGTACATACCTACCATCTAATATCGAGGCAACGAAATCCCTGGCCGGTTGGAAGCTGCGAACAGCCCGCAACAAACACACGCGTCTTGTGGATGCAAATCAGTAACTTGGTCTGGCACAGTACTCTCCAAGTGTATTATCGAGATGCATCGCTGATCTGCTCCAACGACATTGTTTGTTCTTAACTCGGTTTGCCATCAACGCCCAATCCCAAGCCGCAGAACGCTCGGCCGAATTCGTCTCTTCGGCAAACACCAGCACTTCTACAGCCAAACCGACTGACCAGCGAGGAAGGGGGGAGAATAGAGGAAAACCCCTCAACCAAATCCGATTGTATGAGTACCATGCAAAAGTTTCGTCGCTCCGTTTGAAACACTTGCCGCATGCCATGACGGACCTGCTCCAGCTTTTGCCAGACTTCCCCGTGAGGCAGTTTGCCGGGCTGGTGCAGACTCTGGAACGACATCATATCTCTACCACCGAGCTTCTTACTCTGGACATTGTCGACATAGGCAAGCGCACTCAGCTGCCGCTCCTCGACGTCAAGAGACTATGTGCGGCAGTCGTTGACGCCCTTCACCACGACTTCGGCCCCTCTCACCGGGATGCTGAGGACGAGGACGACGCCCCTCTCAGGCGAACACTCACAGACCTGGAAAACCAATGGTCTACCATCAGCACTCTCGACGAGGACTTGGATCTTGCATTGGGAGGAGGTGTTCCGACAGGGTACGTGACCGAGATCACGGGCGAGAGCGGCGTGGGGAAAACGCAGTTCTTGTTGTCACTACTGCTGGCTGTTCAGCTTCCACCGCCTTATGGACTCGGTCGCCCGGCCTTGTATATCACAACGGAGGCTCAGCTGTCTACCCGACGGCTTTCACAGATACTGTCAGCAAATTCTCGATTTGCACATCTTCCGCTGGAAGAACGGCCATCCTTCGACGCCATCTCAAGCACATTAACACCCGATCTTGAGTCGCAAGAGCACATCCTTCAGTTCCAGGTGCCAGTGGAAGTAGAGAGACGCAACATCGGACTTATCGTTCTGGACTCGGTGGCCTCCAACTACCGCGCCGAGTTCGAAAGGGGGGCTGTCAGCAATCAGGGCTCGAACATGGGAGCCCGCAGCAACGAGTTGACACGGCTGGGTGCCTTGCTTAGAGAGCTGGCTCAGAAGTATAACCTGGCTGTTGTGGTGTCCAACCAGGTCGCGGACCGATTCTCCAGCCCGGTTGCAGTGTCCAGGATGCCGGCTCCAAGCAGTCACGTGGGGTTTACTCAAGAGAGCCCATTGGCATCGAGAAGCAGAGGTCCGCCGGCAACCTTCTCTCCGTCCGCCATGGAACCGACCTCATCCATGGCCGAGCAGCTCCGTTCCAGTATGCCGGAACCTCCAGGCCTGAATGAAGTTGGACCACCAGCCCTCCCCGCGCTGGCACTGGATCATCAGCAGCGCTGGTTTACAGGGTGGGGTGACGATCCGATGGCTGATTTCGGGCTCAAGACACCGAGTTTGGGGCTGGTGTGGTCCACGCAGATCGCATGTCGCATTGCCCTTTTCAAGAAGCCTGTTTACGGAGTTCATCGACACGTGGATGATGAGGGTGAAGGCGGAGGAGTGCCAGCGCTCAAGAACTGGCGACGATGGATGAAGATAGTATTCGCTCCGCATGCCAAGGCTACAGGACAAGGATTGGACAGCGCTGTCGAGTTTGCGGTGACTATGGCCGGACTGAAGGCAGTCAGCAGGAAGACAGATGATGATGTTTGAGCGAGTTCGGCAGAGTCATGTAGACTCAAACACGTTAAACAGACGACACGAAGTATCAACAATATTTCCGTCACAAGCTTGGGTTATGTCATGTTCGGGCACACAATGAGGTTTGTGTAGTCACAAACTTGGTTGCAGCCGATTTACCAAAACACTAGCCGTCCAAACACCCGACCCTGACATTGATACCTGGACAAGGGGAAGGGATATGGGCAGCTCCTCTCCAGCTTCAGCTCCACAGGCAGCGCGGAGGCTTGGTGGAGTCCTGTCAATCATGAATGTCGGGTAGGTATTCGTACCACCTCAGGCACCACATGCACGATGCACGCTCTATATAAGTGTGGCATTATGCAGAAACTTGCCGCAAGGTACAGTACCGACCCCGATTCGAACCGGCCTAATTAGTATCAAAGGCGACGGAGATCGATGCTTGCTGTCAAGCGTTTTTAAAGAAGACCAGAAATGCGAAGACAAAATGACCATAACTCAACGAGACTTTTGTACCTAGCAAAGCCTCTGCGGAGTGCAGCTTTCAAGGGAAGAAGGGGGGGTCTCAGACAATCTGGAATACGAGTGCAGACTTTTGGGCCTTGATATCAAGGACTGCAGGAACCAGACGCGGCAGTCGGGTTGCGTACGTACCTACGGGGCGGCATCTGGCCCAGACCACCTGCAGTGTCCCACCTCAGTGGACGAGTGGAGGCCGGAGGGCCGAGGCTGCCTGCGCAACGGTAGGTAGGTGCGCTGGAACACCGGGAATGGGAATGCTGGGTTGGGTCCTGCTTACCTTATCATAGGTACCTTAGGTAGGAGTAGGCTCGAGCTTCTATTCGACAGGGACCAACTCATCTCAAAAGTCACGTGCTTGGTCCCGTGCTGTCCTCTGTAGCTGAAGGGTTTCATTCGTTGGTGACATCTGACTGAGGCAGGAGTGGGGCACATTCCATCTCCCTGGGCCTGCGTGGGCGGCTGCTGGGTGCCAGTGCACTGGACTGAACAGAGGACACTGAGCACCAAGGTACCTAATTCTGAGGCAATCAGAGGCTGCTACGGATCCTACCTGTACATTTCTACCTACCTACCTACCTACACGGGCACTAGAAACCTTGACGTAGCAGCCTGCCTGACTCCGTCCGACTCTTTACCTGACCTTACCTCTTGACTGGCTTTGTTGCTTTCAACACCTCATCACGACACCTCCCAAAATCATCGCCTCCCACCACCTCGTCAACGTCCATTTAACCGCCAGACGTGCCTCCTACCGCTGCACTTCCTGATCGTTGCCAGTCTTCGCTTCTCGTCCGCTTATCACAATGAACCCCGAGTAGTACGTTTTCGTCCATCACCTCCTTGCGAACGAGGAACGAAGCCTTTCGACGCCCGTCTGTATGCTGACCTCTCACTTCTGCAGAGTCCCTTCATCCATCCCACCTTCTCGGCACTGCCCTTCACCCTTTCCGCACGAAAAACCTCGATACCGATACCCTTCTCGCCATTTCGACGACGATACTAACCTCGATGACAGGTACGACTACCTCTTCAAGCTTCTCCTCATCGGTGACTCCGGTGTTGGAAAGTCTTGCTTGCTTTTGCGATTCGCCGACGACACCTACACTGAGTCCTACATCTCCACCATCGGTGTTGACTTTGTATGCTTTTCCGTCCATCTTCCACCACCGACCGATCCCCTGCTGACGATGATGAACAGAAAATCCGCACGATAGAGCTGGACGGAAAGACGGTGAAGCTGCAGATCGTGAGTTGACCTTTGTCGCCAATCTCCTTGCCGCGGCTGTCATCGGCCACAAAACTGACCCGTTTTGGTCTTCGTAGTGGGATACTGCTGGCCAGGAGCGTTTCCGCACCATCACCTCCTCCTACTACCGTGGTGCCCACGGCATCTGCGTCGTCTACGATGTCACCGACATGGACTCCTTCAACAACGTGAAGCAGTGGCTTCAGGAGATCGACAGATATGCCACTGAGGGCGTCAACAAGCTGCTCGTCGGCAACAAGAGCGATATGTCCGACAAGAAGGTTGTCGAGTACACCGTTGCCAAGGTACGCCGCCACCTGCCAGCCACCTGAGCCGGGCGCTGCGCTGCCAGTATTCAGCCTCGCAGATATCGCCTCATTGAAGACGTGCCTGCTAACCCCAGACAGGAGTTCGCCGACAGCTTGGGCATCCCGTTCCTCGAGACCTCTGCCAAGAACGCCAGCAACGTTGAGCAGGCTTTCCTCACCATGGCCCGCCAGATCAAGGAGCGCATGGGCAGCACGACCGCGAACAACACGAAACCCAGTGTGCAGGTCGGACCCGGACACGGCGTCTCTTCGAACTCCGGCGGCGGCTGCTGCTAAATATCTTGCTCCCGGTTCTTTTCGAAGCTCGCTTTCCTTACCTTTGTTCTATGGCATTTACGGATTTTCTCGGCGGGGGGGAAACAGCTGGGCAGACAAGCGAGGGAGGACTACACAGCCTACGAACGTGCTAGGAATCGGATTCGGCTTGGGCAAGGCTGAATCGTTTGATATTCTTCCTCTTCCCCGCTCCTGCTTTCATACTTCTTCTACGCATAGACGAGTGTTGATTTGGGTCGCTCCAGCTCCTTTGGCACACCACGCTTGCACTCGACAGACAGATACCTCTGTAATGGGACCACGACGCTGCTTTTCTTTTTTTTCGCAACAAGACAGAACGCCCCCAGTTGTTCATGGACTCGCCGGCCCATCGCAGGCTCACTTTCCATAATCTACTTGGGGATGTTGAGGCGCCGGACTGGAGCATGAGAGCTACGAGGCTGTTTTTACGTGTGCATGTGTAGGCTGTGTGGCGCACCGTGTATTTTGCAACCGAACATGGCCGGCGACGGGGAGAAGCACATGATAACCGAAGGGGATGATCAGTTGGAAAAAGACTTCTGCTCTTCTCGTCTTCTGCGGTTTGGTGTTCCTCCTCGTTTGTCACGTTTCCTTTGGCGGCTGCTGCTTTCTCTAGTAGATAGGGTCGAAGTAATGGGCAAGTGACGTTTTCTCTTACTGATTTTGAGGCCTTTCTGTCTCACTATGGAGTCCCGTGGCGTGGGGTGCCGGCGCTGTGGTAATAATGACTCCTGACACCGCGTATGGAACTCGATGGAACGAGGCAGTCGATGTCGTCCCCGCGGTTTAATCCCAGACTGACCAAGTTCCGTTTGCTAAATCGGTCAATATACGATGCTCCAAGGGACCGGTATCCTCGGATGGCCCGGCGCTATCGGGCGCGGCCTCACGTGGGTTGGGGGCTGGGGGAAAAGAGAGCTCAATGCGCCGCCCGCGGCATTCTACAATCCGGGGACACATGACCCCGCGCGGTCACATGCATCCAAAAATCACCTGGGCCGCACCCAGTACCCGCTCGTCGATAAGCTAGGTAACGACTCCCCGTCTTGAACTGTTACTTACGAGTGCTACATATTAAATTATTAGCGCTGACGTTCGATCCATCATCTAAATCAACTGAACAGTATATTTACGAACACGCACTCTTCCGGTCCAAGTTTCGTTTTGTTGAATCTACTTACTCATTTTGGGAGGTTTATTCCCCTCCCCCCATGATTTGTGAGTGATCTTGTGGGAGAACTGGCATATGTCGAAATGCAGGATGGTTCCGAGGAATCCTTCGTTCCTTCGCCTAAAGGGAGATGGGACCGGACAGAAGAGAGACGTCAGGAGGACGCAGCGTGCGCCTTGCCGGATTCCTTCTGCGATTTCTGATTCTGGGTGGTGTGAGCGAAGGAGGCAGGCAAGCGCCGCGGTACCACGGGTGTTGAGCGGGAATCGCCTCACTCTGGTGGCGGGAACGGTGCGCTGCACGCCCGAAGACGATGCCTGTGGACGGTTTACGTCAGGTGCGGTCCATACGACAGACGGACATCATCCAACGCCGTCAAGAAACGGCCTTCGACGGACGACAGCGGCCACCCCCCCCCCCCCCCTGGCGACGAGCCGGTCATCTTTGGAAGTTCGCCTTTCGAAAGCTTCGGTGATCCTACACACAAGTCCCTTCGGCGGTTCGTTGGTTTTGGATTTATTTTACTTCCTTTCCCCCCGCCTCTCCAACTTCGATTGATGGCTGGCTTTCCTCAGTATCAATCCGGGTCTCGCACCTAAAATGCTTCCAGGCACAGGACTATGTAGTTCTTTTTTTCATGTTGGTGCTTATGCCTCGGTATTCATGCTGTGTTTGCCCTTTGCCGTACCCGTCTTGCCAAGTTATCAAATCAGCTTTGTGACGTTGAAGAGGGAAGAGAGGTCACGGATTCGGATCTTAGATGCAATTTCTTTTCCTGGGGATGAAGAATTTATCACTGGGTATTATTCGGCAAGGACGAGCTAAGGTCATTGTGACCACTTCCTAAAACCAAAGCAAGCAAATATTCCCAGCCTCCTGAGCAGAGCAGCAATCTCTCCACGCCACAAAAGATCATCGTCATCCTTGTTCTCCCCTACCCTCCCAGGTTTCGAAACCGTTGTCTTCTCGATCAGTGACAAATGAAATCGTCATTACGCTGATAAAAACACACAAGTGCTCGGAAAACGTTGTGATGCCAGCCCACATGCGAACCAAATCTAATGAATAGAGAAAGGTGAGAGTTGGAACTTTTAAGCCAGACCGAGAAACTTGAGTGCCTTGCGGCTGTTTCCCTTGTTACGAGCTTGTGGGGTTTTCTTCAGAAACATGGGCATCAAACGTCTTTCCTCGAGGTCTACATCGCTTTCGTAGTCCACGTCGACGGTGAAGACGGATGCGCCGTCGCCCAAGGCTTTTTTCTCGGTCCTGCGCGGTTTGCCTCGCCGGGTCTTGACCGTGTCCGCGATGGACGATGGTCTACCTGACGTCAAGATAGAGCCCGGTTTCTTGCCGACAGTTTTGCGTGTGCTAGAGGATGGCGGAGACATCGGAGGACTGACGGGATGGTAGTTGGAGTGGGAGAAGGGAGAGAAATTGTCGGATCTATGGCTGTCGTCCTCTGGGAGATAAAACTTGGAGACGTGGATGAGAGTCTTCCAGATGGTGGACATGAAGGTGGCAATCTCAACTTCCGTCGCCTTTGACGTCAAGAGAAAGTTGGCCTTCGGAACAGTCTTTCCGTCCCGCGACGACGACGAGACTGCCGTTGTCGACTCCTTCGATTGAAGAGACCCTGAACTGGAAGCCAAGTCACCTTGGTGGGAGATGCGTCCGACGGAGCCGCCACGCACATGCGTGAAGGGGAGTGGCTCCTTGGCATCAGCGTCGATGACTTGCGCGACTTTCATCAGGTCAACGCCGACGAGCTTCTGCAACGCAAGAATAGTGGCTAGGTGGTCCGGAGGGTAGTCGAGGAGAAGGAAGCGGACCTCGGAATGCGTCGCAAAGTAAGTCTCGAGATGAGGGATGATGAGGGTTGCCAGGAGATAAGAGTTTGTGAAAGGGTTGTCGTGGGTCTGATTTGCCAGAGGCTGCGCAGTGAACGACTGCATTGCGTTTGCAATGAGATACCTGGAGACGACTTAGACTATGTCTTGCAAATACTTCGATATGAACTTACCTGAAGTCTAGCTTTCCGGTGCGGGAGATACCGCTGGACTTCGTGCCGAGTTTCTCGAGTTGACAGGTAATTGACGACACAAACGTTTTCTTGACCCCCTTTTGTGAACCTATGGCCAGAATCTGGTCAATTCGGTGGTTGTTCTTTCTTGGGCTACCGCCTGGCTCTGCGTCTCGGAAAATCGGTTTCCAAAGACCGTCCATTTCAGGAAGCAGAGGGAAGTTGAATTGTGAAAAGCCTCTTGCCTTGGGAGGAAAATAGATGTTAAGAACGGATCGCAGTGAGTTCTGCATCGCGACCGCAGTCTGGCAATGGACGGTATTGAAGTCGTGGAACTTATCCTCGATCTCCGAAACTGTCGGCGGAGGCGTATGCGCAGGAGTTGGCAAAGTCGAGACCGTCACGGTTGTAGAAACAGAGTGAAGCTGTTTCGAGGCGTATCCCGGACCTTGGTAGGAGAAAGGATCGTATTCATCGAGCTGAACGGTTCTCGCAGGTGTGAATTGAGTAACTTGACACTCTTCTGTTTGCCATGTTGGGGTTTGCGGGGCTGAAGCATCTCCGTCCGTAACCGATGTGCTGGACGAAGGCAAGGCGACCGGGTACAAACCCTCTTTGAAAGCTCGAATCATATAATCCAGTATCGGATCAGGGCTGTCATCTTTGAAATGAATCACAAGATCTTCTGAAAACGGCAGCACTGGCTGGAACGATGAGCACGTCATTACAACCTCTTCCGCATCAGTGCCCCTGTCCACATAGCTTGATTTCCCAGTCAGAGACTCGTCAGCTTCCTTAGGACTCGGTGGCGGTGGCGGCAAAGTCTTGTTCAACCGAGCTGGCCTGACGTAGACTGTGCGAGGCGCTCCCAGCAGCTTCGAATTGTTCTCGCGCCGTTCTGCATCTTCAATGAGCTCGATGACTGACGATCGTCGACGGTCGCTGCCTTTCTTCTTGGCGAGAGTGCTGTCTTTTGACTTCAGTCGCATCAAAGTGTCTCGGTACCTCGAGTTGCTCCGGTGAAGACGAAGCCGGTCCGCGGAATGTGATCGCGGGAGAGACTTCGCAGACGAGGTTGACTTCATCCGGACTATTGAAGCTTGCTCGATGATGATAGGCTCCGTTGAGCGTATGCTGAACACATCAGAGCGCGGGGACGTCACATCGAGCAAACCAGGAGGGTTGGTTGATGGAGGAAACGCGTCCGCCGGCTCGTATGCCTCACCGATGCAGCTCGGGGAACGTGGCGGAGCCGCAGCCGGGGCCGGGACCACTGATTTATGGTTGTTGTTGTTGTTGTCAAAGTTGAAGTCAAGAGCCGCGAACTTCTCGAGTTCGTCAAAGTTCGTGATAGCCAACCTTGGTGCTGATCTGCGCGTCTGAAGTGTCTCTGTCGGCAAGTCTTCCTCGCTGGTGCTTTCTTCGTGGGGCTGTTCGCCGAAGACGTAGAATGGCGCCGTATCACCGAACCTATCAGCGTAGCTGTACATGGGGAGGCTCATGCTCCTCGGACGACCAACGGTGAGGTCAATGTCGCTGCATGGTTGGAGGCTTTCGGTCTCTCGATCCAGAGCATCGGCGGCTCGCATGGCTCGTGTAATTGGATCTTCGGCGATATCCTCCGTGGTGTCTAGAAAAGAGCCCCTAGAGGCGGCAGGATGTGCATCTAATCCTGCGACACCCCCCTTGACAATTTCGTTAAAGATTGCTTCGGCCTTGGAGATGTCGCCGTTGGTCTCGTTCCGAGAGATGGCCCTGATACAGACTGTCTGAGCACTCGGCGTGCCTCCGTTCATAAAGACCAGTCTTTTGCGCTTAGGAGAGGACTCCTTGAGGAAGACCATCGCAGCCTCCCTTCTCTTGACGACGGCATCGTGGACTCTCTTGACGAACCTGCGAGATTCGAAGGGCTGATCAGGGTCCTCGGGCTCGAGGAATTCCTTGACGCTTGGCAGGATGGCGATTTGCGATGATGTGGGCAGCAGGCGCAGCTGCGTTGATACGAGGTCGGTAGGACCCTCGAAGGCCACGAGACCACCGTGATATTCGGCAGACTCGGGCATTGTGAAGAATTCTCGGGAGGTACGTGAAAGTTGTGTCGAGACGTTTGGCGGCAAGATTAGGTTTTAGTAAGGAAGCTTGATGAAGACCGTCGAGTGAGAAAGAGGTAAGCTGGAAAGGGGGTTATGAAGCGAGGAAGAATGGAAGGGAAGCTGAAACCGGGGACGAAGTGAAGAAAAATCGGAGGTGAGTGAAAAAGTCGAGTCCGACGAGGAAGGTGGCGAGGTGGGAAGATTTGCAACCAGTTGCAAATATCTCGCACTTTGGCGCGTCGTGGGTTCAGGTTGGCGACGGCCCCGAGAAACGAAAGAAGTGTTTGAAAGTGAAGAAGCCCAACGGTCATCTAATCTGGAGAAAGAAAGATGAAAAGCAGAGCATGGAGGAGAAGAATGGGAGATGGAGGCGAACGGCCACCAGCACAAGCGGGAGGGAAGTGGCTTGATCTAGCGAGTAGATGTTCCTGATTTAGGAGACACAAGGAGTGGGATTGAACAAATAGTTCGCGTTTCCGGACAGCGCCCCCAAGCCGCTAGATTGGCAACGATGAGGCGGCTACCGAGGGTGGACAAGCGATGATGCAGATAGCGATACCGAGAGAAAGGGCTGTTTTTGTTTTACTTATTTGGTGATCTGTGATGGCGCGTGGTCTCTCTCTCTTGTTCTTTTCCGAGCCCAGGAAAGTTGGATTGTCGTGTTGGAAGTGGGAAGGAGGGACGAGGCGGATGGCGGCAGGAGGGATGGGCAAATGTCTAGCCTAAGGCGGTGCGGTGATGCACTCTTGCAAGATTAAACGGCGTCCTTGCTTGGATAAAATACGGGTGCGGCAGATGTCTAGAGTATTTCGAATCGTTGTAGAGGCTCCGTCATAACGTAACCAGTCGGTATACTATGTATGTGAGGTGAGCCGCGGCAGGTAAACATGAGCCACGTACCCGGAATCCAGAGGAGGAGACGTTGACAAGAAACAAATCCGATACAAGAAAGATTGAGATTATTCACCACTTGACAAGGGTTTACTTTAGTCAAGAGCCACTGCAGAAGCTAAAATGCATACAGGACGAAGCCGAGAACGATGCCAAATGCTGTCTGATACCTACCTACCTTACCTAGGCACCTTAGGTAAGGCCATGTTACGTATACATACATACGGTGTCGCTGGCTACTGCCCCGGATCGCAAGTAGCCAAGGTAGCTTTCGGAAACAGTCGAGGGACTGTTGGCTGACTGAGGTCAGGGCCTAGGGTGTTTGGACGAAAGCTTCATCCTAAGATGTCGAGATGGGATAAGACGGGACAAGGCCAAGTACAGGGGTAGGTGCAAATGGGATATCTCCTGGTCGTTACGCATGGCTTGCGGCTAAAGGCAGGCCGTATTCCTGATTCGGTGCCGGTGTCTCGCAGGAACCAGTCCGTCGGCTTTGCCAGCACCGAGGAACAATGGCATACCTCTTTGGCAGTTGTGCAAGCCGCCGTCACTTGCATCATGATCGCCCACGCCATGTCGCCGTTTGACGTCTCTGTCTTGGTGTCGTGGGGCGGACAGGTGAAGAACACTAAGTGAAGCGTCGTCGTTGTCGCATAATAGAAAAGGAAAAGGGGAAAAAAAAGGGAGAGAAAAGTCGACGGCGGTTACACGGAACGGAGCAGGGCCCACGACAGGCCAAGGCTACGACGAGTTCGCGTGAGACAATTACTATGTGGAGTTGATCAAACGGAAAGCATGAGGTGAAGGATTATCAGTAAGGTATCGTCCCATAAGGTAGGACCACAAGATTGTAACATGACAGGATGATAGGTAGCTCTACGAACAGCCCGTGCAACTTCCAAGCTGCTGCAGTTGTGGAGGTTGGATATCCATACCTTAAGGTCAAGGTACTCCGCAAGGTAACTGAAAATGGGCTTGGAGGCTGGAACAGGGGAGGCCCTGAACCGGCAGCACGGCAATGAGGGGCGGTTCCAGGATGGCCCCGAGGTGCCTACCTTCACTACTAGATACCTACTGCGGTAGATACCTACCTACCTTACCTACACTGTCTTTCCCCCCTTTCTGAAAGGTAGATATTCGTACCTCAAATGCCTTAGGTAAGGTGTCTCAAAGGTCGGGTACCTACCTAGCTTAGGTAAGGTATCCGAGTACTGGCGTTTACCTCGAGGCGCCTTCCAGGTTATATACCTTAGGCTCTGAACCCAGTTACTTTATTATTCTTCACTTAAGAAGCAAGGACTATACTCAGTAATAGAGGGAGCGAGGGATTCCGCAGACGACCAAGGTGAGGTGACCTAAGGTAAGGTACCTGATGGTGGTATCCAGGGTTCAGGGTTCATGTTACAGAAATCAAAGACTCGAGCTTGACCTTGCTGGGCGATCGGCGCAAGCAGTGGAAGCTGGCAAGTCGGAATGAAACAACCAATCGGCAGCCGGGCGCATCGTCCCGGGTCCCCTGCTGTTTGTTCACCCCGTCACCGTTGCTGTTGCTGTTGCTGTCACTATCATTGTCATTATCACTACCACTGGTTTAAGGCAAGGTAGGTTTCTTCCATTACTTTCGTCAATGCCTGTCGACTTATTGGCCTGGCCTGCCTTTCTTCTGCCCACAGCATAAAACCTGTAGCTTTGACATTTGCAAACAATCGCCGTTCGAGCTTGAAGAAGGCGGGCAAATTTGGCCTGTTGGAGCATCACAAATCCATATCGCACAGGTTTCATCTGGCAGCCCCCCTCTTCACTATTACTCCTGCGCCGCCGCCGCCGCCGCCCACCGAGGCACACAACAGGCAAGAACCTGAGGTGTGATCGGATCCTTGAAATGCGCCGCTAATTCAACTCTATCTCGAATCATTTGCCTCTAGCCGGAACTCTGAACCAGGGCACACTATGCGGTACCAAGGTATTCGGTCTGCACCTGCACTTGCGCCTCTCTACCTTTTCAGCCCGTCAGACAAGTCCGACACCAAGCCTTTACCCAAAATCTCGCTTCTCACTTCGCCTTCGGGTGTTTGTCGCGTATGGAGAGACAGGCGCGACCACATACCATCGAGAGTATGCAGCACTCAACATCTGTGACTTAATACGAGACAGCAAACGCTATTGGGATTGCACGGCCGACCCCCCCACCTAACGACTGAACGTGCAGGCATCAAGCCAGTCTCTCTTTACCCACCCCTTCAAAGCTACGACGCCCTGCGACCCATTACTTGTCAACTTGTCAGGGATCGATCGTGCCTGCGGACCGTTTGTCGTCTTGCTCCTGGTGTCGTTTATGTCGTCGTCCTTGAGAGGCGAAAATAACTAGGACGCCGTCCGACGTTGCATAACACCACCACCACCACCACCACCACCGCCAAAATGTCTCTCATCTCACTTGCACTGCATCTCAAAACCTTGGTCGATCCTTCTGGCACGGTTGTGTAACTCGCAAATGGCGAACGCGTTCGTCTTTTGGTCTACCCCTAAGCACCAGCCAATAACGCGTCCACTACGCCATCGCCTTCGTATCTCATCTGGCCAGCTTGAGTCTCTCTGACAAGAGAACGATCTGCGGTCTTGATTAGCGCCCCTCCGTCTCCACCAACCCAGCTGGATGGACGATCGATCGTCCATAATCCGCACCCACATTGATTGCCCTGTGCGCTTGGATCGCCGACAAGGAAGTTGTTCGAAGGCTCGTCCCGTCAGCCTTTAATGTTTCCTCGTCACCAACCTCGTTCACTTGCTTTCTTCGAATCGGTCTCCTCGGTTACATGATTTCATCATCAGAGATGGCGGTGAAAGGGCTCGAAACGGGCTAAACGCCCCTCTTTGTTGTACGACAACCTCAACGTCGAGAAGGGGCCCTAGTTACACCGTTACTTCGATCCGGACCACGCGAGATATTAGTCGCTGTCATATTCCCTACCACGTTTCCCTCCGCAGCGGCTTGCGTCCCCTTGCAGTTCTCTGTTTGTTGTACCGCCCATTCTGCAGGGGCAGGGGAAATGCCCGGTGGTTCTCCATCCACATACGACGCACAAACATATGTCGTGTTCGTGTATGTTCACCGCTGTGATTCAATAGATATCAAACTGCCGGGAGCATAATTTCATTGGATAAATACTTTTTTTTTTTCCCTAGCCGGATATTACAATACATAGTAATTCACTAGATACTGGCTCTACACAATCAGCGCAACTAAGGCATCTGCTCGGAAGATTCGATACGAGGCATCGACATCATGCAAACCAACGTCGCTAGCAACGAGCAACTACCAGCCGCCGCCACTGTTCTGTTTATTGAGACCAGCTGGTGGTAGCACCGCGCATGGTGGCAAAGGGAAGAGCCCACCTTAGATCACCCGTGCGGTTTGGTAGTCGAGAGACGGCGCTTTCATTTCTCGTAGCGACGGAACCGAGGCCCATCAACTGATCTTTGGAGAGCGTCTGTTCACGCTGTCAGGAACACAAGCCACATAGTCTCGCAGGCTCCCTACTATGCAGCAGGTATATTGCAAGAAACGAGCCCATCTCTAAGGTATAACCGCTTTGCCTCCTACTTCGTATCTCCAGGCAACATGCTCAAAACGTTACTGCACCGTCCCGCAAAGAGTCCAGGGGGCCTGGCAAGACTATTTCAGCTGGTCGGCAGCTCAAGGGTTGCTGCAGAGCACTATCAAAGGCTAGCATCCAGTGCGTTGTCTGGGTCTGGACAGACGGCTTCTCGCACTTCGAGCTTGAATCATTTACGCCACTCATTTTCTGGATATTGAGTGCTAATGACTTGCCCGGCCTCTCGGACAGCCACGCCCGCCTAGATGGAATCTGCTGCCCTTGAAAATCCCAGTTCCTGCCAAAGATCATGCCGGTAAGCTTGGTCCAAATCATCAACTCGGCTAGTAATGTCGGCGGACTAAATGAAATGCAGCGATATCGGCTAGACTCGCAAGTCTACGACTCCTAGACATCAAGCCGGCAGGCGACAGTGAAAATGGTCGCGCTGTGAATATTTCCATGCTCGCTGGATAAAATGTTCCGCATAAGCCGTGTTCTATACCGTAAGCGACTGTATCCTCGATGCTTGGCTCAGGTGACCAGGTCGTCGTCAATATGGTGGTGTTTCCGACGCCGCAACAAGTTCCAAAGGTCAGGAGTTATGATATCACGTCTTGGGCCAACAAAACCCTCGAGCGAAGGCCGTTGTTAGTTAGTCTCAAGTCCAACATATCCGGCTCAACGGCTGCGACAAAAAGCAACACTGTCCGAAATCTCGCGGATCCAGACCTCATGCAGCAGTTTGATGTCTCCTAGAGACTGGTGTCATTATCGCTGCTCTTGTGACAAGCTGTCTTCATTTGCAATCTCAGGACATCAAGAAGATAAACTACCTTCGAAGAATTGGAAAGACAACGGCAAACCTAAGAGCAACCGATGTCCCGGCACCCAATGTGCCACCGAGATCATATCTTCACGGCTCAGATGATGACTATCGCATGATCGATCTTTTAGGCACAAAATAACCGGGATTCAGGTGCTACAACGCACATGCAAAGAGTTTTGACTTCGCGTTGACTCGACAAACGTTCAATCATCCTCCATCAACGCGGCCAGCTCGGCCTCTTCATCGGCCGTCATCAGGTCTCCCTGCTTCTCTTCCGTTTTCTCCTTCCCTTCCGCCGCAGCCTTGATCTCTTCGACGACCCCATCTAGACCCTTCCGATCAAGCGGCCAAGTTCGAAGGGTACAGTCGATGCCAACACTGCACAGCACATCCTCTCTGCCTGCCAGATCTCTCAACACAATCAGGTCCGTGATCTCGTCAAAGTGCGCATCAATAGCAGCGTACAACTTCCCCGACGTGCGATCCCAGATCTTGATGATCTGGCTGATGCCGCCCGTGACGACCCAATCGTTCGTCAGAGCAATGGCTCTAACGAAATCACCGTGCTCGAACACGTCTTCTGCCTTGAAGGCCTTTTCTCGCAGTAAACATTTTGCCGTGCCGTCCGCGCTGGCAGTCCAGAGGTCCACCTCATCCCCCGTGACATCGAAGACCACTTTGTAAACGCTCGTCTCGTGTTCCTGGATCGTGAGAATTTCCTCTGAATCTCCTTTCGCCTCGATGGGAAGTTGCGAGTATCCGTCGATAGCAACCTTCCACCGGCGAATATGCGGATCACTGCTGGCGCTCACAACCACAATCTCCTCCTTCGTGCTCAGGACGGGATCGACGGCAAGGGACTGCAGCGACATCATGCTCGCACTGGAAGCAGAGTCTTGGAGCGTATGCAACTTGCGGCCACTCTCCAAGTCCCAAACGATGATCTTCTTATCCGCGCCGCCACTGACCAGGACGTGCTTGTCGCCAATCTTGCCGCAAACGATGGCTTTGACGAAGTCGGAGTGTCCGTCATACCGGCGGGTGGGCTTGCGGGTGGAGATATCCCATGACCATACCGTCTTGTCCCAACTTCCGGCAAAGAGGGTGTTTCCCTCTGGACCGCCGATGCTGAGGCATGTTACAGGGACGGAGGGACCTGTGTACTTTGCGCTTATGCTTCGGGTCTGTCTCCACGTCAGATAACGTCTTTCTTCTCAGTCGAGGACTAACAAAAGACGGGGTTATCTCGTACCTCGGTATCTATCCGCGAGACTCTGCCACCGGATTCGGCGGTGAAGACCGTCTGCGGCTTCCTCGGGTCCGGTATCACAGCCAGGACCTTGGAGGTCAGGCGAAGCGGGTTGCCAAAGGCGTTTTCCTCCTTCTTGGCACGCTGCTGCCTCTTGACTTGTTGGGCGCTGGGGTTGGATCAGCACGCGACATGTAGTCCACAAGCGGATTTCAAGACTGGTTCTTACTCTGTCTCGAAGAAGTGTTCCTGGTTTGATGACTCCATCTTGATTCACCCGTCCAATACACCTATGAAATTTTAGGCTGTGATAGACGGAAGTCGTTGCAAGTTTTGCCAAAAGTTCTCACCAGGTTAGAGAGGTGAAATAGATGGCGCGACAATAGACTGGTGCCTGATCGAATACGTCCAGACCGCCCGGTGAATTCACAATCCGTATTTCTCATCACCTGCGATCTAGTTCAGAAAAATGAGTGGTGACCAGCTGGTACCGGGTGGTTTGTGGTGGTCTACTTCTCAGGCACGTACCTGGCGGGGTGCGATCCCTGTCAAATGCTTTAATTGATTTCGCGACAGGACGCGTGAGGACGCGTTTTCTTACTTCAGGTTGTCCACCACCATCGCCCACTTCGTCCATCGTCGACACCGGATACTGTTGCCCATCGAGTATTCCGATCCTCGATTCCTCCCCGGCCAGCACACAAAACTTTACAAGTGTCCAGAAACTCACACGAACCAATTCCCCTAATCAAGTACGAATATGGCCTCCTCCCTTGCCCCAAAACCACGGCCACGGCCAGCCCATACAACGGGCACAACTCGCCTCGCCTACACCTCCTCCGGCGCGCGCCTCGTCACTGTCGGCTCCAACAACACAATCCGCCTATATCGCACTCATCATGACGGCGAGCCGTACAACATCGACGAGTGCCCCGAGCAGAACTTTGCGGTTGCGGCGGCCGATGATTTCTTCGTGGTCGGGTCGGAGGACGGCACGGTCAGCGTCTACAGCGTGGAAAATACGTCCTTCGAGCGATATCTGGTCCGCACGTCGCTTCCTGTGCGAGATGTTGCGCTGTCGTCTGACGGGAAGTTGTGCGCCGTGGCAAGTGACGAGTTGACTGTCAAAGTTGTCGACGCGCAAGACAATTCGCAGATGCGCACATTGAAGGAGCATGGACGGCCAACGAAACATCTTGCCTTTGACCCCAAGGGTGGATTGCTTGCGCTGGCGTGTACGGACGGGGTCATCTACGTCTACTCCTTGACGGCGGACCAACCTGAGCTGATTCGCAAAGTGGAGGGCGTTATTGGGCCCCTGGACTCGGATTCAGAGACGTCGGCCAAGATTGCATGGCATCCCGATGGCAGAGCGTTCGCAGTGCCCACACCGATGCATGATGTGCAGGTGATATCCAAGAACGACTGGGAGAAGCAGAGGGCGTTTCCGAACGGTCACTTGGGAGACATCACAGCGCTTGCGTGGTCTCCGAACGGTGCCTTGCTAGCTACTGCGGGCAAGGACGGGAAGATCCTGATCTGGGAGACCAAAACGCAGAGCGTGGTCCAAAAGTTTGACTACAGCAATGTCATTGACATTGCCTGGCACCCCAAGGACAACCTCTTGTCATTTACGACGTCTGACGGCGAGGTTTACATCTACCCAAACCTCATCTCTGAGCAGTTCGAAGGGCTTCTGAAGCTGCCGCGTCAGCCTGCGCCATTCATTCATGACCCCTTGCTCGAGATCTCCAACAATGCCAGGAGGCCAGAGGCGAACGGCGCCAAAGCGGGTATCCCTTCGCGCCCGCGGCGTGACTCGCTGGGCAGCTTGGATTCATTCTTGAACGGAGCAGACGGGTACGACGATGGCGACGACTTCGTCGTTGACGATGACGGTGCCGGCTACGCTTCAGGGAAAAAACGAGCGCACGACGGCGGCGATGATGGCGAGCATGCAAGCAAGCGCCGCCTTATGGAGCCTAAGTTCCATGAAGCTTTCCAGCCCGGGTCAACACCCTGGCGCGGCAACCGCAAGTACCTCTGTCTGAACTTGATCGGCGTCGTTTGGACAGTCGACCAGGACGGCCACAATACTGTTACGGTTGAGTTCTACGATCACGAGCTCCACCGTGACTTCCACTTTACAGACACGTACCTTTATGACAAGGCATGTCTGACAGAGCACGGCGCACTATTCTCTTGTCCCCCTCGCGACGACTCCCCGGCGACAATCTTCTATCGGCCTCACGAGACATGGACGCAACGAACTGACTGGCGCACGCAGCTTCCCAAGGGAGAAGCCGTCGTTGCCATGTCGCTGAGTGACTCATTCATCACCGTCACCACCACCGCCAACTACGTCCGCATCTACACCCTCTTTGGCGTTCCATACCGGGTTTACCGCCCCAAGAGCACCCCCATGGTCACCTGCGCAAGCTGGCGAGACTACGTCATTACCATGGGCAATGGCGCCGTCGGGGCCGATGGTAACGCCCGTCTCCTTTACACGATTGAAAACGTCAAGCGGGATGAGATCTGCCAAAACGAAGACACAGTCGCACTACCCGATGGCGCGACATTGCAGAGCGTCTTCTTCTCGGACAATGGCGTGAGTGCTTAGTAGCAATCCCCCCTTTCTTCAGATATGTCGTGGACTCACTGACGAACCCCAACTCAGGATCCTTGCATTTATGACTCGACAGGTACGCTTCTGACGCTGCTTCACTGGCGAAAGCCATCTCGCGCCTGCTGGGTTCCCCTCCTCGATACAAAGCTTCTCCCGCGTCTGGCGTCTGGGCGAAAGACGGAGACGTACTGGCCCATCGCCGTGGCCGACAACAGATTCCACTGTATAATCCTCAAGGGCGGGGATCAATACCCTTACTTTCCCCGGCCCCTGCTCTCCGAATTCGAGTTCTCCGTGCCCGTTAGCTCCGTCCCGCTTCCGGCGCCGGACACAGACTCCGCTGATCAACAGGACGAGGATGAGGATCAATCCCGCCGCGAGTCACGCAAATTGGAGCAGAAGCTCCTTCTCTCTGGCGTACAGACTGCTCAGTTGCGCGATCTGATCGACCATACCGACTCAACGCTGTCGCAGCGAGCCGGCTTGGCACGCCTCGAGCTCGAATTTGATAAGACGCTGCTCCAGATGCTGGCCATCGAGTGCCGAGAGGGTGAGGAGCGAGGCATGCGCGCGCTCGAGATGGTGGGGCTTATGCGTGATCGGACGGGCCGCATGATCGAGGCCGCGGGCAAGGTTGCGGAGCGGTACGGGCGGTCGATCCTGGGAGACAAGATCCGCGAGATCGGAGAGCGGAGGGTTGGCGGCATGGACCTTGACGACGAGCTTTAGAGTTCTTCCATTCATCCAGCCTATTGCGGCAGCTTCAAAAAAAAAGGTGTAGGGGAAATCCCCGTCGCCCCGGCTGCGGGGGCAACGGTGGGTTTCATGGTTGTTTGGATGGGGGGCTCCTCCCGTCAGTATCGGCAAAAGAGGCGTTTGGATGATACTACGAAAAAGACAACAAGTGGTCTGCGTTTGTCTTTCTGGGTGTTGCGCGTTAATGACTAGCAATTGGGTATGCTGGCGTGGTCTGGGTCACCATTGTGTGTTTCTTGTCATGTTTATAATGTGGGAAGACCAATAGAACGACTAATGTTAGGAAGAGCGTCGTTGACGGAGCAGGGACCACCATGGGCTCGTCGCGGAAACCTCTCCTGTCGATGTCGAATTCGCGCCTGAGTGATGGTATGCTGTACAGTTCGTCTTCAATACACGTCCTGCGTAGTTTCGATTTCGGAGCACGAGCATGTCAGGTAGCTATCACAGCATCCCTCCACCCATGCTGTCGCGGACCTTACAATAGCTAGTGTCCTGGCAAGGTGGTAGCACGTCCCGCCCGTCCTCTGGGGAAACTTGAGTTTACTGGCGGCTGACGGCATAACTTCTGACTTGGGCGGGTGCATGAGGCCAAACACGCGCGAACCCGGATCCGACACTCCTCCGTCAAAGTAAGTTGGGAGCTCCGAAGAGAGCAAAGCAACTCAGCTTCGAATGGGTACCCTTTCTTGCTCCGGGAGAGAGGCGGAGGGAGTGTGTGAGAGTGTGCGTGAGAAGGAGTCAGCTTGTTCACAAAGCTAACTTTCAGATATGGCGTAATATATCTCAGCCCAACTTGGGCCCTTGAAATTGTGACAGTGTTACGGTATCGTCTCGTCTGGTGTTGATCAAGGGCAAGATGCCTCGTCCTGGGCTGGCTGGGCCAGTCCCTCGGCCCCTGTCCATGCACCCCGTGCTCATGGTTTTCTTCTTCTTCTTTTTTTTTGCCCTCTCGGGAGACCCAGCCGAACTTGACAACGTCGGTTCCGCGGGTGCAGGAATCGCGGAAACCCAGACCGGAACAGGCCGTATAGGCACAGCGGCCCCAGTGCTCCGGCCGACACGGCACAACGAGAAGCTGAGGTTCCAGGCTGGCATTGACATGTTGCAAGATGGTACTTTGAGGCGAATGTAGTGAGCTACTCGCGGCATGAGACCGTGGCGTAAAGCTGTCGCCGCTCGCATCCACGATTTGATTGCAATCTGCTAGCTGCGTGCTTCTCGCAGAATTGGTATGAGACGTTGACCGGTAGCTAAGCAAGGCAGCGGAAGGATGAACAACCATATCCGGTATGCGACGGGATCGCATCTCATCGAGCATCAAAGTTTAATCGCATGCGGAGGATCTCGGTTGTGAGCTTTGTAAGTGCATGGGTACTTGGTAAGATAGCACCGTTGAAGTAGTCGGGTGCTTCGCGCTGTCAAAACACCATCTTATGCCTTGAACGGCGATAAAGCTAAAACCCGATGCAAGATGGAGGAGTGTGGGGGAGAGCCGGGCGGGCTCCAGTGTCCGATATCACAAGGAATCTCCCGGGGAAGCACCAAGAGCCACTCAGGGATCGAACTTCTAGTGTTAAAGGCAGGTCGGGCGATGTTACGTAGACGTCCAAAGCTGAGAGAGTAGGATACGTACGCAGCATCCGTATGCGTATGTAGACGACATGGACGAGTACGGCTAGATAGAGTAGTACTTGGAGAGAGGGTTGGCCGGAGCCGGTCCGCGTTACATTGAAAGCGGATCAGCTGGGAAACACTGGAGTCGTAAGGTAGCGAAGAAAGTCGTCAATGATGGCGCGTTGAAGAATTTGTCGGATCAACAGCGTGTGGACTGTCGTATGTCGCATGTCGGTTGTACTCGTTGCGCCGTGGACGTCGAGTTGGCAAATTAATTGGCATCTAGTGTATAGCGTAGCATAGCATTCCTTCATCATCGCAAGGCTAGGGCGGTCCTGCTGAAACGTTGAGACTGCGGTTCGTTCGCTCAGGCCGCCATCCACAACCATTGTCGTTTGGGGTGAAGTCAAATCGTTGAACCGGAAGGATGCGAATGGCTCTCGAGAACGCGTCGGAAACTGGACGGCTGTGTAGCATCTTTGGGCGTAATTAGGCCATTATTGTTATGGGGGTTACCCCCTGACGTACTTTGAATGCTGGGGTACGAAGTACTAGATAGATCAACGAACCTTTACCGTTTCACGTTGCACGAGGAAGAGGTCCAGATGTTGGGCAGATAACCACTGCAGCTTTGTCCATGCCTAGGTAGGTAGAAAAGCTTAACCAACTATTGAAGCTATCCTGGGCTACCTGACAGGTAAGTGGTTCATGGGTTGGTTGGTCGGCTCAGAGTCGGGCATGTGAATTCGATGTTTGCTTCTGCTTCTGCTTCTGCTTCTGCTTGCTCGGCGAAACGTAGGAGATGGTTCAACTGTATGCAGGGCAACGAACTGTATGCCATGCCATGTGGGTACCCTGCAAGATGCACTGCTGAAGGTTCTGAACGATCATGTTCATGATCACGTACGGTATCGGTGTCGATGTCGGTTTCGGTGTCCATCATAATCAAGCGACGACAGACGACGGACGTTGGTTGTGGCGTGTTCGCAGACAGACACGGGAATCGTACGTAGTGTACATAGTGTATATGTACGGATACATAGGTAGGTAGGTAGGTAGGGGCGTTCCCAAGGGGAACAAGTCGCCGTTCTACGAACATCGTGATAGCGTCGTCTCAACTCCATCGAGCAGCAGGGATTGCAGGGGGAAAATCCAGGGCTCTAGGTTGACCCGCCCGGTGCATGAGCAATAGCGAAGCCGTGAGTCTTTTCGCGCCTCGAGGGCAGCATGCTGCGGTAGAGCCAGAGCCAGGGTGATACGGATACCGTGTTAGTCTAGGCGGCTTCTGTCCGCGGATCGTTCCCTGGTTGTCATAGACATAGCTGCCAGGTCATCGTCAGGGGACCTCCTCGCGTCTGCACGTCAACCCTTCTCGCGACTCAACCTAGGGCGTTCGAGAATATTTTCTTTCCGAAAAGACAAGGGCACGCTGCACAGGAGCGGCACATGTACAGATTGACGGCACACTGTTCGTACGTTTGGAGTGTACGAATACTCTTCTACCGACCCCGAATCATCGATAAATGATCTTGTCCACTTTTGCGATTCATATCCTTTCACGTTGATGATGTCTGTCAGGGATCGTATTCGGGCTACCTAGCACACCATCATTGGGCACTCACTCCACCGCATCCAAAATTTTCCATGCTTGTGGATGGGCATGGACGTGAAAGACTGTCCGTGATTGACGGCCGCGGCCGCGGCTCGAATCCCGCTTTGCGTCGCTTCGCTCAAGCCTCTCCATCTGCGGCTGGATAACGACGGAACAACGGATTCCCCAGGTCGAATGCTTATTAGAGATGAGAAGCTCGGGTTCTGGTGGACGCCCGGAGTAGTAGTGGTGGGGATATCGTCGCGAGAAGGGGGAAGCCGTTGAAACAGACGCGCACCGTCTGGCCGGGTCAAAGGTTCCGCGGTTCCTGTGCTCATGGCGGCCCTGCGTTAGCTCTCACAAGCAGCACTAGCTTTGAACCTTGGTTCGAGATGATGGTCCCCTTTGAAGGGTGTAAGGAACGACCGTCATTGGCGAGTGGTAGGGTCCATCATCACGCCACGGTAAGACAACCAAGACGCGAAGACAGAGACATGGACAGAGACATGGACAGAGACAGAGACAGAGACATAGCTTAGACACAGAGACAGAGAGAGAGGCATTGGCTTGGGCAACACCAGAAGCCGCTCTGAGCGAGTCTGGGGCCACTCGCTACTGCATATTCAAGATTCCATGTCTGTTTGATGAGGACTTCCACTCCACATGCCAAATTCTGGACTGTTCGCAGTGCCATGGATGGGGCGGTGCACAGAGCACAGGGCACAGGCTCGAAGCGAAGCGAAGCCGAGTGCATCTCTCCTTGAACGACGGTTGATCAAGATTCTGTTCAAACTTCAAGAGGCGGCTGCTTGGTGGTTGTGGGTGACTAGCGCTACCTACTGGCCCGGGCTAATTGACTTCGTCAGTAATGTCGGTGTTGTTAGTGTTGTTCGTGTCGTCGTCGTGGTATTAGGCCCAGGTCCAGCCTTATGTTATGATGGCGCGGGGGTGTCGACTTACCCGGGGATGGTTGCCATTTAACACCTAAACACCGACTTGAAGGGCACTCTAAGCAGCTTGTCTGGTAGACTAATAAGTCCAAACGGCTGCGGGCGCAGAGAATAAAGACGGGATAGGGAGCAGAGTGAGAGCAGAGCGACGGGGATTCTTGGTGTGGTAGAGAGTCCAGTGTCGGTGCTATGCGACTACGTATATGTATAGTCTGTAATCTGTATGCACAACGGTATCCGTACTGCGTTGCGCTTTCGAAGGGCTTGAGGGCATCTCCACTCACACAGAGCTCTTGCTGGCACACACGCACATAACTACATAACTGCGTTTGTGCGACCAGGCGGTGGCGATTGGGAACCAGATCTTGGGATGTATGATTGAGACAGCATGTCAGAGAAGGAGGCGAGCAACGGAAAAAGAAAGCGAAGACGGAGGGATGGGAGTGATATCCTCTGCCTCAGAAGCAAAGGAGTCGAATAATTTTTTTTTTTTGGCACAAGGCGCGCTGGTTGCTGGTTGCTGGTTCCGGGGTTGATGTGAGATTAAGCTAAGACTCGAGATTGGGGGATGATCAGGGAGAGGCGTCGACTGGGGTGGTTGACATGGGGGAGGAGATGATTGATGATGATGATAAATGGAAGGGAACTCACGAGACTCGGCTGTTCGAGGTACGAATCAAGATACCGGCCAGGTACTAAGGTGAGAAGACAACCCCGAATTTGCTGGCTGCTAAAAGCCACGGAGGGAAAAGATTGAAAGGTCACCTACCTTACCTTACGCACCTACCTCATGTACGGATAGGAAAGGTAAGGTAAGGAGCAGCGGCTGATTTGAGGTGCAATGCTAAAACAAAGTGATGTCCTGTCGAGTCGATGGCTTCACACGCTACGGTCTTAGGGTGCCTCCTGTGCGGGCATCTCGCTGACAGGTCTGCGGCACGTCCACGGGTAGGTACGGAGGAGCCCGTGGTTATGACCCAATGCTGATCATAGCTTGAGCTGCCCTTGGCTACCTTATGCTCCAGCTTTACCGACACGTTGAAATAACGATCCGGTATGAAAAGATGCGGGAAGAAGGGCATGAAGCGCAGGAAATGATCAAAACACAATGCCCGAAGAGGGGCATGAATGTGATGGGTACTTCACCCGATGTTCCATGCTTCCATTGCCTTATGCCGGCTTTGTACTTCGTACCTCAGCTTAGGTACAGACAGATAGATATCTCACCTTGCCTAAGGTAGTACAACGACGGGACGGCTCTGTTGCCTCCACGTCGCTGGCCCAGTAATACTATGTAGAGATAGTCAGCTCTGATTTCTTTGTGCCAGTCAGATTGGCTGAGCCGAGGTCGGCTCTTTCTTTCTCCTCAGCTCATGTAGCTACGACTACGGATACACTATCCATCTACAAGGCTTGGCCACTCGGCCCCTTGCCTTCAGCTCCACGGACACGATACGTCCAAGGGCCGTCGATGTCTTCTTCCTCTGAGCCTGTCACCTGTTCAGAGTATTGTCAGAACCATCTGGAACCTGTGCTCGTTCTGGAAGGATATTCCGCCAGGGGTTTCTTTCTTACCAATAAGGTGTTGAGGCACGATTACAAGGCACCCGACGTTAGGTTAACTCACCTCATGTTGAAGTACTAGGTAGCTCTAGTTTACCTTTCTCATCTTGGGTGGTTTAACGATATTTCATCTCATCTTGGTGACATGTGCTCCAAGGCCCAGCGCCTCTGCGACTCAGATTCAGATTCGGATTCAGATTCAGATCCACGGCAGGCGCAGACGCAGACGCAGACGCTGACGCTGACACAGACACAGACAGGCGAGCCAAACTCTGACGCTGAGCGGTACGGCCCCTGCGGCGTCATCTCTCTGAAAGTAACAATGGATGCGTACTACCTTATGTAAGATGCCATAGCCATGCCGTACCATGCCTTGACCTGCCTTCCTTCATGAGGCAAGGTGCTGTGGCTGCAGCCTGCTAGTCTCGCGCAGACTTGTCCCCTGACATAGGTACGTGGTAGGGACATTGGTTAACCCTCTCTCTGTATCTGGCCTTGTTCTCAAGTCCCTGTGCCGATATTTGTTGTGATTAATGAGGATGATGGCGGCCGATGCTGTCGGGTCGTGGTGTTGAGTGTTGTCCATGTTCACCTACCTACCTTAATCCGTTCCATGTTCATTATCGAGGGCCCTAAATACCTTATTCCGCCTGCGTGTACCTGAAGTAAGGTAGATACCTAGCTTAGATACCTTACCTAGGTAGGTCGGTACCTATGGATTGATCAAAAGTGGTCCGCCCCATGGCAAAAAAAAAAAGGACTGCCCCTCACCCCCCCTGAGGACCAATCAATCAGATGCCATCTTCAACTTCCACCATCCTCCACTGAACATAAGGTAAGGCAGGTACCTGAGGTTGCTAAGGTACCTAAGGAACCTACCTACCTATTCAATCACCTCAGTGGGACGGGCAGGCACAGGCACAGGCACAGGCGGAAGGCGCCACATCTCCCTCCTTCTCCCACTTTCGCTCTATGGCGCATTTGGATTGACGGGAATCTCCTTACCTCTTTTCCTTCTCACTCCCTTTCTCCTTTTTCTCCTTTTCTACCTCTGTTCTCTGATACCTCCACTATTCATTGAGTGTTTCGCCAAATAATACCTCACTCTGTTTGTGCACCTAGTATTCTATTGATGTCCATGGCTGTACCGCATACCTCACCTAGGTACTAAGCTTAGTATCCGCACCTTTACTTTACCTTACCTACCTGCCTACCTACCTCACCTCCACTGCCCGCATTGGCTGGCATTGGACTGGGCTGGCTTCACCACGCGTCAAGTTGGGTCGATACCTCAAGTAAGGTAACGGTAGATGATAATTAGATCACTCGTAGGGTAGGTAGGTACCTTATCTCAACTTGACTCTTCCATTGTTTGTTCCATTTCATGCGTACCTTAGACATTCTACCAGTTCTTCATTCCTAACTTTCTCGCACTCCCGTTTCCCCTTCTCCCATCTCCATTCGCCGTCCTTCCAATCCTTCTCATTCTCTCACTCTCACTCTCTCCTCTCAGATCCGACCAACTATCGATCCAAGTACGGATGGATAAGGTAGTCGAGCCACTTTAACCTTTGCCAGCAAACACGCACACCCCCCCCCCCGGTCCTTCGTCCTTGCTCGTCCCCCCATTCGTCGTCACTTGTCACTTTGCCGGCCGCGCCCTGACCTCCGACAACCCTTCTCCTTCTTTTCGAACTCTAGAACTTCGACACTTCCACCTCACTCGCATTCTACACCACACATTCGTCCCTCTCCTGTCGCCAGTCTTGAATATCGACACCTGCATATTGTCCAATTCCGTCTCGTTATATTCCAGCTAACCGATCCGTTGGTAAAACCGACAGGCTGCTACGCGAAGCCCGACCACAGCTGGGAGCTACTTAGTCGGGACAAAGAAACAGCCAGACCTCGCGAACCCGACCGACGGCGACGGCGACGGCACCACGCACGTTTTGTCAACCGCCCCGTCCCTTTTCATCCTGATCAATCAACCTCAACATTGCGAGTCGCCAATTGCCCTTCTACTCCGAGCCAACAGACACATGTCAAATCCCCTACGAGCTTCTCGTTGCTCGACTCCGGCTCCATTGCCAACACCAACAGGAACGAACCCCTGAGCGCCTCCACCTCTTTCTCTGTCGTGCCTCAAACTCCTTTCCCTCGCCTACCGACCCAGCACACGCTCACGCGCCTGCTCTCCCACGAAGCCATGAGGTGAGACAAGTCCCTCAATCATCTGCCTAGGTCCTGCGCTGCCTCGCTTGCTGCCGCCCTGGTCCCGTCTTCCCTCGCCCCTGCCGCGCCCAACCCGCATTCCCTCACAACTCTGTGCGCCCGTGTCTTGCGAGCTAACTTGCATCCTTGCGCCATGCAGAGGGGATGGCCACTGTGACTGAGAGTCCGCAGAGAGCTCCTCTGCCTGCCGACGGCCATGCCAATCTGACGTCGAATCGAATCGTACCTATCCCGACTCCAACACCGACTATCCAGATGTCTGCTCCATCTCCCGGCGACCCAATGGAGATAACCTCCTCGAACCCTAGCACCACTTCACCCTCGACCAAAAACGACCCAGACGCCAACGGCGACCGCAAGAACACTTCCCCAACCGATCAGTCTGCCAACATCTCCATGACAATGCCCGCAGCACCGGCCGCCGCCGCCGCCGCGGTCCACCAGCCAAAGATTGTCCAGACAGCTTTCATACACAAGCTGTATAGGTACGCAACCTCGTCATGGGTAGCGGCTTGTTCAGGTTCGCTGACCTTGCCTAGCATGCTTGAGGATCCTAGCATTCAGCATCTGATCTCCTGGTCAGCCAGTGCTGAGAGCTTTGTCATGTCTCCTTCGGCAGACTTCTCAAAGGTCCTCGCGTACGTGGATCTGTCCTGGTCTGTACGTTTTGCAGCTCACAAATCCCCAGGCAATACTTCAAGCACACCAACATCTCCTCGTTCGTCCGACAGCTGAATATGTACGGGTTTCACAAAGGTCAGACTACCGCCCAGCCAAGGTTCACGCGATGGGGCTGACTTCCTGCGCAGTGAGCGACGTGTTCCACACTACTAACCCCGAGACGGCACTGTGGGAGTTCAAGCACGGAAATGGCAACTTCAAGAGGGGGGATCTTGTTGGGCTCCGCGAAATCAAGCGCAGAGCTTCCCGCCACGCCTTGGTTCATCGCGAATATCCCAACTCTAAACCAAGTCCTTCCCAGCCGGGAACACCCTCGGAGCCGATGCCACCTCCCAGCGACGGCTCAGACCCTCGAATGTCCGGTTTAGAGCATACCCTCTACGATATGAGCATGCGGCTGCAGAGAAGTGAAGAGAATGCGCACTACATGCACGTCAAACAACAAGCTGTGATGGAGACCATGTCGCGACTCCTTCAGTTCAACCAAGAGCTGTCGCGAACCATTCTCAACTTGGTTCCCAGCCCCGAAAACCCAGTTCACAGAGACAGTGAGTCGACCGACACCCACTCACACGCACTCATGAGAGACATGCGGACACTAACAATCGGTGATCAGTGCTCAGTCTGCAGGCCGAGATGGCTCGACAAGCCGATATGCTCCGGACGATTGACGACCCTCAAGAATCGCCCTTCGCCAGTAGCCGGGCGTACTTCTCCAACGTGGAAAATGCCCCTGTCTCGCCGCGGCAAATGCCCCAAGATGACCCTAGACGAGCCAATCTTGCGGTTCCTCAGCCCAGAGGGCAGAATTTCTACCGACCTCCCGTACCCTCCAACTTGTCCATCAGCACGCGACGACCTTACGGGTCAATCGGCGGGGGCACCGCGCCACAGGCTTCTTCTCCCTTGAGAGGAGCGCCGCCTCCACCTCCACCCGGACCTCACCCCTTGGCCCAAGTTGAGCCGCCCCCGGGAAGCCTCGCGAGGCGTCACACGTCTGCCGACATTCGTGCGCATGGCTGGCAGCCGAGTGCTCCACCACCCTTTGCTTCCGGGCCCCCTTCAGGACCTTCTTCGGGGCCGTGGCCGTCGTCTCCCAGCCGACTCGCACCGGAGGATCAGCGTCTTAGGGAGTCGTTATCGACCTATTCCTTGCAGGGTGCGACTCAGTCGCGTCCTCTTTCGCGGCCTGCAACCCCTCCTGCACCGTTCTCAAATGGCGGCGGCGGGGATACCTTTGGCAACTGGTCCTGGAACTCGGCGAATAGAGAGAACAAGAATCTGTCTGTTAGAGACAGCTCGGGACCTCCAACTCGCCGCGGCAGCATGGCTCATATTCTCAACCCGACAGATACGGCCGAGAGGGAGGACGAGGACGAAGATCCTCGGGGCGACGACGACCGCAAGCGAAAACGGATGCAGTGAGCAAGAATCACTGCGAGCTTCGTGTGCCTAGTCGGCAAGCGGCGCGTCTTTCGGCGCCTCGCGAGACCTTCGTACATTTTTGTAGTAATTACCGGATGAACATCGGAAACATTTTTTTTCTGTATAGAGGAAGGAGGAGCCGGGATCGGGCGAGGATGATTTGATTTGCACGGATACCTCTTCACGGCCGTCCATCAAAAAACGAGATCCGAAACGTATACGAAGCCCACGGCCACAACATAGTCGGTCCATCTCACTGGCCGAACTTCGGGCCCAAGCGGATGGGCCACCTGGATACTTCGAGTCAAAAAGTTCTGCGCCGCCCATCGATTCATACATATCTTTACTGCATCCACGGCCGGCTTGCGTGACGAAAAAGAAAGACATACACCAGAGTCTTTGTAATTCAGCGCCCTTGCGATGCCACAGCAACAGATCCAGTACGGACCGCGACCCTTTTCTCACATTGTTCTCTCTCGGATGGAGGCTGTATCTTTACGGTCGGAGCTTAGGAAGAGGAATACCCAACGGACACTCGGCGGCGGGATTTGTCAGGATTTGTCCATATGGGGGTGTAATTGTGTGTTGGCGATACTGCATTTTGGAGTGAGAGTGGAATGAATGTGATTTAAAGCATGTTCATATTGTACAGCGCTATCTATGTGTGGCTTACAAGGTGGTGCCATAGCAAATGCCTTGAACGCCTCGGCCAGATCCAGTCAGATCTAGAGGCCAAACTTAGAGTGTGGAAAAGTACAACACGGCAGCAGTTCTCTGGACAACGACATGATGAACTTGCATCCGAGTCGTAGTCAACCAGGCTGGCCGACCGTGCAATATCGAACCAGGCTACAATACGCAGACAAGGTTGATGAACTGGTGACACTCCTGTGAGTTTAGCGCCTAGGGGGACGGGTCAAGGGAGCGCGAATAAATGCCGATCCACGCCCTGTCCTCGGCGCCATTTCACTCCGTTTCTGTCTCCGTTCCGAGGACGTCGGTTCAGACCTCCGCGCCGCCGTTTGCCTTCGTCTTTTTCCTGTTCTTCTGATTCTTCTTCTTCTTAGCTTCGCCCTTCAAGGTGGTGGTAGCCTCCGAGGGTGGTGCGGTGTCCTCTCCGGCAGCGTCGTGCTGAGGCTGATCCCCGCTTACTGGGGAAGCGTCGGGTTTTGACTCGGAGACATCGACGTGTGCATTCCCTCCCTCGTGATTCCGGACGGCTCCCGGGTAAGAACCTTCCACTTCCATCTCATCAGCGTCTGCCTCCACCCTAGCTCTCTTCTTCTTCTTCCGTCCCAGTCCACTCCTGCCCTCCTCCTCCTCACTCTCTTCCTCCTGTATCCTTCGCTTCTGCGTAGCTGCCTTGTTATGTACCTCTCGACCTCGCTTGCCGAGGAGACGACGGCTGAGATCCCGGGTTACTGCGGAGTCCTTCTCTTCGGACATGGGAGAGTTGTATCCGATGCCTGCGCTCGGGTTTTCGAAGCGCAGGTCTGAGTCGTCTCCCGTTCCGCGGGCCCGTTTACTCGATATCGTCGTGGACGGTGTTGGGGAGCTTGTCGGTTTTGTGAGGGATGAGAAGGCGCCTTTCGTGATCGCGACCGACGTCGATGTTTCTGAGGAAGCGGTCGGTCGTGCGAGAGAGTGATGTTTTGCGCGAACCGAGCTGAGGAACCTTTGGTGCTTCGCCCCGGCGAGGGATATGCTGTTGAAGATTGCGTTGAAGTCTGCCGAGGCCGGGAGCTTGGGCGCCGCGGACGGCTCTGGGGTCGGCGCCATGATGGCTTCTTCCGTTGCACCGGGGTACGTGTGTCCGATAGCAGGCGCCGAGATATCTGGAAGCGTCAGTTGATCGAGTCGCCGGGGGTCCGCGGATGCCTGTTACGGTTTGCGACAATACTATGTGCACATCGAGAAGAAGCGTAAGGTAGTTCACTCAGACTGTCACCACAGAGCCGATTTTTTTCGGACATGAAGTGGCCCGTGTGTTATCGGATAAGGTAAAGCATGGACTTCAAGGTATCCGTACCACACTGCCTAGGTACCTTATCTTAGCGTTGCTCGGCGCTGACCCCGAGGCTAAGCGTCATCGGATGAGCGAACAAGTGCTAATGGCACCGAAGACGCGGATCGAAAGTGTACATGTCTTCGGCCCCACTTCCGGCCCCGGGCTAACGACTGACGGAGTCGACTCGCAACGGCGCGGGCTTAGTGATGGCTGTCAGTGGCTGAGTTCTTATTTGATGTGATATCATCGACGCATTTTCAGGCCCTCCTGGACATTGCGGCGTGCCTATTTTTCTTTGGACAAACGTGGATACCGGGTTCGTAATGTCGACTTCTCGAGTACGGAGACGGTTCGGCCACCAGGCTCAAAGAAAATACAATAACCAAATGGAATGTTTCATATCTTCCCATCCATTGATTGTCGTAGAAACATCTTCTCTCATCCATTCTTTTTGGATAGCGCTGCGGCACTCTCCATGTCGAGTGTGCATATACTCAACGCAAATGTTAAGAGCACCACCTTATTAGGGGGCGGAATCAATAAACCAAGACAGAACATCGAAGAGTACTAGCTCATCTTCTTTATCGAATCGGTAAGTTTGGGTGCTGCTAGATTAACTTGGGTCTGTCAGTAACAAGAAAGGCTCCTTGCCTGGTGTTGAGGAGCCAGTGAGATTATCTCTATGGCGAGTTAGCGTGATCTCGTCAGACGGATCAATTTCTTCCCCGAGGTCGGCTCGGAGAACATATCCATAATGACAAATGTCTTCAGTTCCTTTCTATAAGTATAGCTACTGATAGGATTATTACTGTTAAAGGGTCACAAGTAGTTCAATGTACGCTCTTGGCTTTGACATTGACTTTGAACGTTGGATGGGATGTGCGACGTAATCCAAGCGGAGCGCCTTCTACATATTGTCATCAAGATCAATAAATAGAGGAGGGAGGCTGTATTGCGCCCTCCTTAAGCTATCTCTTGCCAGTTTAATTGCCTTAGGGACTTCAATTACAGGCAGGACTAGGAGCCTCTATTGCGCCTGCGGGTACCAAGCCCGCGCAGTGGCTGCCGGCGGCCATCTGGAGGGCTCCCGGAGGTCAGAGGTCCGCTCGAAGTTTCGCTAGCTACCTAGGTACGCAGCGTAGAAGCGGGGCTCGTTCTATATGAGGTGAGGTAAGGTTGCACATGTTGTAGCCATCCACTTGACTAAGATGAACACGACTATAAGGCGTACATTTGTGAGAGAGATATCTAATGATATTAAAACTGGCAAAGTTTGAAATTGACTCACGAAGTCAATTCAAAGGGCAACGGCTCTAACTTGGGCGTAGTAATACTGCCGGATGAATCTATAGAGAGTCTTTATAGATGGCGAGGGCATCTGCAGTCTCCTTTTTTTCTGCTTGCCTCGATGCGTGCCCTACTACACGCTATCGCTTGTACGCTCTCGTTAGTCGACATACCAAGGTCGTATATTCAAGTCAGGCACGCTGCGATTGGAAGCCGTTTGCAAGCTAATTGCCGCAATGTTCATGCTGTATGCGATGGTGTAGAAACACGATGTTATCTTGCTGAACCTGATTATAGGTACTTTCAAATCTACCAAGACAATATGTATCTCAAGCTATTATTGCATTTTTTGGTACTGAATATTCACTTAAAAATTGAGATCTTATCAGGTTGAGAACCTGCACCTGGAATCTAAGCAATGCACCTCAATTTGCCCGATATAGGTAGGTACCTAAGTACAGACAACCTGGAAGATATGAACGTCCAGTGCCTTTGCGGGGAGGCCCCTGTATGCTGCTGTACCTCTAGGCGGGCAGTTCAAGGCCCCACGCCGGTGCCAGTCGGGTGCGCCTTACCTCATTTTCTTTGGGTGTTCCCGGGCCTTCAGCCTACGTACCTATCAAAAAAGAAAAAAAAGAAAAAAAAAGGTACCTATGCGGTGCAATCGCGGCGCTCTTTCCTTGAACCATCCTTTCTCCATCCATCGTTCCTATCGCCGGTTGGGATTTCGCAACTTCCCACCAAGACGACCGCACTTGCCTCGCATGCCCTTTCCTTCAACGCGAGTTTCTCTTTGCGTTGCTACCTACCTTATCTTATTCACATCCGAAACAAGCTGCTTTTTTGCCCCTTTGGTCTCCGCAACTTCCAATTTCTACATATCAAAGACGCGACTTTCTTTCCTGCCTCACATCTCATCCCCCCTCTCGACTTCGAAGTCCACTTTTGGCCTCTTTCGCGACCTCTCTTAACCAAACAACAACGCAACGCAAGCTCTATTCGCCGACGCGCCTGCTACCCGACAATAGCACACGCAACGGCAGTACTTGTAAAGCTCCGGCGTTTCCTTTCGCTCTTCGCACCTTCCATTTCCTTCGACATTCGCACCGCTTCTCCTTCTCCTCCATCTTGGCTTTTCCCTCTTCTTCCTTCTGCGACTACCTAAGCTAATCACCATGAAGCGAGGCACTGAACAGGATCGCAGCCGCCCTCGTCGAAACGGCTTCTTGCGAAAGCCCGGCGACTTTCTCGACCGCTGCAATTCCCGAGCCGAGACACTGCGACTCCCGAATCTCATACCGACGACCTTCGATTACCGGTGGCATACGGACCCGACGTCTCCTGGACTTCTTTACAACCCTGGTCTCGATCCCCGCGACCCGTTAGCCGGCTTGGTTCTACCCCGTCAGCTGGGACCCTACGTTGGAAGGCGATACGGACAAGGCAAGGCCGACCACAAGCCCGTCGAGCTTTCCAATCGCTCAATCGCAACACCGGCTACAGCCTCAATCTTGACCTCCCAAACGCGCAGCGTCTTCTCCGCTCCTAAACACAGAGGACCTCCTGAACTTTCGACAGCAGCAGCCGCCGTTGCGCTTGGCTTCCCTAGACCCTCCCAGAACGAGCTGCTCAAACGCGCCACTACCGCCAAACTCAACCTTCGTGGCGAAAAGGTTGGTCGGAACTACGAAATCCCCTTCTCGGAAGACGAATTCTCTGACTCTGCGGCGAAGAAGCCACTGCCAGGTAGCGAGAACAGCAAGTTGACTATTTTCTCGCCTGGAAAGAGGAGGAAGCTGTTCAATCCTGGCATCGATAACAAGACTGGCCGCAAGTCCAAGTGTTCCCGCCGAGACGACGAAGTTCTTGACATTGTGCCCGAGACTCCGGAGGTATTGCCTAGGAGTGAGCGAAACAAACTTACGGTCGTATCGCCTGCCAAGAGGAGGAAGCTATTCAGTCCAGCTGTCAAAGAGAAGTCGAAAGACGGCGCTCCCTCGGTTCAACCTTTCCCCGAGCAGAACACGCTTGTGCTTCAACCCAAGCAGACGGCCACCATCCAGATCACAGACACCAAGGGAACCAGAAACTTCAATTTAGGAGGGCCAGGTTATCGCAGAGTCGTCCTGCAGTCTTCAGACAATTGGGGCCACCCTCTACCCTCTTCTCCATTCGCAGAGAGGACTTCTGCCTCGCTCAAGCGACGAGCCGAGGACACGGAATTTGACTTGCTCGCGGCGAATGCGACGGACCAAGGATCCGGCGGGCAGCACTCAACGAATCTCCAGGTGGTTTGTGCTCGGGACCTGGAGGAGCAAGGTGTAGGTTATTTGTCCCTCGTTTCGAGAGAAACGCGACGGAACTGACAGAACTGCAGCGAGGAGCTACGGGCCGTACGGCTTGGCTCAGCAATATCATGACATCAGTCCGCGGTACCGTCGCCAAAGTCTACAGCATTGCCGGCTACGGTATACAATCACCACCTCCCCAGATCTTGTTTCAGAGAGCCTGACCAAAGTTTAGTAAATACTCGTAATCATAACGTAGTCGAGCGCCATTCCCGTGACGAGCACTCCGGCAACATTACCACAAAGCGCATCAAAGTGGAACCGGATGTCGACTCTGCCAGTGTCACAGGTATCCATGACGAACATCGAACTCACGGTCAGCAATCGCACAAAACCAATCTGGTCTGGATTGACGAATCTACGCGCATTGCAAACTGGCATCAAGTAGCCGCACTCGCACAAGCATTGAAGGACATTGATGCTCGTATCCAGAAAGGTCGCGTCGTGGAACGAAGTGGCTCGCCCTGCTCTCGCCTGGTTGATGAGTGCCGCTCTCGGCGTCTTCACACTCTCAGCGCTCATGTCAAGTCATTTCAGCAGACTGCACACATCATTGAGCATATCTACTCGCACACATTCTTATCAAGGCTGAAGGAGATGTCAAAAGTCCCCCGGCTGCAAATGGATTATGCAACAAATCCTGACGAGTATCTTGCCATTTCAGCAGCGAAGCTTTTCCTCGATGAATTGCCCAAAGAGTGTGTCTCCTCCCTCGCCGAAGCAGGAGTCACTCTTAGGGTTATCAATGGCGTTAGCGCAGATCTGGATGCCATTGTGAATCAGAGACCCATGCCCGGGCTGGTTCAGAGGGCTGGCTTTGTTGGCAAGGTGATGAAGCTCATCCGGGGACGGGAAAGCTTCGGCTTTGAGTCTTCAAACACCACTATGCCTGGCAGCTTTCCCACGGAGACGAACAACGAGCCAGTGTATGAGCGATCGGCCGACTTGTTTGTCAAGTCTGAGGCTGAGTTAGGGCCTGGGCCCGATCCTGAGCCTGAGCTGGGGCGGCTTGAGAAGAAACCATCACCGGCGTGTATGCCTGTTACGCAGACGGAGACATATACCTACGTCCTACATCATCTTGCGGAGATGGAGACCAAAGGGAAAGCCCCACAGAAAACACCAGCAGACAAGGTATCGGAGGAAGCCTTCGCAAAAAACGTCTCGAACCCTATTCTCAAGAGGGACAGGTCATCGCCTGCTTTAAAACGCCTACAGAAATCCCGCGGCCTGAAGAGGGTGCATTTCTCGCCTTCAGCAAAACAGTCATCGCCGTCACCAGCCAAGTCGCCCGGCTTCTTCTCCAGGATATTTCGCCGCCACGAAACAACCCTTTCTTCCCCACTCCGACTATTCGAAGACGAGAGTTCCCTTGGTGACTCACAGACGGATCGGTCACCCGACGTTCACGAGTTTGAGAAAACAGGTCAGGACTTTGACACCGAGCCAGAGACGGACATTACATCACAAGACAGCGACAGTGAGGTCACCATGGCCAGATGCCGATCCAGGCTTGTACAACGGTTGAACGAATCCATGGGTCTCTCCAACGGGAATGAAAACCCTACAACGAGATCGAGGTCGCCCAGTCCGCCGACACTCGCGGGCCTGAGAATCTCGGATGACAAAGAGGGCGAACTGGATGACTTGAGTGCGGCTTTTCAACTAATTTTCGATGTGAACGAGGCGCAAAGGCGAGCCGAGGAAGACAGAAAGGCTAAGGAGGCGGAAGAAAAGAGACTTCGCTTGACAGGTGGTCTACGCGTCCCGAAGCGACGATTAGTCACGTCTCTGTCGTCAACTTGGTCTCAGAGAGTGCGAGAGACAATTAGAGCCAACCCGAACCAGGTGCTCACAGTTACGGCTGAAAGTGTCGATCTTAGACGGCATGACTTCTTGAAGGTCGTCCCGGAGACAGAATGGCTGAATGACGAAATTGTCAACGGCTCCCTCCTGTGGGTTGATCGATATGTCAACGAAGCAGCAGGTGCACCTGAGATGAAGTCAACCAAGAGGGTGTGTCTCTTCATGAACTCGTTCTTCTACAAAAGGCTCGAGGACAACGGTGTGCAGGGAACCGAACGGGCACTTCGACGGTTCGGTGTATCTAAAACGAACTTCCTCGATCTCGAGACGATCCTCATGCCCATCTGCAGAAACAACCACTGGACTCTACTTGTTGTTCGGCCGCAGAAGCGAACTGTATCACACATGGACTCCCTTAACCCACGCGGAACACCAAGCCATACAAAAAGGGCGTTGGATTGGATCAAGGCGGTCCTGGGCGATGACTTCAAAGCAGACGAATGGCGGACTGTGCGACACGAGGCCCCAGGACAGGATAACGGCTACGATTGCGGCGTATTCACCATCACCAACGGAATATGTTTAGCTCTAGGCATCAACGCCATTGACGCATACTCCAACGATGAGCTGCCCCTTCAACGACTGAGGATTGCTGCGATGCTCCTGAACAAAGGCTTCAAGGGCGATTTTGACCTTTCTGACCTTTGAGTCTCGAAGCCCCCTCTACTTACTTCTTGGTTGGAGTAGGAAGCGGCAACATCGAAGGCCGTTGATCGGACAGTGTATATGAGAGTGCTCGGTTGGGAATCTGGAAATGGAAAGGATTTGAGGTGGAAGTGACAAGGTAAGACTTTGCTTGGACCACGATTTGCGGTTAGGAACGAGGCCGGGTTGGTTGGCATCGACAAAGGCTGTTTGGAGTTTTGGGATACCACAGAGACCACGGACGGTTTCTCTTTTGCTTTATCTGAATATTGCTCTCTTTCGCGTCATCTGTGTCGATGGAAACACAGCTCTCACGGTAGCGGGTAGACAGTCAATTCGAGACGAGAGATGCTCAGTCTCTCGCCGACGCGTTCATCCAGGGCCGAACTTTTAGTAACGTAAACCGCGCATTCCCAAGACCACACTGCTCGGCCACTTGAGTCTGTAGGCCCGCCATTGCAGGGAATTCTCGCGGGATTGTTTCCTTGATTCGCCACTACGTGCGGGCCATGGCCTTGGTCGGCTCACTCCCCCACCTGCCGTACTTCTCGATTAGGCCGGTTATACTGAAGGATGCCGACTTGATATTCGGCCACGATGTTCGCAAACCGCCGGCGCTGGCAGGTACCCGGGACGCAGTATTCGCATGTAGGCGGGACAGGCGGGCTGTTTCAGGTGCGGAAAACGGGCGCCAACTTTTTGCCTTGGAGGCGGGTGCGGGCTACGATTAGGAACGGATACCGCCCTTCGTCAGGCGGGCTCTCCCAAGAGTTGCGCAGCGAGGTATGATTTGTTCAGCAAGATGTTCCCGCCGTGTTCGCCAAGTACGATCCACGATCTGCCCAGGGTTCAGATGTTCCGTTGCGCCGTCTTGACACAGGGCGAGGCAGCTGCCAAGAAGTGGGTAGAGGTGGGATCCGGGTCCCGATGCAGTCGCCACGACTCAGGTAGTTGCATCGTCGAGGCATTTGGGCGCGTCCGAGGTGGCGACTTGCAAGTCAGAGAGATACACTAAATACTGGAGAGAGGATGAGGAAAAAAGAAGAAGAGAAAGAAAGAAGAAAAAAAACGGGGTGGCGCTTTGCATGGCGACGGTGCAACGGGCGAGAGCGACGAGGTTTTGGTGTTGTTCGGCGGTTACTCCGCGCCGCGGCACGACTCTGGAGTCGACGTTGATCATTTCCCGGGTCTCCATGTCGTTGTGTGTGGCGCCCGCTTCTCTCGCTACGAGGGACGGATTTCTTGCCCTCAAGTGACAGGCGACTGGATCAAGGACGGGATCAGGAACGGGCAGACAGCGGATCTCTGGGGATACCGCACAGAGAAGAGATCTGCCATGCTGCTCCTGTCGATCGCGTGTTCCGTCCCAGCCCGGCTTGGGATACCTTACGGATAGACACAGGAGAGGACAGGAAGCGGGGCGTTTGACGAGTGGATGAAGTTATCGTCGGAGGCGGGCGGGCCGAGAAGGCGACGCTGTACCACTTAATGTGGACCTAGGGGACGTTGGGAATGGCAAAGCGGCGACGACCACCGGACCAGACCTTTCCCAGTTCCTGGCAAAGTGTGAGGCAGAGACGGGTAGAGATGAAGAAGACACGACGTCGTGGCAGGCAGGCGTGAGGATGCTGACTACAAGCTCAGCTAAGGCGAGTTGTGGAGACGGCGTCGTCGCCGCGCTGGCGGTTCCATGTTTGCTGTCAATGCGGGCAATAAATCCTTTATTGGTCAAGAGAATCAACCAGGTTTGGAAGAGTCAGGCGGGTCGCTGTCAGAAATTGGATATTCTGCTTGGGCAAGTGATACGTGTTATGCGTAGGTACGGATAGTCTTCCAGCCTCGGGCTGTCCTTGTCTTGCGCGGTCCAGCAAACAGAAGCAGGCCATGATAATGGAGACTCCGAGCCAGAGCCAGTGTCAACGTATCCGCACTTTGGTAAAGAAAAGCCTCACGGTGGTGTATCCCGACGGTCACGGAATTGTTGGGCCCCTCGTGACTTTTCACTTGTCCGTGGTCCCGATATCCGACCCATAAGTTGACTTGTAATCTTCCGCTATACACCCGGGTGTTGACCGTGGTTGACAACGCGACGTGGGTTTGGGTTAGGTTGGATTGGGTTGGGATGGGTTGGACGACGGCGACGACGACGAAGGGACGGGAACGCGGACCCGGACCGGTTTGTTGGGACAATCTACCCTAGGCGGCGTCGCCTGGGCACATGTATCTGTACGTTTGGCAGTCGATACCGTTTGTATCCAAATTGCTGGACTGGTTTGACTCACTCACGATGCGGCGAACCGCGAGCAGCGAGCAGCGAACAGCGAAAACAAGAGCCAAAGGCTTGGCTTGGCCATGCCGCAGTACCATGCAGTCGTGGCAGGCGGGTTGAGGGGGGGAAAAAGATGGGGAAATTGGAGATTCGGGCGCCCGGCGAGGCCGTCGGCGCTACGGAAAATTTCTGAGGTATCGTCGTTGGGTAAGGTCACATCTTCAAGGCTCCCCCGGCCGACAGACGACGACTGACCCTCGCATGGTCCACGATTCCCCGTCGTCAGCGAAGGCTGGTTCCATGTCCGCCGTTCCCTTGCTGACGCAACAGCATTCAGGGAAGGCCTCGTATGGTACGCAAAGGCATTGGCCAGGAAGAACGGGGAGCTTGTCTTAGGAACTGGTTGTAAGTGAGTGACTTTGGGTCCGAAGACGATTCCACGGATGATGGACATTGTCTAATGAAGTAAGGCACGCTGGTAGGTTGGAGGCTGCTTCTGATTCTGCAGTATGGGGAATTTCGGGGCGGAAAGAAGCATTGGACCGGATCATTGAGGTGAGATGTCCCCGCCAGTGCTTTCCTTCCATTCTTCCATCGTTCCATCCTTCCATTCCATATCCGTAAGGCACCATAAGATGACAGTACGTATCTTGTCTGGCATTCCGCACTACGCCGAGATGGGCAGGGTTCTAGAAGCATTGAATTTGCCACCAAGCTACGAATACGTACGTTTTTTTTTTCCCCCTCCATGCAGGTACCTTAGGTAAGGTACCTTCTTCCCCCCTGCTCTCTGTGTTCCATTTCTTTCTGGTTGAGGTACTTCGTAGATGCTCAACCACCCCCCCAAACCAAACCAAACCCTACCCAAAGCACACCACACCACCGCACCACACCACACCACACCACACCACATCACGCTGACAGACGGATGCATCGAATATTCCATGCGCATTCCTTCTTCGGACCATGACGACATCAAATCTCAATGTCCATCGTTCTCCTTCCCAATCGAATGGATGTGCCGTGTCACGCCCTGACGCACCCGCCCTAAGACAGGGAACGATATTCCTCATCGCTTCCATGTCGTCCAATGCTTCTCACCTCCCTCCCGGCCGTGTCTTCTGATCGTCATGGCCTAGACTCTCGGCCGCTCCTGTTTTTTTGCTTTCCTGCCGCATACTGCATAGTGCCCTAGGTACTCAGTACAATTTGTCACTATCCACGTACCATGCTGTGCGGCAGCGGCACTTCACAGCTAGGCGGCTAATCAAAAGAGGACGCAACTGTCAAGGCTTACGGCCCCTCTAAACAGCGTTTGTTGATCATCCGAGAAAGCTGAGACGTTGGTTCAGCCAGCCCGAATGTGTGCGTAGGTGCAGACTAGGTATCCAACCAAACTGGCCTTTGGAGATTGCGACAATCGCGACTGGAATGGGCCAAGCCAAGCCGAAAACGAATCAAACAGTATACTGCGAAGAGAGGAAGAAGAAAAAGAAGAGAAAAGGACTGCAGGAGAGGGTCGATGGGAACCGCTCATTGGGGACGCTTGAAAACGTGCAAGTCCTAGTTACGGAATCGCCGTTGGCCTGTTCCTATTCATGTGCCTTCCTTCCTGCAACGAATAAGTAGGTAGGTACCTTACACGACGCAGCAAAACGCCTGTACGGGTATGCAGTGATGCACAACATTCCCTCCCAGCAGCGCAACTGTCCGTTCGGGACACAACGAACAAGTACGAATACCATACCACCGCGTCAATCACATTGCAAACCCGGCTTGCCTCTTTCAGCGCCGCTGGACCCTCGGAGCAGTGGCAAGAGATCGTCCAAATGAAGAAATGGGAACGCACCGACAAGTGGTCGTACGTGTGTGGCCCCAGCGGTACTACGTAGGTAGGTGATTCGATGGAACCATCACCAATTAACAACGCCGCATGCACGGAAATGCGGGAAGAATGATTCTATAACGCTTTTACACCACGGTACCTACTGACAGGGACTGCGAGTTTGATTCGGCTTCGGTTACGTTGGTGTACCTAGCGGACAGTTGATTTCCTGGCAAAATTCCCTTACCGATACCTTCCGCCGCTCTTACTTCTGCAGAAGTGCAACATTCATTCCCGTTAAGATACGGGTTGCACGACGGCAAGCAGACGTGATCGGCCGACGGTGGCAAGCCTCGTCGCAAACGGTCAGTAGAAGTAAGGTAGGTAGATGGCACGATGACGAGGACCCCGACTCGAATGAATACGTGTAGCAGCCACAGTTACTGTGGCAAGCCTTCACTTCACGCTCACCACCCCAATCCAACTACGACGCCTCTCCTCCGGTGAGAAGGCAACCTCTCACGGTTTGATTTCTCAGCTAGAGCATCGTTACCGACGTGTCATTGGGAATGAGAGGCTCTTGGGCGGAGTCAGGTAACTCAATACGACCCCCCAAACTTGAATCACTTCGAACAGAAATCTCCGAAGGCGGTACGGACACCCACTCACGATGCCCGTTTCATTGTCTACTTGTCTTGCGCTAGACATCCACAAGATGGTACCTCGGAAAACCAACCACATTCAAAAGGTGAATACGCACAAGCTAGCTTTTTCTTCATGTCTATCCGTGACTTGCTTATCTCGTCTTCCAGTTGGCTTGTCGTACTGACCGGCGGACGCTCTTTACCCGTTTCGCATCCGGACGGCTGCAACTGCAACCCACAGGTACGGACAGGCAAAGCTGTCGCT